GGTCATTCCAGATAATTGACTACTACCCTAGGCTAGTGATATGACTTTGTTAACTGGTCATTCCAGATAATTGACTACTACCCTAGGCTAGTGAAATGGCGTTGTTAACTGGTCATTCCAGATAATTGACCACTACCCTAGGCTAGTGATATGACTTTGTTAACTGGTCATTCCAGATAATTGACCACTACCCTAGGCTAGTGATATGACTTTGTAAACTGATCACTCCTTATAATTGACCACTACCCTAGGCTAGTGATATGGCTTTGTTAACTGGTCATTCAAGATATTTGACCACTACCCTAGGCTAGTGATATGGCTTTGTTAACTGATCACTCCTAATAATTGACTACTACCTTAGGCTAGCGACGTGACTTTGTTAACTGATCACTCCTGATAATTAACCACTACTCTAGGCTAGTGATATGACTTTGTAAACTGATCACTCCTGATAATTGACCACTACCCTAGGCTAGTGACATGACTTTGTTAACTGGTCATTCCAGATAATTTACTTCTACCCTAGGCTAGTGATATGACTTTGTTAACTGGTCATTCCAGATAATTGACTACTACCTTAGGCTAGTGATATGACTTTGTTAACTGGTCATTCCAGATAACTGACCACTTCCCTAGGCTATTGATAGGACTGTTGAATGATCACTCCTGATAATTGACCACTACCCTAGGCCATTGATATGACTGATGTCTGAAGACTCATGCTTATTGACCACTAGCCTGGGCTTTTCATATGACTTTGTAGGCTGATATGACAACCTTAATTTGTGTACCTTCAATTGCTGCTGTGTAAAACCATTACCAATCTCTCCAGTTTCTTTTTCGATTGATGAATATTATCAACCTATCCAGTCACTCAAAAGTGTTATAGTCAAATTAATACACAACACATAATAAGTAACTGGAAAGGTACAGCAATTGCTGAAACAAGAAATGTAGATAAATAAATACTCCTTGCACTTTAGTTTTTCATATTAACATGATTAAGTGGACAAGTGAAATTTATATATTTGACCTTAGGTTGAAATTTTAAAAAAATTGTCTAAATTCCCTTAGCAGAAAATTCCCTTACTCCTAGTTTTTACTTAGAACTAAACAAAAAGTAATCAGCTTGTTTTGAACATAATATATCATTTGTAAATTTACCTTTTAAGAGCATATATATATATAAATTATTAATAAAGATACTTCCTTTATTCACAAATTTAAAAGGACAGAATAAACTTAAAGGGGTACATAACTGGACACTGTAAATGTTAACTAATAGAAAGGGTTTGTGGGGTATCCCCTGCTCAATTTGCACACCTCTTAGCAGATTTTTACGTCATTATGTCCAAGTTTTCAAGAAGACTGTTTAAACCGGAAATAATTTTTACACTGATAAATTTTGATGTCACATTTGTAAGGCTACACTTATGAATATTTTAGTTTGCCCTTACCCTACCCAAAGATACATTTTAGAGACAGTGGGTAGGTTGGTAGGCATTTTCTTTTTTCTCACAGCAAAGGGAAATTGAAGTGTCAGATGTTTTTTAGTCTTCATGCCTATCAGATTAAAAGAAAACTTTTTCACATCAGAACAATAAAAGAATTTGGGTAGGCAGCTATGTTTATGGTAGGTAGGGTTAGGGCAAACAAACATATATTCTTTTGTATGGTCAATGCATTCCTTTAAAAATAAACAGAATGCAAGGATTACTACAAAAAATTTATAAAATCAGTTAAAGTTAAAAACCAGATAGCATGTTTAAATGTTATGATAATCTTAGATGTCTGTAAAATTGTGTACTGATGTTTTTGTTCAATAATATGAAAGAACCCAGGTTTTTAGTTACATCTAAAGATGTCATAGTTTATATTTATGGTAGCTTGGAAAATATATATTTATGGATCAATGGGTAATGATTTTCTTATGAAAATTATATGAACAACAGGTATATATACATGTACAGATTCTTGCAAACAAAAAAACATGTACAATAAATGTATATGAATGGGGTGTCTGGTTTACAACAACAGCCAGATGTCTGTACCAAACCCTGTAACTGTGTGCAAGATGAAACAAACACCCTAGCCCCACCCCCTTCGACCATATGTTAATGATGGGATCATAGGTAGCAGTAGTCCAGATAATTATGACCAAAAAAAATAAAATATCCTTTCAAGACATCATAATTATTGGTCTAATCAGTAATTGAGTTAGGCTAAGGTTTGGTTTTACATTGGTTTATTCTGAGACATATATACAAGTGAATATGTGTCTCTCAAACACTGATTTAGGGGGTGAGCAGGGTGCATTGGACCCTCTTCTTGTAGGGAAAATTGGTGGATATATAGGGAATCACCCAGGCATGACTGGAGCATAAATAGGGACTGGACTACAGATCAGATATATAGCCAATAAATCGTCTACAGTAGGGGCATACGTTTTTTCGTTTTTTTTAAACGTATGTAGACGATTGACGCGCTATACTATATTACATATATTTGACCTGAAGTCAAGACTGAAGTCATAGGCGGATCAAGGGGGGGGGGGGGGGGGGGGGGGGGGGGCTGGGGGTCCAGGGCCCCCCCCTTTTCGTGTGAAAAATTTGTTTGATTATATAGGGAATCACTGAAGCATGACTGGAGCGGCCCCCCCCCCCCCCCCCCCCCCCCCTTAGGTCAGTCAGCGGGCACCCCTTATGAAAAGTTCTGGATCCGCCACTGGAAGTCCCTATGCCATGGACTGGAGCAGCCCCACTCCCCCCCCCCCCCCCCCCCCCCCCCCAAATGAAAATTTGGATCTGTTACTGTCGCTGGTTTAATATAGCTCTTCTGTATGTTTTCATATGTAACACATAGGGTAGCCCTCGTATGCATTCGTTGCGTGTAACTCCCCCCTTTTAATAATCGTCTTTTGAGTGCCTAGAATAGGCTAGATGCCGTGTTTGTGCACAATATCTAAAGCTGATTCACTATTCAAAATACTTATTTTGGTATCGTCTCTGTTCCAGTGATGTATGCCCTACATCTTGGGAAATATCTAAGAACTTCTGAACATATTTTTGTTTTCCGCTTGCTGATAGTTCTGTGAAATTAGATAATCGCGCCAATGACGTGATCACGTATCCCGCGTTGCTTCATAAAACTCATGAATATTCATACTACCCTAGGCTAGTGATACGTAGAGTCTACCTAAACAAAAACGAAAGCCACTATTACAAGCGCTTGTGTGATGCAGAATTTACACGTTTCCTTGAAGCAGACAACAAAAAAAAAACTTCGCCAATAATTTCGGTAATTTACTCTGACAATTTATTTGGTTGAAACAATTTTAGACAATTTTCTAATGACAGTTTAACAAAGCATGAGCAAAACATTTCACATCTCTGATAATGAGTAGAAAAGCTACATTCTTGTTGATGACCATACAGACCGTCAGACGTCTACTTTTGTGATTCTGTGTCCGAAGCAATATTGACTGATTTGACCGCCTGTGTCCAGAGTGGTTTTCTGATTTGGTAGCCGACTGGATGGCCAAATCAGAACCTGCTAACTTCATTTATACATCTGGACAAAATTTGAATGATGAAATCATGGGAGTTATGAGCCAACCACATCAAAAGTTTGAAATTTTTCACCCAAATGAAAATTACGTTCTGAATGAAAATAACTTTTTCTATTAATCAAAGCATAAGTGACAGTGTGTAATAAGGGTAGTCGGGCAGTCAATTAAGACTAAAGAACTCTATTCTTCTAAACATTTGTAACATGTACACAGGGTAAGTGTGTCTATTTCTATTTTAAAATGAGTTCGTTACCAGTTTGATACTGGATCCAAAATGTTCAATTTACAAAATATATAACAAGTAAACTTTATTCATAAATTGACATCATTGAACTAAAATATGTACAACTGCTCTTGCATCAACAGCTAAATTTATCTATACATTAATCATTCCACTTTAAAATATATACAAATTGAAGACCCATTGGTGGCCTTCAGCTGTTGTCTGCTCTTTGGTCTGGTTGTTGTCTCTTTGACATATTTCCCATTTCCATTCTCAATTTTAAATGATACAAATTTGTACAAATACAAATTTGTCCTTGGTCAGGGACAAACTTGTCCTCTTGGTACAATTATGTACCCTACAAGTTAACAAACCTGTCCTAATGGTACATGTTGGTACCCTACAAGCTATGACTTGTCCTAATGGTACATGTGGTACCCTATAAGTGAACACACTTGTCTTGTATGGTTAAAATTCATACTTGACAAACTATACGTTGTACAAGTCTTAAAGAACAGGCACAAACCTTGTCCTTTGTTGCATTATAGTCATAAAATCACCAACCTGTTCTTTATTACACTTAGTAATAGTATCTTATATAAGAGACAAGGATCTCAAATATCCTTTCTCTAATAATCATGTACCGTATGTAACATGGCCATCGTCTTCGTAGACTTCAGACGAATGACAAAGAGCAAGGAATCGCTCCTGCTTATACCATTCTTGAAGGAGGGATGTTCTTCCTAAGTGCCTCATTACTCGTATTAGAGTTTCCTTTGGGACATCCCTTTCACAACGGACCTGACCCAAGGTTTACCTGCCAAATATCTTATTCTTTTCAATGTTTATTGAAGTATATACAAGTACATAAAATAAGGCTTCTACTGAACTGTAACTAAGGTAAACTATTGAACCTAATATACACTATCATCACACATTGAACCATTGACATGATTGAATTTTATACATTGCCTTTGGCACTACTAAATTATAGTTTTATCTTCAAGAACATAAAACATGTTAAAACAATTAATACTTAAAACAATTTAAACATCATTATCATTTGTTAAAATGTAATAATTATTATAATAAAAAAATATAATAAACAAGCATATTGGAGAATTCAGCAACAAAAACAAAGTCTTAAAGTTTTAATATATCTAACATAACAATAACACAATGTAACATATTTATTTTTACACTTTTCAGACAACAGACTCTAGCCATCATGTCAGAAGATAGTCATATACCACACATTTTGAACCTTAGTAATAGTATTATAGGTGTAACTGTGTTAGCTATGCCATTTTGTTATAAAGAGGTATGTTTACAAACAAATCAAACTTTTCTGCCTGTGTGACGTGTCTACATTAATATTTTTGGTAGTTTTTGAAATTGATAAAACATGTATTTTGAAAGACACGAGCTCAACTTGGTAAAAGTTCCAGTGCCATACTGATACATTAAAAGGGCCAGATCGATAAGCTAAAAGGCCAGAAGGGTATTGATTGGGTAAAAGGCCAGAGGAGTATAATGATTAGCTTAAAGGCCAGCAGAGGGGTATTGATTAGCTAAAAGGCCAGAGGGGTATTAATTGGGTAAAAGGGCCAGAGACTATTGATTGGGTAAAAGCGCTACTAAGAGGGGTATTGATTGCATAAAAGGGTCAGAGGATTATTGATTAGGTATAGGGCCAAAGGGTATTGATTGGGTACATGTATGTGTGTATTGATTGGGGAAAAGGGTCAGAGGGTTATTGATTGAGGAAAAGGGCAAGAGGGTAATTGATTGGGGAAAGGACCAGAGGGTTTTGATTTGGTAAAAGGTCTAGTGGTTTAAAGCTAGTAAATGAATTTTAGAATGAAATGGTAATTTTGATCTTTACATCATCTGAAAAGTCTGAACAATAAATTATTTAGTCTTGTTCAGTTTTCAGTCAATTTCAGACTTTTCCACTGGGGTTAATTCAGTACTGTTCAGACAATTCCCTTGCATATTAGCAATCTATTCAGCACAGCTACCCTAAATTGTGATGCAAGTTTAGGCACAAGTAAATTTGTGCTCAAAATGATCAAAGTATATTTCTCAATCAGAAAAAGGTTACATTCCAGTGAAATCATTTGCTAGTTTAAGTAATAAACAACAACAAAACTTGAAAAGCACTATTTTTTGTCAGATAAGGGCTATATACATGTACTTTAATGTTCCAAGGCAAATGTGATTGAGTGAATTGGTAGTGTGACATCTTTCAGTGTGGTATTATCCTGGAAACTATTTATTATATTTTAGTGTGGGATTATCCTGGGAGTTTTATTTTTCAGTGTGGTATTACCGTTGGAACTATCTTATTATTTTTCAGTGTGGTATTACCGTTGGAACTATCTTATTATTTTTCAGTGTGGTATTACCGTTGGAACTATCTTATTATTTTTCAGTGTGGTATTACCGTTGGAACTATCTTATTATTTTTCAGTGTGGTATTACCGTTGGAACTATCTTATTATTTTTCAGTGTGGTATTACCGTTGGAACTATCTTATTATTTTTCAGTGTGGTATTACCGTTGGAACTATCTTATTATTTTTCAGTGTGGTATTACCGTTGGAACTATCGTATTATTTTTCAGTGTGGTATTACCGTTGGAACTATCTTATTATTTTTCAGTGTGGTATTACCGTTGGAACTATCTTATTATTTTTCAGTGTGGTATTACCGTTGGAACTATCTTATTATTTTTCAGTGTGGTATTACCGTTGGAACTATCGTATTATTTTTCAGTGTGGTATTACCGTTGGAACTATCTTATTATTTTTCAGTGTGGTATTACCGTTGGAACTATCTTATTATTTTTCAGTGTGGTATTACCGTTGGAACTATCTTATTATTTTTCAGTGTGGTATTACCGTTGGAACTATCTTATTATTTTTCAGTGTGGTATAACTGTTGGAACTATCTTATTATTTTTCAGTGTGGTATTACCGTTGGAACTATCTTATTATTTTTCAGTGTGGTATTACCGTTGGAACTATCTTATTATTTTTCAGTGTGGTATTACCGTTGGAACTATCTTATTATTTTTCAGTGTGGTATTACCGTTGGAACTATCTTATTATTTTTCAGTGTGGTATTACCGTTGGAACTATCGTATTATTTTTCAGTGTGGTATTACCGTTGGAACTATCTTATTATTTTTCAGTGTGGTATTACCGTTGGAACTATCTTATTATTTTTCAGTGTGGTATTACCGTTGGAACTATCGTATTATTTTTCAGTGTGGTATTACCGTTGGAACTATCTTATTATTTTTCAGTGTGGTATTACCGTTGGAACTATCTTATTATTTTTCAGTGTGGTATTACCGTTGGAACTATCTTATTATTTTTCAGTGTGGTATTACCGTTGGAACTATCTTATTATTTTTCAGTGTGGTATAACTGTTGGAACTATCTTATTATTTTTCAGTGTGGTATTACCGTTGGAACTATCTTATTATTTTTCAGTGTGGTATTACCGTTGGAACTATCTTATTATTTTTCAGTGTGGTATTACCGTTGGAACTATCTTATTATTTTTCAGTGTGGTATTACCGTTGGAACTATCTTATTATTTTTCAGTGTGGTATTACCGTTGGAACTATCTTATTATTTTTCAGTGTGGTATTACCGTTGGAACTATCTTATTATTTTTCAGTGTGGTATTACCGTTGGAACTATCTTATTATTTTTCAGTGTGGTATTACCGTTGGAACTATCTTATTATTTTTCAGTGTGGTATTACCGTTGGAACTATCTTATTATTTTTCAGTGTGGTATTACCGTTGGAACTATCTTATTATTTTTCAGTGTGGTATTACCGTTGGAACTATCTTATTATTTTTCAGTGTGGTATTACCGTTGGAACTATCTTATTATTTTTCAGTGTGGTATTACCGTTGGAACTATCTTATTATTTTTCAGTGTGGTATTACCGTTGGAACTATCTTATTATTTTTCAGTGTGGTATTACCGTTGGAACTATCTTATTACTTTTCAGTGTGGTATTACCGTTGGAACTATCTTATTATTTTTCAGTGTGGTATAACTGTTGGAACTATCTTATTATTTTTCAGTGTGGTATTACCGTTGGAACTATCTTATTATTTTTCAGTGTGGTATTACCGTTGGAACTATCTTATTATTTTTCAGTGTGGTATTACCGTTGGAACTATCTTATTATTTTTCAGTGTGGTATTACCGTTGGAACTATCTTATTATTTTTTTTAGTGTTGTATTATCTCAGGATTTTTATTAATTATTTTTATTTGACCGCAAAATTTGTTCAGTATAATGGTATGACATCATTATTGTCGTTGTCCGATGACATTTGGTTTCCAGACAAAAACTTGAGTATAAGTGTATTGATCTCTATGAAATTGTACCACAAGGTTCAATACCACAAAAGGAAGGTTGGGATTGATTTTGGGCGTTATTTTCCTAACTGGTCAGGAATGAGGGGCCAAAAAACAAGGATTTTCTGGTTTCCAGACAAAAACTTGAGTATAAGTGTATTGATCTCTATGAAAATGTACCACAAGGTTCAATACCAAAAAAGGAAGGTTGGGATTGATTTTTGGGTTATGCCCTTTACGATTTAGGAAAAAGGGTCCAAAAATAATACCTTTTTTAATACTTTGTATAAATTGCTTATTTCTTGAGCAATTTCAATGGGGTTTAATTCAAAGTCTTGAATTCTTGGGATTCTTTAATATGCTGAATCTAACCATGTTTTTAGATTTTTAATTTTGGGCCCTGTTTTAAAATTGGTCCACATTGAGGTCCAAAGGGTTGGAAAGTAAACTTTGTTTGATTTCAACAAAAATTGAATTCTTGAGGTTCTTTGATATGCTTGATTTTGGGCTAAGTTTTCAAGTTGGTCCAAATCGGGGTGCATGTATTTAGATTTTGGATATTGGACCATAATACATTGTAGGTAAATGTCAAATTTCAAATTTTTAAGTTCTTAGAGCACATTCATTCTGTGTCAGAAACCTGTGCTGTGTCAAATATTTAATCACAATCCAAATTCAGAGCTTTAACATACTTGTCCCAACTGTTCAGGACCTCTGCGGTTGTATCAAGCTGTGGCTTGCTGAGCATTTTATTCAGTGTGGAATTATCCTGGGAATTATTTTATTATTTTTCAGTGTGGAATTGTCCTGGGAACTATTTTATTATTTTTCTGCTCATGGCTCACATTATCCTCATGCCAGATGTTGATGAAGGCTGGTTTGTCTTCTAAAAAAAGATCCTATGGATATTTAGGTAAGTCAGTTACAATATTTTTAAAGTGATTTTTGATTGGTTGGATTTTCCAGCATTGTCAAATAACTCTTTTACTTCTTGATTTAGTATTTATGATCATGGTGGACAAATCTTTAATGTTTATCAAAATTTATTGGACCAGTGACAGTTTCTTTGTTAGAAATATCTAATGTAAATGTTTGATAACTTTACAATTGATTGATTTTCTCAGATGAGGTTTTTGTTATTACAGAACTAGGAACTTACAGGAAACCAGTATAACACCTTTTTCTTTACCACCACTTGGTTGGTACTTTATAGGATTCATTGTATGTACTTTATAATTTCCAGTATGTGAAATGTGTAACATTAAGGATTTTCTACCCCAATGAACACTTAGCCATAACCAGATTTGACACATTAGCAATCATACACATCATCTTATCTTGATATTCATAATAGTAGTTGATACACATGGTACAACTATTTGTAAAATTTGGTGTTTTATGCTTCTCAACTTATCATTGATTTGGCCTTCCAATAATTTTGATTCAACAGTTTTATGTATTTATATCATGTATACATGATATATTGGATTGTTGAGAAATTGACCAAGATAGGAACATGGTAAAACAACGAAAGTCAAAAGTAAAAAAGTAACAAATGTAGTATAATTTGGTCTCTGGTGGAGAGTTGTCTCATTGGCAATCATACCACATATTCTTATTTTTATATTCTCCTTTTACTGGATTTTATGAGCATATTAAACTACTACATATTTAGCAATTGCATAATTAAATTTTATTTTTTCAGCATATTATACTCATGGTTCCCCAGGAAAGGTTGCTGTAGAAATTGGGTAAGTAAATTGATGAAAAATAGCATCTGTATGCTTGTTAACTGTTTTTAACAGGTAAACTTTTTTCTGTGATAAAGGACATCACAAATTTTCTTTCTTCTGTCTCCTCTCTCAAATATGTTTGTTATGCAACTCCTGTCTGCTATCCCACATATGTTTGTCATTCCACATCTGTCTACTATTCCACAACCGTCTGCAATTCCACACCGGTCTGGCATTCCAAATCTGTTTGCTATTCCATATCTGTCTACTATTCCACTCCTGTCTACCTTTTCACCTCTGTCTTCTATTCCACACCTGTCTGCCATTCAACATCTGTTTGTTATTCCACATTACTCTTCCATTCAACACCTGTCTGCCATTCAACATCTGTCTGTTATTCCACATTACTCTTCCATTCAACATCTGTCTGCCATTCCACATATCTCTTCCATTTCACATCTGCCTGCCATTCCACATCTATTTGCTATTCAATATCAGCCTGCTTTTCCACATATGTCTGCTATCCCACACCTGTCTGTCATTCCACATCTATCTGCCATTCCATATCTGTCTGCTATTCCACCCCTATCTGCCATTCCATGCTTGTTTGACATTTCACACTTCTCTGACATTCCACACTACTCGTCCATTCAATATCTGTCTACCATTCCACACTCACCTGTCTGCCATTCTACCCCTGTCTGACATTTAACACCTGTCTGCCGAGCCACATTTATCTGTCATTCCACACCTTTCAGCTATCCCACATTTGTCTGCCATTCCACATCAGCCTTCTAATTCCTCATCAGTGCATGTTATTTTTTCACATGACTGACTAAATCTTTAAGGTTCATTTTAACACTAAATGATTGTGTAGTAGAACAAATATATATACAATAACTAGAGCACATTGCTATGTTCTTAGTATAAAAACATATACCTTTTAATAAGAGAACCTACCGGTAATGTTTATTTTATATAATTTTGAATAACTGAATGTTACTGTTTTATTTTAGTATGATAGGTCTACAGATGGGAACGTTAGTAGCTCAGGTTGTAATTATTGGTGATCTCGGACCAGCAATCATATCAAAATTTACAGGAATAGAGGTCAGTATCTAGGACAATCGTAGCTTACATTATAATCAGTAGGAAACTTGAACTAACAATCACAAAACAGAGGGTATGGTAAGGCCACTTTTTTTGGTCCCTTGAATTCGAAAAATCAAAAAGTACTGTAAATCTACCAAATAATATCGTTCAGATGTTCATCATGTTCATAAGATTTAGTCTGTCAGACATCAGTATTTATATTTTTGAATTTTGTCTTACATATATAGGGCTTCAAACTTCTTACATTTAGTACAAAACAGCAAAAACTTTCAAAATAGCCTCATTTTGAGATCTTGTCATTAATATTTAGATTCAAACAGCTTTTTGCTACAAAAACTATTTTACAAAGAAAATAAAATATAAGTCAAACAATTGTGACATCAGCCACTCTACACAATGTGAAGCTGTTTTGCTCATTCGCTGCCATCACTGTCCAAAAATGTTCGCATTGTGGCTCTTGGCTGATATTTTACGATATCAATGTGAGAACCTGATGATCTATATTATCATACCTCCTCCTTGAATGCAGAAATTTGTTAACTTCCCCCCTACTGCATTATCAACGAAGACAGGATTTTTTTTAAAGAGAAATTTTGTGTTTTCCAATCTTGTTTGTACATTTGTATTTTCATTTTTTATTTTATAATAAATTTGCTTCCAGAACAGCCATTTCTGCTCTTTTAACTGTGTAGCAAAATCTTATATTTTCATATAGTACAGATTTACTCTGGTCCTATCTGAAATGAGTTTTCTAAACTTTTATTATACTACCAAAAAACTATAATTTGTAGAAATATGATATGCCAGGTTACTTTCTTGGTATACTGCTTTCAACAACATTTTTATAACTACTATAATTGGCTATATCATAAGGTGATACACTAAAGACATTTTTATCCATAAAAAATACCCAATAGGATGTAAATGGTATGCTAATTAACTACTACTGACAAGGTTCCTGACTTGTTTAGGAAAAACACTTACCTTTAAAATAACTTCATGAAACTCAAATTAATAAAAGATATTATGGTTTTGGTTATTACTATTACACTAATTAAGGCACATAATGTGTGCAACAAGAGCAACATTATACAATATGAAAATAAATTGATAAAACAATAAGAGAAAAGAGAAAGCAACCCTCTGACGCTATGGTACATGGTAAGTGCATTTAAAAAGACCTTATATCTGACTTTGAGATTTAAATATGAAAGTATATGTTTTTACTATTTACAGAATAGCAGTAGACTGAGGACAGGACTGATTATATTAACATGTCTAGGAGTTGGTTTACCTTTAGGATTGTTGAGGAATCTAAACTCCATCAGTAAAGCTAGCACTCTTTGTATTATATTTTATGCTGTTTTTGTTGTGTATGTAAGTATGGATAATCATTATTGGTACTGTTTTTAATTATTTAAATTTACTTTAATTTAGAAAACAGTTGTAGACAGATATTGTTAATTCTTATGCAATTATTTTGTATCAATGGTTCTGATTGGATGACAATAAGCGTTAAATTCTCTATCTCCCTGTCTGTGACTAAGGAATCCGACATTTTGAATCCGGAATGTATTGACATGTAATTTCTTCAATAATAAGCAAAAAATACTCACATTTTGCACACAGAAATCTTCTTTTTATCAACTTTTATTACATTCGGAAGCGGACAAGAAGCCATTAAACACCCAGTGTTGACGTTTGATGCTGGAAGTGTACCTATGATGTCACCTAGTTTAGGCGCCAAAGAAGATAACATCATTTCATGGAATTTTCATTTAAGAAAATTTAACACACAAATAATGACTAAAATTAAATGATTTGTTTATTTTGCATTAGAATAGAGATAACTGTATTGTGTTTGAAGCTTTGCGGACGCCTATCGGTAGTTTTACTGTCGCAAATATCCGATTACCTGTATCCGTTACATGTCGCCAGGTAAACTCAATTTGCGACGGTAAACCACTGATGGATGTCCGCAAAGTTTCAAATACAATACAGTTATCTCTAAAATATAGCATGTTTGAATGTTGCAAAACGTTTTATGAGAGTTAATTACATTCTAAACATATATATACAAATTGATGTAGGTAATATATTATATAACATGATATATATGTGGTAAACATCAAACAGACTAGTCATGGATTAAAATTTTCTATAATATTTTTTTCCAGATTGTGACATTATCTTTGCCAAATCTACTAGCAGCTAACTGGTACTCCAAAGTATATCTATGGAAGACAGATGGACTGTTTAAATGTTTACCGATATTTTCTTTTGCTTTTGGATGTCAAACGTAAGCTCATTGTAAGGTTCTTTTCAGTTGACATGGTTGAGTATCAACTTTGTATTTAAAACAATAATGTTAATAATTGTTTTGACAGTAATGAACCTCATTGAATGACATGTTAAGAAAAAAAATTGATACCAGTATTTCAGTTCTCTGCTAAAAAAATATTTGTTCTGTTTGTAGGCAAATATTTTTTATGTCCCCACGGCTAGAGGAAGGGGGCATTTTAAAAGGTTTACTCTTGTAAGTTTGTACATTCGTGCGTCCATACATATGTATGTCCAGAAATTGGTTTCCTTCTTCTAACTTTAGTTTACCTTAACCTAATGTTATAAAACTTATACACAATGCTTATAACCAGCAAACACAGATCATTTCGAATTTATGTGTCGTCACTTTCACTGTTCTTGTGATATGCCCCTTTATAAATGGAAAATTGCCGAATTTTCTGTTTTGTACACTCAACATACAGACCCAAATGTCATTAAGTTTTAAAGAAAACAAAACTGCAATAGGTTTGAAGTAGTGCATTGTCTCTTGAATATTTACAAGCGGCCGGGGGATCTGTGTCCCATGGACACATTCTTTTTTTATTTCAAGAAGTTTTAACTGGTTACAGCAGGGGGAATAGTCTGAATTTGATAGTGCTTGTTTGAAAACAGCAAATTAAAAGTAAGTATAGGTACTAAAAATAAGTGTTGGTCAGGTTGGAGGAAAAACAAACGTTTTTTTAGGCATAAGGGATGCAGTTATAATGTCATCAAACTATAATAATACTATCCTCTCAATCAATGTCTATTTACTTTTAAATTATTGTTTACTTTATATATTATGTGATTGGATTCCAAATTATTTATATCAAGTAGATTTTTATTACACAGTTGATGAAATACTAAGGAAATAATAACCATATTCTAAGAAAAAGCTTACTTTCATGAAAGTCATTGCACAGGTACTTAACAGTGAAAAAAACTCATACCAAATTAAAAATAGTCTACATAATTTTATAACTACAAGAAAATAAAAAGGATCATATATGTATTAGAATAATAGCACCACTAAAGAAAAAGTAAAGAAAACAGTGTTATATTGATTTGTTCCTTGGTTGTTTATATAGATATAAGAAGATGTGGTATGAGTGCCAATGAGACAACTCTCCATCCAAGTCAAAATTTATAAAAGTAAACCATTATAGGTCAAAGTACGGTCTTCAACACGGAGCCTTGGGTCACACCGAACAGCAAGCTATAAAGGGCCCCAAAAATTACTAGTGTAAAACCATTCAAACGGGAAAACCAACGGTCTAATCTATATAAAAACGAGAAACGAGAAACACTTATGAACCACATCAACAAACGACAACTACTGAACATCAGATTCCTGACTTTGGACAGGTGCAAACAATTGCAGCGGGTTTAAACATTTTAATGGTACCAAACCTTCACCCTTGGCCCATGGGCTAATACGGAACGTTCACTTCTGGTTTCAGTTTTCTTACGCCTAAGCTTACTTAACTTTGGACGTATCGTTATGCATAAAATACATTTGCATCATATTTTCAACTTTAATAATATCTTACAAAAAAAATTAAATGATGTTCAGTGTTTTGTTACGTCTTGAAATGGAAATATTTCACATCCTTTTCAAGTACAACCTTCAATTATTATCACTGTTTCATTTCCGTTGATCGATCATCAGAATGCAGGCGATTTAAGAGTAAGAATAGTTAAACCCTCTGATTTATTCTTCCCAGCTACTTTAATTTGCTAGATAAAATTAATTGAAATAGCATAAGATTAAGTACTTGGACGAGAAATTAGAAATTACATCTGGCAATGTTGACAAAAATCCCATCATGAATGCGAAAAGACAAGTTCATGCAGTCATTGAGATATGAATTTCTGTATCTTCATTACGGTAAATTTCTTAGTGAAATCGAAAATTAAAATCATTTAATAAAAGTATTATGAACTGGCTGTTTCTGTATTGGCCCTGTTATAGATTCTCAATCAGCTGTATTGGCCCTCGACTCTACGAGTCTTGGGTCCAATACACCTAACCTGGAATCTTTAACAGGGCCAATACAGAAATTGCCAGTTGATAACACTATAGGATTGGTTCCAAAAACAAAAAAAAACATGAAAAAGATATGTGAAATCTTTCTTCACTTCCATTTTGCTAAAATCAAGTTACACGAATATGTCTTTCCTGCATTCTGGAACTCATAATGGACAATCTATGGTTTGCAGTAATAAGAAAATAATGGATTAAGATTTTAATTTTAAATGAAAGAGGTCAATATTTGAGTTAGAAAGTATATGCAAACCGACTAGAAGAAACTGCAACTTTTAATTTAGTATCTTGCCTTTATATGATATGAGCCGTTTATTATCTATATTTCAGGCAGCTTTTTATATTGTATGATTCCTTGGTGGATCCTTCACTGACGGGAATGAACTCTATTGTTGGCAGTGCTGTTAATATGTGTACTTGTGCTTATTTACTTGTGAGTAAATTTAAAAAAAAAAATGTGTAGCTCATATTTCAATGAGTATTTCCTTCATTTAAGGGAATTAACTCTTTCTACGAGTGATTTTATGCATACATAAACTTAATTCCTTACTGAAAGGAAATAACTCATGGGGCTTTATATTTTTTACTCATGGCTATTCCATCAAATGGATGTGGGTAGGTAAGAAGTGACTTCCCTTTAAAATTTCTCCACAACCAATATACTTATTTGAGTAATTCAAATTGAACAACCACCATAAGTTACTCACAATCCTTTTCTAAAAATAAAAATTAAATAGCCTGACTTGGTACAGAAAAAGGTGGTGTTGTTCAACACAGGACTCCTAGATATCCTCACTTGGTACAGAAACAAAATGTGGTGTTGTTAAATGAGTTTTACATGTGTACATACCTTCCGTCACATGTTGAAAATCAATGTGTAGATGCTGTTTCCAAACTTATTATAGTATGGATGCCTTGTTACAAAAACTTATTTTTATTTTACAGGTTGGATTTTTTGGTTATGTTTGTTTCTGTGATACTGATATAACTGGTGATATAATTAACCACCTTCCTTTGACGATCGTGTCTGACCTACTTAAGTTAGGATTTGTCATGTCCATTGCTATTACGTTCCCTCTTATCATATTTCCATGCAGAGCAAGCTTATATACACTCTTGTTTCCACAGGTAAGTGTAATAAAATAGTATTAATTTTTATGCCCCTGCTGTAGTGGAGGGGGCATTAAGTTTTTTCCTTGTCCGTCTGTACGTCCGTCCGTACGTCCCGAAATCAATTTCCATTCTCTAACTTTAGTTTGCCTCAACCAAATGTTATGAAACTTACACAATGCTAATTACCACAAAACACAGATCAAGTTTGAATTTAGGTGGTGTCACTTTTACGTTTCTAGAGTTATGCTCCTTGACAAATGGAAAAATTGCTGAATTTTTCATTTCCGTTCTCTAACTTTAGTTTGCCTCAACCAAATGTTATTAAACTTATACACAATGCTTATTAACACAAAACAAAGATCAAGTTTGAATTTTGGTGGTGTCACTTTAACCATTCTAGAGTTATGCCCCTTTAGAAATGGAAAAATATCCAAGTAATTTTTAAAATTGGAGTTATCTTCCTTTGTCCATGATTATAGTTGAATCAACTACAATCAATGCTTTATACAATGCAATGTTTAATTTTGACTTCCACTGATAAAACACAGATCAAGTTGAATTTGGGTAGAGTCACTTTAATCATTATTGAGTTATGCCCTTTTATAGATTGAAAAATTGCAAAATTTTTAGTTTCCATTCTGTAACTTAAGTTTGCCCCAACCAAACATTATGAAACCTATACACAATATTCATTACCACAAAACTAAGATCAAGTACAAATTTTTTGTTTCCGTTTTCTAACTTTAGTTTGCCTCAACCAAATGTTATGAAACTTATACATAATGCTTATTACTACATAATACAGATTAAGTACGAAATTTGGTGGCAACACTTTTACCATTCTTGAGTTATGTCCCTTTATAAACATAAAAATTGCTGAATTTTTCGTTTCCGTTCTCTAACTTTAATTTGTCTCAACCAAATGTTATACAACTTATACACAACCGTTCTAGAGTTATGCGTGTTTACAAATAGAAAAATTGCTGAATTATTAGTTTCTGTTCTCCACGTAAGTTAGCCTCAACCTAATATTATGAGACTTTCACACAATGCTTATTACCACAAAACTCAGATCAAGTTCAAATTTGGGTAGCGTCACTTTTATTTTTCCTCATTTTTGTCGAGCCTGCGATTAACAGCAAAAGTAGGCAAGACACCAGGTTCTGCGGAACACTTACAATTTTTTTTCAATTCCGTGCTCTAACTTTAGTGTGCCTCAACCAAATGTTACGTAACTTATACACAATACTTTTAACCACAAAACCAAGACCAAGTTTGAATTTTGGTGCCGTCATTTTACTGTTATGGTTAGGGTTATGCCAAGTTACAAATGAAAAAAAATACTATAAAATCACAGTTCCTAGATATGGCATGGGCACATAAAGAAATTAACAGAGCTTATTGTATATTTGATTATTTTAGATATACAGTTTAAGGTTACAATAGAAAATATCAAAATTTTATATGACAAACATATGAAAAAAAGTGATTTTTGATAATTGCTGAAAAGAAAATGGTTTAGTTAAAAACATCAAAGCTGTGATTAAATACATATTTGAAAGAATACACATCTACAGTTGCAAACCTCCCAAAGGTGCTATCCAGCACTTTGATTTCTTTTTCTTACCCGAAAGCATATTATAAGAGCTATTTTCTCACATTTTATCTTAAAATTCTAAGGTGTAGTTTTCTTTTTATCTCACAAAATTGGATTTTCCATGCATAATCTATACAAAATCTGACAATTTTGCACAACCTGTAGCATGATCAAGAGTCCGCTGACCCATACTTTTTATTATATTTTGGAAAAAAGCATGATAAAAACTACATTTTGACAAATTATTAAAAAATTCTATGGATTTTAATTAAGACCCCCCATCTACCTTTTAAAAACATGTTCAACAACTTTAAAGAAATCTAAACAAGAGAGGTGTACATTGAATTAATAAAAAATCAAACTCCCAAAACATAACAGAATAAAAAGAATAAGGAGATGAGGTATGATTGCCAATGAGACACCTTCAAAGTTCAAATGAAGTGAATGTAAGCAATTATAGGCAACTGTACGGCCTTCAACAATGAGAAAAACCCATACCGTATAGTCAGCTATAAAAGGCCCCAACATAAAAAATATGAAACAATTCAATTGAGAAAACTATAAGCCTAATTTATAACAAAACAATTAACGAAAAACAAATATGAAAGACATGAACCAACGACAACCACTGAACTACAACCTCCTGACTTGGGACAGGCACATAAAGAATCTGGTGGGGTTAAACATGTTGGCATGTCAGTAACTGCTAGTAGTCTGTTGTTATTTATGTATTATTATCATTTGTTTTATTTTCTTTTGTTTACTATTCTGACATCGGACTCTGACTTCACTTATACTGAGTTTTACTGTGCGTACTGTTGTGCGTTTGTTTTTTCTACATTGGCTAGAGGTATAGGGGGAGGGTTGAGATCTCAAAAAACATGTTTAACCCCGCCACATTTTTGCGCCTGTCCCAAGTCAGGAGCCTCTGGCCTTTGTAAGTCTTGTATCATTTTTATACGACCGCAAAAAAATTTTTGTGGTCGTATATTGGTATGACGTTGGCGTCGTCGTCGTCGTCGTCGTCGTCGGCGGCGTCGTCGTCGTCGTCGTCCGGCGGCGTCGTCCGAATACACATTAGTTTTCGCACTCTAACTTTTGTTTAAGTGAATGGATCTCATTGAAATTTTACCATAAGGTTCAATACCACAAAAGGAAGGTGGGGATTGATTTTGGGGGTTATGGTACTAACAGTTAAGGAATTAGGGGCCAAAAGGGGCCAAAAATAAGCATTTTTGTAACTTCCAGACATAACTTGTGTGTAAGTGTATGGATCTCTCTGACATTGTACCACAAGGTTCCATATCACAAAGGGAATGCTGGGATTGATTTTGGGGGTAATTGTCTCCAAATTTTAGGAATTAGGGGCCAAAAAGGGGCAAAAAACAAGCATTTTTCTAGTTTCATGACAATAACTTGTTTGTAAGTGTATGGATCTTTATGAAATTGTACTACAAGGTTCCATATCACAAAGGGAATACTGGGATTGATTTTTGGGGTAATTTCCTCCAAATATTAGGAATTAGGGGCCAAAAAGGGGCAAAAAACAAGCATTTTTCTAGTTTCATGACAATAACTTGTTTGTAAGTGTATGGATCTTTATGAAATTGTACTACAAGGTTCCATATCACAAAGGGAAGGCTGGGATTGATTTTGGGGGTTTTCCCTCAAAATTTTAGTAATTAGGGGCCATAAAAGGGCAAAAAAAACATGCATTTTTCTAGTTTCAGGACAATAACTTGTGTGTAAGTGTATGGATCTTTATGAAATTGTACTGCAAGGTTCCATATCACAAAGGGAAAGCTGGAATTGAGTTTGGGGGTAATTGCCCTAAACGTTTAGGAATTTGGGGCCAAAAAGGGGCCAAAAAACAAGCATTTTTCTAGTTTCCAGACAATAACTTGTGTTCAAGTGTATGAATCTCTCTGAAATTGTACTGCAAGGTACCATACCACAAAGGGAAAGCTGGGATTGAGTTTGGGGGCGATGAATCATAAGGGGGTTCAAAAAATTGGGGGGGGATTTTTTTTTCCCTTTTTTTTCTTTAACATTTTCCATTTTAAATTGGTTATTTCTGATTTATATATAAAAGCAAATAATAATGATATGGTTTGAATAGGCATACATGTGAACCTCCCGACGGGAGTACAATAATCCTGTTTTCAGGGGTCTCCTCCCCCCCTCCCGTTGAAAAAATCCCGTGTAAGAAATTTTTCATGAATGAAAAATTTCTGCCCAACATAACATCTCAGGCATCTGGTGTAACTGACATTACCTGAAGTTATATTTTACCTGTAAATCAATTAACATGCATAATTATATGGCTTCACTTGTCAGCTTGGGTGTCAAACATACTGGTAAGCAACGATTTTTACCTCAGGCTAACTGCCGTTGTGTAACAAAAACTGTGTATTTATTGGGTTACTTCCCTTGATTTATCCTGTTTTAAGTTACTTTCCTTTTAATAATGAAAATGTTTAAAAGAATATAAATAAAATATAAATTGAACAAATAATCATAAAAGGATGGTTATTAAATGATTTTAAATGTCTTAGGACAAATAAAAAAATAATAATTTGAAAATTATTTGAGGATTCTATACTTCCTTTTAAGGCTTAAATTGAAATTTATATAATAACTATGACCCTAACTTTACAGATAGAATGAATTTCTGAGTTTGCAAATAAAAACTATTTGCAAGAGAAAAATAAAAACTATTTGCAGACAGCTAAACAAATGTTCTGGTTGCAATGATTGTTTTATAGAATATGAAGTAAAAAATTTAAAGAACATACTGGAAAAAAACAATGTTAGATTGAACATGTAGAATATAAAGATGGAGAAACTTTATAAGTACAAGGGTACTATAAACATAATAAATTGGTTGGAAAGTTGAAGAAAACACACCTTAAAAGACCATTTTTACAGCACACGGTTACATTTACAACAAAATTAATGTCGATTAAAAACCTCCTGATCTGAGTCCTAATCTCCTGACCAAAATTTCCCAATCTCCTGATCTGAGTTTCACAGTCCATCACATGTATGAATAGGTAAATTGAAAATTTTTAAGTTCTTAGACCACTTTCATTCTGTGTCAGAAACCTATGCTGTGTCAAATATTTAATTACAATCCAAATTCAGTGCTGTATCAAGCTTGAATGTTGTGTCCATACTTACCCCAACTGTTCAGGGTTCGACCTCTGCGGTCGTATCAAGCTGCGCCCCAGCGGAGCATTTTATTAATTTTAGTTTCCTGTGTATAATTTGGAGTTTAGTATGACGTCCATTATCACTGAACTAGTATACATATTTGTTTAGGGGCCAGCTGAAGGACGCCTCCGGGTGCGGGAGTTTCTCGCTGCATTGAAGACCTATTGGTGGCCTTCAGCTGTTGTCTGCTCTATGGTCGGGTTGTTGTCTCTTTGACACATTCCCCATTTCCATTCTCAATTTTATTGTGAATGCTCAGCCCTCACCTAACCTGAGACAGTGGTGTAACAGCACAACATAAGAACAAACTATAAAAATTGGTTGAAAAAGGCTTGACTCATCAGATTGATCATCAAAACAAAGCAAAAAAATATCAAACATAAACACAGACCGAACGTGGCAGGGTATTTATCCATCCCTCATCCCTAACAACAAAAGGGACTTTAAGTACAGACCTGAGAGTACTGGCAGTTACTGACAGCTAGTTCAAAGCCAATAACAACTAATAAAAAAAAACATGTATCTAAGACTAAAATATCAATCAGTACACATCCAACATCCAATGGATTTAGTGTAAAAATGTCATCAACAGTCAGAGAAAAACATGACCTTGTGCAATGCCAAAATAAAGGAACAACAGATTGTAGTACCGTTAGAGTGCATATGTGTATAACAAAACTATGAGTATGATTTTAATTTACTGATAACAAAATCAATATTTATACCAATAAAAACAATATTCAAAGATCTAATTACATTGTTAAATTGGTAACCTTTAAGAATAAGTTTATTTAAAGGATTAATAAGTTTACATGGATTGTATATAAATTTCTGGGCTCGGTAAACAACATCACTGTAAAATTTAGGATGTGCTATTCTGTCTGAAATAAGTATTTTACAGGTACAGCCAAACTTGCAAACCAAATCTTTGTATCTATGGTGGAAAGAAGGTTTTTAAATTTATTGGGCTATTTCAGATCAAAAGGATGGTTGTTATAATTGTAGTTTTCACAATATAAATATAAATCATGTTTTTCTTAAACTGTATGGATAGTAGGAAAAATGCTTTCAATATCCAAACACTACATACATTATATCCTGGAAAGACCAAAACAAATTATTAAAAAATACAGATAAAGCATTGAATGAATGAATTGAATTAAAGGTGGGTAAGAAATCAAGGCTAAAGCAAATTAGAACTCAACAAAAACAAAAATAACCACTAATCTTGTCTGTAATATGAGATGGTATAATATTCAGGATTAACAACCAGTAATCTTGTCTGTAATATCAGATGGTATAATATTCAGGATTAACAACCAGTAATCTTGTCTGTAATATCAGATGGTATAATATTCAGGATTAACAACCAGTAATCTTGTCTGTAATATGAGATGGTATAATATTCAGGATTAACAACCAGTAATCTTGTCTGTAATATCAGATGGTATAATATTCAGATTTAACAACCAGTAATCTTGTCTGTAATATCAGATGGTATAATATTCAGCATTAACAACCAGTAATCTTGTCTGTAATATGAGATGGTATAATATTCAGGATTAACAACCAGTAATCTTGTTTGTAATATGAGATGGTATAATATTGAGGATTAACAATCAGTTATCTTGTCTCACAGTCTGTAATATGAGATGGTATAATATTCAGGATTAACAATCAGTTATCTTGTCTCGCAGTCTGTAATATGAGATGGTATAATATTCAGGATTAACAACCAGTAATTTTGTCTGTAATATGAGATGGTATAATATTCAGGATTAAATGTAATTAAGAAAGGTATATAAGGTAAAATTGTTATTGTGGCTCAAAAAGACTTTAAAGTTTGTACAAACAAAAATCTAGTTATTTCGTCTTTTCTTCTACATGGTTACTATTATATGTTGTTTTTTTTATACATTTGTAATTGGCCAAATTCTATTGGGTACAGTGAAAATTTTATATAACTTTAAAAGATTGCAATGTATTATTTTACAGAAACAGAAGATTGGAGAAGAATTGGAACAGAGACCAGTCCTACCAGAGATACATTTCAAAGTACTAACAGTACTAATAGTCATGTCTGCTGTTATTACAGGCATTTTGGTTCCTAATGGTAAGTTTCAAGTATTTAAATTCTCAGTTACCATGGTTACTATCTGCGTATTTCACCGATTGTGTCCTATTCCAGATTGTGACATTTTGACTGTTTGTGAATCCACATGATGGGTAATTCATGCATAGCAGGAGACACTTATCCTGTTGACACACCTAATCTCGCTCCTTCAGGAATTTATGCGATTCCTTTAATTTCTGTTACCTTGATTTGTCTCTTTTGTATCGATTATGAGATTTGAACATTGGTGAACTACTGTCGCCTTAATTTATTACAACTGTTTTATAAATAGTTCTCTTGTAAATTACAGATTTTCAGATTTTTGGACGTCAATATGGATTTAAAACATTTTGTCATGTCTAAAGGAAGTTTCAATCCTTTGAAGTCTATGGGGACTTAAAAATATGAACAATGAAATTATAAAAGATAGAATGAAGAAAGATTATATAAAATTTTGGCACTTGTTTTCTGTTGGACAGTTGTCACATTGGCAATTATATAACATCTTCTTATATCAATATTTTTATATATCAATAATTCTAAAAATATAGCAATAAGATATGCATCAATAGTGCTGCAAAGTGAGATCTGGTTTTTTTCTTATTTATATGGAGTCTTATCTACGTATTATCAGTTTTGTGTTCATGTCTTGCATTGACTGGAAGTTATATAGTTTCTTTCTTCTGATGTTTGTTATTATATTTTTATGATATTCTTACTAACAGGTTTATTTTATGTTTTCAGTTGAGTTTGTTTTAGCAATTAGTGGTGCTACAATGGGAACTCTAATTTGTTACATATTTCCTGCCATGTTTTTCCTACGTGTGATGACTGGATCATCGGAAGGCAAAAATCTGGCACAGGTAAGTTTTTTCATTACTGGTTTTATTAATCCTAAGTTACGTGACAACAAGAGATTCAATGGTCAGTCAAGTTCACAAACAAAAATAAGGTGGCTTTGACAACTTTTAGATATACCATGACTTTCACAAATTGATGCATTGTTAGGATCTTATGTGCAGAAAAGGGTATTATTTTTATTGAAATGGTGGTGTGTTTTTCCAGAAAATTTGTGTGAGTGTGAATAAGAAGATGTGGTATGATTGCCAATGAGACAACTGTCCTCCAGTCACCAAATGAAATTTACAACTATAGGTCACTGTATGGTCTTCAACAATGAGCAAAACCCATACCGCATAGTCAGCTTTGAAAGGCCCCGAAAATACAAACTAAAAACTTCTCAAACGAAAAAGCGACTGGACTGATTTATGTACAAAACAATGAACCAAAAACAAATATGAATACAGCAACAAACGACAACCACTGAAACTCAGGCTCCTGACTTGGGAGCGGACATACAGAATTTGCAGGGTTAAACATAGGAATTGATGTATATTTTGCCAATTGAAATAGATATGTTAGTTATTAGTTTGTATTTGATTTTTCCATGGGATAGGCCTTATTTTTGCTCCCAATGTGCTGTAAAATTCTAACAAAAATTGATACCCATGCAGGGTAAAATCTGCCATCAAACCACAGACTACCATTCATAATTTTTGTCTCGCCTGCGATAAAATTCGCAGTATGCGAGACATAGGTATTACTATCTGGTGGTGGCGGAGGCAGGTTAAACTATTTGTATAAAGCTTTATATTTCAGAAGGTAGAAGACCTGGATGCTTCATACCTTGTATGCAGATACCTTATGTTATGAAGTTTCCGTCTGTCATATGTCCATTGTTCTTCACCTCATTTTCATGGTTCAGCAACTGCTTGAAAAAAAATTTGAGATTTTGTCATGTGAATTTCTCACTTATTATGAGTAATAGAATAATTTTATTTGGTATTTGGGTTCCTTGCAACGTCTACATGTCCGTTAGACAGAGTTCACCTGACTTCGACCTCATTTCATGGATCAGTGATCAAGGTTAAAGTTAGATGATAAAGTCTGTTCCTCAATTACTATAAGTAGTAGGTCAACTATGTTTGGTGTATTGAATTATTGTAATGGGTACATGTCAGACTATTATAGTTAGAATTTTTAAATAAAATATGAGAAGATTGGTTTAATAATATGTTTTAAAAAAGCAAAAATGAAGTTTGGTGTTACCAAACTTGTTTCTAGCAACAAGTAAAAATAAAAAATTTCCTTAACATTCCTTTATAAATTTTTTACTATTAGAGTTATCACCCCTTAAATGTCTAAGTTGAAAAATTGACTCAAACAAAAACAAATATATTTGATATTTGTTAAAACAGTCTGAGTAATCCAAGAGATCATTTATTTTTCTTTATTAAAATAAACAGTCGCACACATTAATTGCTAATCTGCCTAAAAATTTGCAGATTAAAGCAAAAAACTAGACAGATTGTGTACTGCTATTTTTTAACATGTTTGTTTAAAATCCATATTTGTACCCACACTCCAAAGGACCATCTAAGACGTGAAGGTGACCAAGATTGTCCAATTTCGGATTTCTTCTCTGATATTTAGACTTCAAACTCTTAGAGGGATTATCATTTTGTAGGGTACCTCTACAGATATTTCTCATTAGTATATCATCTCCATGTTATAACCATTAAAAGATTCAAAAAACAAGTCTTCCTATTGTTGTGGGTTAATTAACATATAATGTAATACTTTAATTGAACATTTTGCTTTGTAGTTTGTATTTGTGTGTGGTTTTACAATCATGCTTTTGTGCACATACACAACATTGAACTCACAAGATAAAGGTCATGTTATACAGCCAGCAGAAATATTGAATCCAACACCTTCCTTACCTATTGTAAAACGACAACACCCATCTGTTCCCACCCTGGGGAAAAAAACACCCATTGCAGGTTAGTTTATTATTTTCATATAATATTAGAAATTATTTCTGTGAACAAGCAGGAACATATATATAGGACTCTAAAGTGCGATGGTCACGCTAAAGTGCGATGGTCTACGCTAAAGTGCGATGGTTGTTTGTTTTTTTAAGTGCGATCAGATGACACGCTAAAATGTGATGGTATACATGACGCGCTAAATAGCGTTGGTTTAACAAGCTTTTAAAAGTGCAATGGTGTAACGAGAATGGGGTTCAGGCAATGGTTTATGTTTTTTGCTGTGTTCATATTAGTTTTTCGTCTATTGTATTGATTATAAATCATGCTGTTGTCTTTCTCTTTTGAATTGTTTTACATTAGTCGTTTCGTGGTCCTATATACATTCTATGCGATGTAAGCCAAGCCTCCACGTTGAAGTTCATAATGTTGCTAAGTGCATATGGTCTTTGGTAGATAGTTGTTTCGTTGACACCACAACTTCTTATTTGTTTTTTGTTTATTGTTTTCTTTCTCTTTCACAGACATGACGAACCATATTGTAAAAAATTGTTTTATAAAATATTTCAATTAGAAAATTATAAAGTAGCTTTTATTTCACGCAAGTAAATAACATGGGATTAAAAATATAGAAGGAGTTTCTAAATCAAATTTGGACGAATTAAATACTTTGACACTTGGTGTATTTTGCCGTTTTCGCTCTCTTTTACGGTATACACCTTCCAATTACTAGCGTCAGTTTCTAAATTTATGAGAAGTACCGTTAAATTCGTTAAATAAGCCGCAGGTTTTTTTCTCTGTCATTGTCCCTGCGTGTTATACTCAGGTGCGCTTTATGTACGTATATTTTCAGTGTTTCAGGGCAAGTGTGAAAAAAAAATTATATCTGGATTTTTTTTATGGAGACCTTCAGATTGTCAAGTGCTTGCAGTGACTTGATAAATTGTTCATGTGGCATATTTTGTTATGAATAAAAATATATATACTTTATCATTTGTTCTTTATTTCATTGTTGGCTTACGAAGTTGATAACCATGAGTGTTCATTACATAAACAAAGAAAGATAACTGTGTTTGAAAGAGGTACCATACAGGATATTAATTGTGTATTTACAATAAATATGTAATGGTTTGTTGTTTTAATGTGTTTTTAAATAAAATCTCCTAAAGGAATAATAAAGGAAGTGATTGTGTTTCTTTCCAATATTTCAAGTCTCTTTTAATGACGATGGTGATAACCATGTGCTGAAATGAACCCTTTAAAGTGTTTCATAAACAAAGAAAGATAAGCGTGTTTGAAAAGAGGTACCATACAGGATATACTATTGAGGAGTAACTGCTTTTCGTTTTATTGTGTTTCAAAATGAAATATCTTCATGAAATATTGTAGCCACATATTATCGGATGTATGAAATGAAGAAAAGAATATTAATTTTCATAATTTAATATGCTAAGACATTTATATATCGCCGTCTTATTTGAATTCCCCTTTCCGTGGCCCATCTCACTTTCAGTTAAAAATAGACAATGACTTGCAGAAACTGAATGGTTTTGTTCGTAGTATTCAACCAAGTTTAAATTTAAAAATGTTCGAAGCTAATAAACTAAAACTTTTATTTTATAGACAACAATAAAATTCTTCAAATTTAATTTGATAATTTGTTTTCCCCCTGACTTATGCGTGACCAGTTAACATGTGGCTACAGGTATACCTGGTATTACGTAATAATCAAGGTAAACAATGGCAGTTTTATGGCTTGAGTGACCTTTAATGAATACATTTTCAAGAAAGATTAAAATCCTTGATTCCAATTGAAACAATTAACGAGCAATCATCACAAAACTAATTTTAATCAAAACAACAAGTTCAATGGCCATTGTTGACAAAAACAACTAATGAATCTGGCGTCATTAAAACAATAAGAAAAGTATAATAATTTTATTAACATTTTTTATTTTAATATGAAACAAATACATATAATCAAAATGCCTTTCAACTTTCTCAACAATCTGAAAATAGAAATGAAACATGTTACGCAGTGAGTTACAAAAACGAGTGAACATTCATTACTCTAAGGTCAGTAGAATGCATACTACGTTTTCATTAGGGTGCGCTTTATATTCAGGTGCGTTTTATGTAAGGAAAAAAACACTTCTTCCCCCAAAAAACGGCCGTGCGCCTTATTTAGGGGTGCGTTTTATTTTCTGCAAAATACGGTATTCTTTTCCAGTATCCTGTCAGAAACCCGTGTATCCCCGCTGACACAAACGCATTTTCGCGGAAAAACGCACTTTAGGGTATCGCAGCATTGGACTTTAGCGTGTTCCGTCGCACTTTAGCGTGACCATCGCGTTTTAGCGTCCCCATCGCACTTTAGAGTCCTACATATATATTGACGGGACTTGACACTACCTAATTGTAGCCAATTTTATCATCGTGCCATAGGTAATAAAGATACGATATGGAAACGGACATGTGTTAAAAACTTACTCGCTATTATCCTAATAATTTCTGATGATATGAATAAAATGTCATTCAAACTAATTTTACAATGATGCCAGTGTATCAAACTTGTATTCTGTCATTTCAAATTTGTTATAATCGCATTCATTTTATCACAGAATGGTACAGAATGCAAACAGGGTAATAAAAAAATGGTGTTGATTGCATTCCCAAATTCAAAAACATTATAAAACACTTCACATCAAATAAATCACACTTATTTTGGTCATTTTATATGACAAAATATATCTACTTTATGATAAAACTTGTAGTTAGTTACGTTTAGAATTTTGTGGTTAATTTATTGAGCAGTTCCGATAGTTTTTCAGTCAGACGCCACCAAAATCCATAAATCTCGCGAAGTCTTGAGGAGTCCGAGATTTTATTAATTTTATACTGAAAAGCCTATCAGATTCATTTCCTGTTAGATATACTGTTCCCAGGAACAAGTTAGTACAGATTATCAAATTTTTGCATTTAGATATTGTAAATTTATCAGTTATGAGTCACTCTATGTAGTTTTTAATTGGTGAGTTAGTGCAGCAAGCTAAACAATCTTCATATTGTGCCCAGATACTGATAGTTTTCAATATCAGCTTGGAGTCACTATGCGAAACACTTTATTATCTACTAATGTTAGAAATGGTAACATAATAATAATTGAAGGATAATTTGATAATCCATTAATTTTTTGTATTTGAATTGTATTAGGGATCACAACAATAGTTTTTCGTGAGCACAAAGAAAACTTGATAAGTTGGGGTCAAACATGTTAGTGATCGGTTAACCACTATGCTGTTGGTGATATGTCTGGTAAATCAAGTTCTAAAAATATGATGTTACAAAATTGTTGGGCCTGGATAGCCCTTTATTATCACATTTCATTGCAAAATTCATATTGTTAAAAAAAACATGACAGTGTCTAGTTTTTTTTCAATAAGGGCTATTCCAGAAAGAAAACAAAATGGGGGCTGGTGGGTTGGAAGACACTTAATTTTATGGCCATCATCCATACAATTTTGTTTTACTATGCATCCATAACTTCACAATTTGAACTTTGTGGCCTGCCCCCATAATACAAAAATAATTCAAGCCAACCCTCCCCCCATATATTTTTTTAAATAGCCCTAAGGTTATGTCAGATACATATAGGTATAATCTGCCTTTAAATTTGATACCCGGTAATCACAAAACATATTTTTAGAAAACTTTTTGGTGAAGAAATTCACATACGGTAAATATATCAAACATCTGATTAATTCAGTTTTCATTTGTACATCATACATCATACTGATATAGTAAAACATATGTGTAATTATTAATACAAACTATTTACAGATCCTATAAAGGAGAGTAGAATTGAGCCACCAAATCCAAGAGCCCCTATTGAGGTAAGAATAGATAAATATGATTAAAAACTCTTTTTTTGATTAATTGATTGATTGATTGTTTGTTTTCAACGCCACTTTCAGCACTCTTGGCTATATCTCGGCCAGTTTTTCCTGGGGGAGAAAGCCGAAGAGTTTGGTGAAATCCACCCACCGTCAGTAGGAAAACTCGCAATCCTAGTCAGTTAAGATAGGAGTCAAACACACCCGCTATGAGCCGAGTAGGACTGACAACCTCAGTGTTGACAGGCTAGTGACAACTGAACCACTTTATTCTTTATTTCAAAGCATTACTTTTATATATTTACAAAATATTATGAACTAAAGTTAGCAGCTGTAGGTCACCGTTGAGCTTCAACAATGAGCAATACCCAGACTCCATAGAAAGCTATGGAAGGCCCTGCATGAAAAATGTGAAACAATTTGAATTAGAAACTAATGGTCTGATTTATGTACAAAACAATAAACGAAAAACAAATATGACATACAGCAACAAATGACAACCACAGAATTATAGGCTCTTGACTTGGGACAGGCATGTATAGAACGTGGTGGGGTTAAACACTTGGGACAGGCACGTATAGAATGTGGTGGAGTTAAACATGTTAAACACCTTACTCTCCACCTGACCTTCTTAAATTGTTTAACAGCACAACATCAGAACAAACTACAAAAATCAGTTGAAAAGGGCTTCAATCGTCAGATCTATACAAAGCACAAAAACAACTAACAAAAACACAAACAACACAAAGTACAGATCTGAGAGAACTTAAAGTTACTGAAAGAGGGACGAAAGATACCAGAGGGACAGTCAAACTCATAGATCGAAAACAAACTGACAACGCCATGGCCAAAAATAAAAAGACAAACAGACAAATAATAGTACAGATGACACAACATAGAAAACTAAAGACTAAGCAACACGAACCCCACCAAAAACTGTGCTTAGTTCAAAGACAATAACAACTAATGAAAAAAAAAATCAAGTATGTAAGACTAAAATATCAATCACTACACCTGAAATGCATTTATTGTAAAGACATCATAAACAGTCAGAGAAAAATATGAATTTGTTCAATGCCGAAATAAAAGTATCGACAGAATGTAAGACTGTTCATGTTTATAGCTGTTTAGAAATAATATTTAGTTATGTTTTATTTATTGGTTACAAAATAAAAACAATATTCAAAGATCTTCTTACTGTGTTAAATTAATACCTTTTAGAATAAGTTTATGTCGTTGGTTCATGTCTGTCATATTTTTTTTCATAAATTGTTTTAATTTATTCTCAGTTGAATTGTTTTATATTTTACATGTGAGGGCATTTTATAACCACCTATACAGTATGGGTTTTTCTTATTCTTGAAGGCTGTATGGTTGCCTATAATTGCTTATATCCATTTCATTTGTAATTTGGTGGATAGTTGTCTCATTGGCAATCATTCCACATCTCCTTATTTTTTATATTATAACTGTTTTCGTTAGTGTAAAAGGTTTATACATCTGCTTCAGTTAATTTTTACTGATGGTATAGCACTTCTTACAGAATCTTACTATATATTTGGTGAGTGAAAATGGGGACTTTTGATTTGATGGATTAAATGTGAAAGTAGTTTTGTTTCAAAATGATTTAAAGGTCAAAGGAAAAAAATAAGTTTGAAGAAAATTGTTTAACAATATGACACAGAAGAAGTCACAGGATTTTTGTGTTTCATTGGTTACTAAATTTTAAATCACATCTTAAAAATAAAAGTACTTTCACAGATTAGGCCAAAATTAAAATTAAGTTTGTTTCCCCTTACCCGACCGACCCTCTAAAAATCCGCCGACTGAAATAATTTTTTTCGAAAATCACGTTGTTGTTTTTTTTTTCGTTTCGCTCAAAAGTTCGTTTTTTAATTTCGTTTCCTTGAATGGTCCGTATTTTCAACATTCCGCCAAATCATTGTCGCCCGTGTGTTTGCAGCAAAGGGTAAACAACGTATGCAAGGATACTGAAATTGGAATGGAATAATGTTTTAAATAAATGCATCCAAGCAATCTTAACTACTATTCCATTCTAGCTACGCCTCCAATAACAAAATGCGTAGCGAGAATGGTCGAGTAGTTACGATTGCGCATCAAAGCTCACCCTTGAGCTTAAATGTTAGGCCCGGTGTTTATGTCGTGTTTGTGGTTAATCCCTGAGTTCGCCTTTATCAGTGGTTGACTCAATAAGTTGTATATTGGCGTGCTATTTATGCTATTTTGTTTCATTTCGTATGTGATATTGGACCATACACTAGTTGTCTTTGGATAAAATAGTAGTTGATTTTTTTCGAGCTCAGCATCATATTGTGTTGTGAAAAGTCGAGATGACTATACCAGCTAATGCTTTGATAAAAGTTCTTGTAAGTTCTTATGTCTTTTATAAGCTATAATGGGCTGATGATTAAATATGGTCACACATTCAGGGTTTTGTGAAATAAGATGCCAGTTTTTCATTATTATATTTTTAGTTTCTGTATAGATGGGTTGGATTTTGTTAACATTACTAGCGGTTGCTCCCGTTTCGCTGGGCGATGTGTTAGCAAGGTTTCCCTTTCTGTATTTTGTGTTTGATAAAAAAAATCGTTGATTTCAGATATTTGATATCCTCGTTTGAGCTTCTTACTTTTTTTTTAAGATCAATTTTGCTGCTTGTGTTTCTGAGATACCTCAATACTTCACCCTTGATAAATCCTTTCAATGAAAACACTTTTTGGGTGTGAGCAGTGTCTGTGGAGATATTGATATGTTTCAGTTGGTTTGATATTGGTTTTAATGTCTTGTATCATACTATGCCTTCATTAAAGAATCTTTCTCCTTTGTATAATTATGACAGTGTCTAAGAATATTGTTTCATTACAGGAAAATTCGTAGGTGAACTTCAACTATCATTATCATTTTGTTTCTCTGTGTTGAAAGCATTGTAAAATGTGTTCAAGAATTAACAAACATTGTAAGGTCTGCTAACTCAGCGAATGCTGATCCGCACATAGGCACGCCCAAGGTTTCATGGTAAAGTTTATTGTTAAAAATAAATTCATAGTTTTCTAGAATAAGCCTTAATAGGCGTAGTCATACTCGCTTGGATCATGGTTTGTGGCTTCTAGTATTTCCTTAAATGAAAAACAAGTGTACATATTTTTTGCATCGAATGTTACTAGGTAGCAGTCTCGGGGTTTTATATTTTCAATTGAATTAATAAAACTATAAGAAAGATATAGAACCGTGTCTCAATTTATATGTGGTCTACTCTAAGTCACAAAGGCATTGATATTTACAAACATTTTCTAGTCTGAAATTGTAAGGTCTTCTAGTCATGCATTATACGTTATACAGTATGTTGTTTTGGTATCAATAAAGTTCAATTTGTTGTTTTTCTGTGTTTTCCTGTATGTTAGATATATTTAAGGGATTTTCTCTAAAAAAAAAAAAAAAAAAGCCTACCTACCTACCCACTTCCAAAATGGTGGGTAGGGTAAGGGGAAACAAAGATATTTTTAATTGCGGCCTTACTCTACGGGAAATTAAAAATTTGTTGTAATTTCTTTTCTTTATCTTACTGTCTAAGTACGGCTGTACCCCTTTCTAACTAACTATTGATAATCTGACCAGAATTTATACTAAAACACAAGTATTTTTACAGTTATTATATATAAGACCAGGTTTTTTAAATTTTTTGTTTACAAATTTTTTATTTTGAAAAAGTCAGGTCGGTTGCTGGAAAAAAAAAGAAAAAATAACTAACAAGACATAAATATGTATAGAATAAATAAATTTTTTAGCTTAGGTACTAACAATATTTTTGGTATGTTTTTAGTCATCTGTTCTTAAATTTTAGCTCCTATCATTACTGTTCAGCTGGTTTAAACATACAATGCATGCCATAGTCATATAGTTTTGTTAAAAGGGGGGTTTGTCCATGGTCAAATATGAGTTAAATGGTCATCTATGGTCCGATATAAAGACGAGAATATCAGTTTGATTCCTTGTAAGGCAATCCAGCTTTTGTGCTTTTGATGTCCAAATGGACAAACACTTTATTAATCTATGAAACAAGAACATTTCCAATTGTTTGTGGATATCAGTTACTTTTAACTTGACGTCTCTCACATTTGGATGGGTCCATTTCATCTAAGAGATGAAAAATCTTACAGAATTATGACATAAAAGGAAAACAAACTTATTATAACAAGCTTTTAACATAGGATTCGTTCCACAAAATTATTTTGACAAACAACATTTCAAGGTCAGTTTTGATAGTCTATTTTAGAAACACAAAAAAATACCGATTATATTTTAGATTTTTATTTTTTAGAACACACTGTAATCATTTACATGATTGAATAATGCATTTGATTTCAGGAAAATGCTACTACACATATATTTTTATTTATCCTGCAATTGACCTTTCTACTATACTAATACAGGTGTACAGATAACACGAAGTGATATACATATGCTAGACGTATATAATCTCCTGGTATCCTGCTTCTGTTGCGAGCGAACGGTTATGTCAAATTACTGTTTACGTCACAGTTCAATTTGGGGTCCTCATTGCGGTCCGTGTTTAAGTCAAGTCGATTTCTTTCAAAAACAAATTCAACGATTGAGATGGAGAAAAATGTACAAAAGTAATTGCAGGATAAAGACACTAACAGTTATTGTCTATTTATAGTTCAGGGATAATGTATTTGTAAGGGTCTGTGAGAATAAAAATATTTGAATCTTGTTCTGAAAATTGAAAAAAATAGGGTCTGTCACTGGATCTGTAAACCATCAAATTAAAAACCCTCACCTAATAATAAAAAGGATTACACCTAACACCTAATAATAAAAAGGATAACACCTAACAATAAAAAGGATAACACCTAACACCTAACAATAAAAAGGATAACACCTAACACCTAACAATAAAAAGGATAACACCTAACACCTAATAATAAAAAGGATAACACCTAACAATAAAAAGGATAACACCTAACACCTAACAATAAAAAGGATAACAGAAAGTACAAATTTACCAAAAATTATTGAACAAAACAACGGACCATACCAACTGCCAACTCCTCAAAAAACAACATCAACAAACAAATCATGGTCTCACTTGGTACAGACACCAAATGTGATTGAATTAAACCAGTATTACCTGCACATTAACCCTTTCTGCCTATCTAGACTATATGTTGTTAAAGTAAAACACAATAAAAAAAACCTGGACATAATGACCCCAACTTAAAAATAAAAGAGGATACATATAATCTGGAAAATATAGTCATAATGTGCTCACTACAACTGGAAACTAGTGAAGGTACTACCTTTGACCCTCTGGACATTAGTCCAAGTGAAAAAGTCTGATTCACTAACACAACTTTTACTTGAGCCATTTACTGCAAAGAAACTTACAAAATCATGGCAATAATGAAAAACTATGAAAGACAATCAACAGTCTACAAAACAATTCATAAAAAACAAAACACTGAGCAACACAAACCCAACAAAAAAACTGGGAATAAATTCAGATGCTTTGGAAGGGTAAGGGTACCAGTAATAATCTCTATTTTAATCTGCACTTTCCTGTCTATCAACACTTTTAGATATGTATCTAACACATAAAACAAACAAATGTAAGTGTGACTTCAATAATAATAAAATAATGTTCTAACCTGTCAATCTGGTGTTTCCACTTTAAATAGAGTATTTATTGGTCACGTGTCTTGCCAACCTTATTTAGGCATTATTCAATTTTATATCCTAAAAGCAAAACATTAACTTTGCTGATTCTCCAAAACCTTATGGGAATATGCCCCTCCAATGTTTGTTCAGTCAAACCAAACAATTGGAAAATAAAAAAATGGACTTGCCATATCTGCCTTAGGGAAGCTTGTAACATTCATTTAATCAATAACTGAATTTCAGTTCCATTTTCTCAGAATCTTTCTAACAGAATGCCATGGTTTAATTCATATTTATTTTTTATGATTTGGTTTATGCAGTTTCCCATAGAAAATCATGGTATTTGCCAAAAAAAAAAAAGAATTATCCTCTTAGAAACAGACAGATTCTTTAGTGTTATTTTCACATAATTTTCACTGCCATATGGAAAGGAGTATCTTCTATATTATATTATGATTTGAGTTATTATCTTATGTCAGCAAGGACTTTATCATATCTTTACATGTTTGTGACATTAAATATGGATTGTTTCTAATTTTTATTGGAATAAACTTAACTTTTATATTCTGAAAAAATTCCATAGCATTTTAATAGATTTTTAATGAATGTATTAAAGTATTTTTGAGTGCGTGGATACAAACTATTGTGGTTCCATTAATTTCAATGGGTAAGGTTATAAACTTAAGTTGATGAACTCAACAAATAGTCAAAATCTAAGCAAATCATATCAAATTGACAAAAGAACTGTTAATTCATCAATTTTAGTTTGATAGTATGTAGATTTATACAGATAATCTGATATTTTGAACTGTTACAGCGAGAGAAGAAAAACACTATAATTTCAAACAAGAATTTCTTAAGAATGTTTAAAAATTAAGTTTTCAATTTTTTCCCAGAATAAAAGTGAGGATGACAAGATACATGATAGACAGAAGTTAAACATTAGCATGAAAGACAAAAGGGAAGAAAAGGTTGTTAATACAATAAACAAAATCAAAGATCGGCAGAAGTCACGAGAGAAAGACAAACAAATAGAAAACATGAAACAGAGTGTTGATACATTTAACAAAAGTAATAAAACTGAAGACATAAAGAAAATAGAATCTGTAAAAGTGGATACAAAGAAGGATGAAGAAGAAAATAAATTATTGAATGAATTAAAGAAACAGCATGAAGAACAACAGAGATTGATTGATGAACAGAAGAAAATTCTGGCTGAACTGAAAGAACACAAAGAATTGGACCATAAAGTAAGTAGGTCAAGGGAGACAATAACCCCAAACAGTAGAAACACAAAGAAGTGGACCATAAAGTAAGTAAATCAAGGGAGACAATAACCCCAAACAGTAGAAACACAAAGAAGTGGACCATAAAGTAAGTAAATCAAGGGAGACAATAACCACAAACTGTAGAAACACAAAGAAGTGGACCATAAAGTAAGTAAATCAAGGGAGACAATAACCCCAAACAGTTGTAACACAAAGAAGTGGACCATAAAGTAAGTAAATCAAGGGAGACAATAACCCCAAACAGTAGAAACACAAAGAAGTGGACCATAAAGTAAGTAAATCAAGGGAGATAATAACCCCAAACAGTAGAAACACAAAGAAGTGGACCATAAAGTAACTAAATCAAGGGAGACAATAACCCAAACAGTAGAAACACAAAGAAGTGGACCATAAAGTAAGTAAATCAAGGGAGACAATAACCCAAAACAGCAGAAACATACCTGCCAACTTTCCTGATTTATGTGGGATTTCACCCATGAGAGTTAATGACTGGACTCTTCATATCTTCTGTTTGTATATATATTGGTAGGACGTTGGCGTCGTCGTCGTCCGAAGACACATTGGTTTTCGCACAATAACTTGAGTTTAAGTGAATGGATCTCTATGAAATTTTACCATAAGGTTTAATACCACAAAAGGAAGGTTGGGATTGATTTTGGGGATTATGGTACCAATAGTTAAGGAATTAGGGGCCTAAAAGGTGCCAAAAATAAGCATTTTTGTAACTTCCAGACAATAACTTGTGTGTTAGTGTATGGATCTCTCTGACATTGTAAGACAAGGTTCCATATCACAAAGGGAATGCTAGGATTGATTTTGGGGGTAATTGCCTAAAAATTTTTGGAATTAGGGGCAAAAAACAAGCATTTTTTTAGTTTCATGACAATAACTTGTGTGTAAGTGTATGGATCTTTCTGAAATTGTACTACAAGGTTCCATATCACAAAGGGAAAGCTGGAATTGAGTTTGGGGGTAATTGCCCAAAACATTTAGTAATAAGGGGCCAAAAAGGGTCTAAAAATAAGCATTTTTCTAGTTTCCAGACAATAACTTGTGTTCAAGTGTATGGATTTCTCTGAAATTGTACTGCAAGGTATCATACCACAAAGGAAAGGCTAGGATTGATTTTGGGGGTAATTGCCTCAAAATATTCGGAATTAGGGGCCAAAAAGGGGCAAAAAACAAGCCTTTTTCTAGTTTCAGGACAATAACTTGTGTTAGTGTATGGATCTTTATGAAATTGTACTACAAGGTTCCATATCACAAAGGGAAAGCTGGGTTTGAGTTTGGGGGTAATTGCACTAAACGTTTAGGAATTTGGGGCCAAAAAGGGGTTAAAAAACAAACATTTTTACAGTTTCCAGACAATAACTTGTGTTCAAGTGTATGGATCTCTCTGAAATTGTACTGCAAGGTACCATACCACAAAGGGAAGGCTGAGATTGAGTGTGGGGGTGATGAATCATAAGGGGGTTAAAAAAATTGGGGGGGGGGATTTTTTTTCTTTAAAATTTTCCATTTTAAGTTGGTTATTTTTTATTTATATATAAAAGCAAATAATAATCATATGGTTTGATTTCATCAAAAGTTGAAATATTGGGGTTCTTTGATATGCTGAATTTAACCGTGTATTTAGATTCTTAATCTTTGGTCCCGTTTTCAAATTGGTCTAAAGGGTCCAAAATTAAACTTAGTTTGATTTTAACAAAAATTGAATTCTTCGGGTTCTTTGATATGCTGAATCTAACCGTATATGTATTTAGATTTTGGATATTGGACCATAATAGGTAAATTAAAAAAAATTTATAAGTTCTTAGACCACATTCATTCTGTGTCAGAAACCTATGCTGTGTCAAATATTTAATCACAATCCAAATTCAGAGCTGTATCAAGCTTGAATGTTGTGTCCATACTTGCCCCAACTGTTCAGGATTCGATCTCTGCGGTCGTATCAAGCTGCACCCAGCGGAGCATTTTATATAAACTTAGTACCTCCAAACAAAAAGTTAAAATGACAGTTAAGCACATACAGACTCATTCACAACCATAATATATTAGATGATAGCATTTATGATATATAAGATGCATCAGACACTCTGGTGCTTAAAATTTCCCTGGGAGATTTTAAAAAGTAGGCAGATTTACATTTAGTGTTTTCTCATGCTAAATATCTTGACTACAGCCAATATTTAATTATATATGCTGTTGAGGTAAGGATAGTTTAGTATAAGCATATTTTATTTGCCAAAAACAAGGCCAAAAGTATTAGATCCAAGTTAATCAAACTTGGAACTTCTTCTCCTTATATAACCACATTCTAACAATGTTTTTTTTATGGCTGAAAGTTGCTTCAATGTGGTTTAACAACAGTATTTAACGCATTATAAAATGCACACAACCAAACTATTACAACACTTTATATGCAGAAAAATAGTTTTACTAACTACTGCATGTAATTTAATATTCCAAACCAAACAAAAAACATAGTAAAGACAAACTGCTAATAAAAAGAATAATGCCAATTTATTTTAACTGGGTTTTCTTGAGGAAAAATCCACTTATTATTTTGGTGAAGTACGGCTTGCTGAGCGTGGATGGAAGACTGCAAACATTTCTGTGCAACAACTTTTGAACCTTCAACCAATGCTTTTCAAATTTAAATATTTTATTATTGATTTCAAAATGGAGGTCAAGCTTAGTATTGACGATTTTCACTGTTAGTGTTCAGGAGTTATGGTCCTTGATAGATTAGAAAATGGCAATTTATGTTGTTTCCATAACTTATCAACTGTTCAACCAATGCATTTTCAAATTTATTATGTTGTTAGCGATAACAAAATGGAGGTCAAGTTCAGCATTGATGATTTTCACTTTTACTGTTCAGGAGTTATGGTCCTTTAAAGATTTTAGAATTGCACTTTGTATTGTTTCTGTTTAATAATCTATAAACTGTTCAATCAATCCTTTTCCAACTTTAATATGTGGTTACTATTGACAAAATGAAGGTCAATTTCAAAATGATGATTTTCACTTTTGCTGTCATAGTCATGGTCCTTGATAAATTTGAAAATAGACCCATAACATGGCAGTTTAAACAAACTTTACAGTGCTTTCAAAACAGAAAACCCAGTTTGCTGTCATTTTGACAGCTCTTTTCTTGTTATATAATGACTAATGGCTCACATGATATTCTTGCTGATAAAGTCAGTATCATAAACAAAAATGCATTTATTCTATATATCTATCCAGTTTTATTCAACTGCTTCTTGTTGATGTTTCACCATATTCAAAGCATACTATTAAAACAGTTTTCCTTTACATGTTATTTCCTTGCTTGCAGATTGTAGATATTGATAAACAACAAAGTGTTCAGAAACAAGCTCCAGCAGATAGTCGACAACAAGCTCCAGCAGATAGTCGGCAACAAGTTCCAGGAGAACGGCAACAACAGTTGCCACAAGAACAAGTTCTGGTGGACAGCCAACAACAGTTGCCACAGCAACAAGTTCTAGTAGACAAACAAGTTCCAGTAGACAGCCAACAACAGTTGCCACAGGAACAGGTCCCAGTAGACAGCCAACAACAGTTACCACATCAAGGAGTTCTAGCAGGCAGACAGCAACAAGAAGGAGGAAAACATAATGTGGAACAACAGGAAGTAGAAAAACAAATAAATATCCCTGTCAGGGAAAGTTCTAACCAGGGTCATCCACAAAAAGTTGATAATAATGAACAAAATATGGATGACAATTTACGATTAAAAAGAGACATTCACAATCTAATAAATTTAAAAGGAGTTAAAGAAGATGTAAAAGAAAAAGCAAAAACAGACAAAAATAAAAAAGGTGCTAAAAAATTGAAAGATACAAATAAAGACGTTAATGATGAGATGAAAAGAAAACTGTTAAGTGAACAGAATCCAAAATATAACATTGAAAAGTCAAGATAGTACTTACAGAAGCTGTAGTCATTTAATTTGGTGTACATTTTATTTTTTGTTATTTTTACAGTTATATGCATGTCAAACATTTGTGTAATAACAAATCAAAAGTACAGTACATTTGTGTAATCTGAAATTTATCTTGTCCTACCTACAAAATTAAAGAAGTTACACCATTTCATGTATGTAATAAAATGTGTGTTTCCTATCACAATTGTGTAATGTGAATTTTTTAATGCAATATTAATGTTATTTTATTTTTTTCGAGGACAGAAAATAGAATTAGACTGTTTTCTGAAAATTGAAGAATTAGTTTGTTTATTTCAGTAGTCAGTAGTATGAAACATTGAAATTTCATTTCTATGAATATTAGCTTTAAAAAGTTCTCTTTCCACAGTCCTACCTTGCTATTATATTTTTTTTTTACAAACAGTGATTTGACTACAGCCTTTACAGTTAAAGTCAAGTCATAGCAATACACTAACAATGTATTGACTGAAAAGGGGATAATCTTTCTTAACAGAATTTGCTAATCGGAATTTGTGTTATATCATGTATATGTTTAATCCACACTTAATCACTGTAAGCCAAGAGCAAAACTTTTGAAGTAAATTCTGTAACAAGCTGTCTTCTTTTACCTTAAAAATATGTGATGTGAGCTGCATTGGATAGAAATCGATCTTATGCAAGTGCATGTATACATGTACATGTATAAGACATTGATTGATTTTAGAACATCTAAATATGGAATAAAAGATTTATTTTGGTCTGTTTAGTAGATTTTCCTATAACAACTCAATTTTCAAACATTAACAGGCTTTCCAAAGAGATTTTTTCAATCCGAAATAGGTTAACAGATGTATTGATAATTATTTGCATAAGGTCGATTTCTATCCGACGCTGCTCATACAATGAATTTTATAGAGTGTCTTCCTCAACCATTATACTAACTATAAAAGTACAAATGTCCAAGAGCATTCTAATGAAAATAAAGAGACAGAAACAAAAGTGTGGCATAGGTCTGTTCACTCATCTCTTATTTAGGTTTTTCTCATACACAATTTTCTTTCTTTCATTCTTTTTTTCTCTCTCAGTATTATAGTATTATCTGTGATAAAAATTCATCTTGAATGAGAATTAAATTCATTTGATGGATACAAGTTTTCATGTTTTGAGAAAAACAATGCTTTTAAAACAAAATTAATTGCATTCTAAATATTTTAGGATATTCAATCATTGGTGTACCTTGATTCTCATGTAGGTATGCATGAACAACGGAATAACCCATTATCATTTAGGTATACGAACAATGGAATAATCCATTATATTTTAGATTCTAAAATGGTGAATATATTTTTTGAGGTTTCTTTGATTTGATCTTTTTCTTACAGCAAAGCAAATCATGATCTGCTTTCATTTATGACATAAAGAGTTTGATTAAAATGCTGAAGGAAGGATAATGACGCTACAATGTAATTTCAATTAGGGGTTTTTTTTTTTTATAAATTCTGTGGTTAGCTGAACAGATTGGAAATGAAAAAAAACTATATACAAAAATTTTATCTGCATTCCTATATATTTTGTTTACCGGCATACATTTTTGGAGTAGGACCAATTTAAGTATTTATAAAGAATAAGTTTTATACTTTTGAGTTCCTACCATGGTGATGACAAACTGACAGATATACATCTGTTGGTTAAAAGTTATTCCCAAGGTCTTCAGATCATTGGACTAATGTGGAAAAAATATAAATCATTGACCTTGAACAAAATGATTTTAGATCTTATATTCCTTTTCTTCCATTTATAATTATCTTTTTGGCCACAAGTTGTTTACAGAATCATTACTAAAATGAAAGTTTTTTACAGACTTGCGTTTGAAATGAAATTATTTTATCAAATTGTTTGCAACACGAAATTAATAGGCTTAGGTCATTACTTAATTTGCATATAAAATTATTCATATGGTAGTGTTCTAAAGATTATTTGAGAAGTTTAGAATTTTTACTTCCAGTAGCCTGTTTAAGAAAAATATAGATTTTATTTTTCAGGGACAAATGTATATTCAAAGTAACATATATTTACATGTATAGATTTTTGTATGTTTTTGTGTAAATTACTGTTATTTAATATTTTGTAATAGTTGAAATTTGATTTTACACTCCAGCCTCTGAAGTAAATACAATTAACTGCATTGAGAATTTCCTAACTTCAAACAGAAAAACTATATACCTCCATATATCAAGCTTATAACATGTAGATGTAACAAAATATTAGCATTGAATTTCAATAAGAAGCTTTTCTCCAGGAATTAACACAGTGAATTAGCTATAAAACATTTTGTTGCTGGGGAACATATGTGCAATTCATTTCAGATTTGCAGTAAAAATAACATTTTCAGCAATTTCTTTGTACAAATCGCTAACTTGGATATGCATGATGACATGTTTCCAAGCTGAGACATTTTCACAGATTGCATTAAATTTAATGGAGTACCATGTGAGATTCAAATTTTTCATAATTTGTCAACCCCTGAAAGTCTCTTTCTGATGCATCTTCTGCGAGACAAGAATTCTTATTTATCACACAAAGAAATTCCTTGGAAATTCAGTTTTTTACAATAATATGAGTAATATATATGTTTTACATCATTATTCTAGGGTCCTCTGCTCTTCAAAAGAGCACAATATATAAATGTATCAAAATGAATATATGTGTATTTGACCTAAAATGGTCATTATACATACAGATCTGGGAAAATTAGATGAGCCACACGCTTACCTAGAAAGATATTTTACTCACATAAACATATTTGTATAACACATCATTTAGAGATATATATGTATGGATATTGTAATACAATGGCTCATTTCTAATCATTAATAACAAGATCTAAAAATTTAAAAAGGATACTGTTTTGGCAGTTTTGCATTAAATGTAAGAAACATGAAGTCGTAAAGCAAATATTTAAGACAGAATTAAAATGTCTTGCTAATATATGAAGGATTGTATTTGATGGTTAATTATTATTTAATTTTTAATTTCAAGACGCCATAGATATGGGCTTTTTGTACCATTTTTTCCTAATGTATCTAAATTGAGAAAAAAATGCTACAAGTCCTTACTGTATTGTTATATATAATTTGATAAACAAAATTCTACCTGTTACAAAATCTCTGGTTTTAATCAAATTGATTTTCTGTTTATGATTTCATGTCTTTTTGTGATCTCATGAAGTGCAATTATTGTGAAAATCATCACATATGTCTATTTTTATAAAATATTGAAAATTATATCTTTATCTTATTAATATTTCAATATATTAAAATGAAATAAGAACAATTCATAGTAGCAGTGAACATTGGAAGAATTAATTGTATGTCTTCATTGGTTTTCTGCAATTGGCCTTTTTCATACTTTATTTTCAGATATATCACAAGTTTATGCTTTGAAAATTCTAAGACACAACAACCAACCATGAAGGTTAAATAGATGAAGACATTTTTTTTTGTGATTATCTCCCTTGTCACAATAATTCATTACTACACAAACATTATGTCCCTTTGCACAATAATTCATTATTACAGAAACGTCCCTTTGCACAATAATTCAATATTACAGAAACACTATGTCCCTTTGCACATTAGAGTAGATTAACATTTTCTATCGAATTTCAACAAGGAAAATGAGGAGAAGCTTACTCAATATTCAAAACGCTGGATACTGTGAATGTAATACATAAATGCCCCCCCCCCCCCTTTCTGTACAATCTTCTCGTACTTCTGTTGGGATGTGGGATACATGTCAATGAGACAACAACTCTATATCACAAAACACTAATAGACACCCAGAGGTCTTCAACAAAGGTGTAATACCACCAAATCATTGTACGTTACATCTGGTTGCATACGAAAAAGGGTAGAAAAAAATATTCCCTTGAATTTGACAGTTGTAGGAAATTAATCCTACATTTCATTGTAGTAAAAAATTTTTGAGCCAAACATATATCTAGGGTGTTTTAAAGCACCATTATTGTTTTATTTGGTGTTTCTATAGAATATTTTGGAAACTTGAGGTTACATAGTTACTAAAGCTTGTATACAGGAAAAAAAGGGAGTGAAATTTTGATTGGTTAACTTCCAGTGATGGTTATTTTCTTATATGCAATGAAATGTTATGTGAAATTTTGTCTATAGTACTGGACAGGATAAAACTTTACTCATGCCAAGTATTTCTTTATTTGAAACAAAGATAAACTCTGCACAATTTTTTGAAAAGTGCTAATTTAACAAAGACTAATAGGGGAAAATCAATGGTGGTATTACACCCAAAGCAATACACCAAGTTAGGTTTTCCCATAATTTTTATCACAACACAAAATATAAGATATCACAGACCAAAAATAATTGCTTTGGAAATGTAGATAGGGTAACTGGGGAATAATTAAGGTCTACCAATTTTAAAGACCTTGCACCCAAAATTTGTACATGTATGCCATTATATGTCAAGCTCTATACCCCCTCCCCAACCAAAGTATAAATAGGTTTTTAATGAACTCAACAGAGATATCAGATATCTGCCATCACCACCTTATTCCCAAATGACTAACAAATGATATAACAAAATACAATCTCTGATGAAATTCCTGAGGCACATAGACATTTGATGGAGTACAATAGTTTTTATCTTGAACTTGAGTCAAAGTGGCAAGATTCAACCATGCAGCAACAATTTGTTAAAGTTTGTGATCGGTTAGGTTTAAGGGGAACCCCTTATGTTAAGTCAATGATATTTGGTATGCAGTTGTTTTAGCATTGGTACATCTCATTTCCATGGAAATAATTTGGCCAGGGGTTCTTTTCACAAAAAATCTTATCATAAAATATGATCCTAAGTTATACTGAAATGTTCATGACTTATTAGTATTTTTTCTCGTAAGATTTTTTGTGAAATGAGAGGCTGCTCCCCCATTCATGGTCTATTAACTTTGAAAAATTTGCATAGTTTACATGTTAAAGTTTGTGATTAGGTTAGTTTAAATGGAACCATTTATGGAAAGTCAATGATTTTTGGTATGCAGTTGTATTAACATTAACTTATCAAAATTCCAGGGATGCACCCTCAGTCATGGTTCACTTAATTTGTAAGCTTTGTATAGTTAACATATTAAAGTAATGTCCATTATCCATTGCTGGCAGTTACTGAGAACAAGTTATTCATGTCTAAAAAAAAATTATCAACCCCAGACTGTATCTTAATGTTAGTTTCAAAAAACTCTATTTATCAGTAAAATGAGAAAATGAGAAAACAGAATTGTTCAAGTTTCACAATACTCCATGCAGGTTTGACCAAGTTATTGATGTCTTTTAAAATTACTGACTGTATCTTAATGTTAACTGCAAAAATAAAATGCTTCGCTGAGCGCAGAGCTCGAACCCTGAAGAGTTGGGGCAAATTTGGACACAATATTCAAGCTTGATACTGTCTGAATTTGGATTGTGATCAAATTTTTGACATAATATAGGTTTCTGACACAAAATAAATGTGGTCAAAGATCTTATAAATCCATTGCGCAATACTGTGCAATTGAAGATTTCTTCTTGAAAGTTTTCAAAAATTCGAAATTTGGAAAAATTTTGAAAAAAAATATGTATCCCTTAAAAAAATTGGGGAAAAAATCCCCCCCGCCCCCTCCCCCCAACTTTTTGAAACCCCCCTTGGAGCAATAACCCCAAAACTCAATCCCAGTCTTTCCTTTGTAGTATGGAACCTTGTAGTACAATTTCAGAGAGATCCATACACTTACACACAAGTTATGGTCTGGAAACTAGAAAAATGCTTGTTTTTGGCCCTTTTTTGGCCCCTAATACCTACGTTTGGGGCAATTAACCCCAAACTCAATCCCACCCTTTCCTTTGTTATATGGAACCTTGTGGTACAATGTCAGAGAGATCCATACACTTACGCACAAGTTATTGTCTGAAAACTAGAAAAATGATTGTTTTTGACCCCTTTTTGGCCCCTAATTCCTAAACTGTCTGCCCCCAGAACCCCTAAAATGAATCCCAACCTTCTTCTTGTGGTATTAAACATTGTGGTACAATTTGAGAGCAATCGAAATACTTATACACAAGTTATTATCCTGAAACTAGAAAAATGCTTGTTTTGGGCCCCTAATTCCTAAACGGTTCAGACCATCGTCCCCAAAATCAATCCCAACCTTCCTTTTGTGGTATTGAACCTTCTTAAAAAATTTCATAGAGATCCATTCACTTAAACTAAAGTTATTGTCCGGAAACCAATGTGTCTTCGGACGCAGACGCAGACGACGACATCAAATATTTTTTCTCATTCAACATATTAAAAATTCAAAGTATCTGCAAACAGATGGTAGGTGTGCTCACACTTTTCATCTCATCAGTATCTAGATAATGATCAAATATGAAGTCAGTTTGTTCAGAAGTACTTCTGAAATATGTGACAAAAATTTGTAGGTCATTCTACAAATTGAAATATTTAAAGTATCGGCAAAGAGGAAGTTGGGTGTCAGACAGATTCTAAAAGTGCTCACACTTTACAGTTCATCATAGACAAGCTGTTGACCAAATATGAATTATGTGCAGTGCTTCTTGAAAAAGTGTGTTGAAAATATTTGTTGGATGAAAGGATGGGAGAACAGCAGAACAAGGTGATTGCAATATAGCCCCCCACTATTAGAATGAGGGTATAACAGGTATAATAGCTCTTTAACTGTTTTGGTTCTTATGCATCTTTGGCTTTGAGCATTCCTGTTGAAGGTGAATCCGGAAAGGTACTTCAGACACATGAAATTTACGTGTTGTTTTCATTTTTGTCGAGCCTTCGACTTTTGTCGAAAAAGCGAGACATAGCGATCCTACATTCCGTCGGCGTCGTCGTCGTCGGCGGCGTCCACAAATATTCACTCTGTGGTTAAAGTTTTTGAAATTTTAATAACTTTCTTAAACTATCCTGGATTTCTACCAAACTTGGACAGAAGCTTGTTTATGATCATAAGATTATATTCAAAAGTAAATTTTGTAAAAAAAAAATTCCATTTTTTCCGTATTTTACTTATAAGTGGACTTAGTTTTTCTGCCAGTTAACATTACATTCACTCTGTGGTTAAAGTTTTTAAAATTTCAATAACTTTCTTAAACTATCCTAGATTTCTACCAAACTTGGAAAGAAGCTTGTTTATGATCATAAGATAGTATCCAGAAGTAAATTTTGTAAAAAAAAAATTCCATTTTTCCGTATTTTACTTATAAATGGACTTAGTTTTTCTGCCAGGAAACATTACATTCACTCTGTGGTTAAAGTTTTTGAAATTTTAATAACTTTCTTAAACTATCCTGGATTTATACCAAACTTGGAAAGAAGCTTGTTTATGATCATAAGATAGTATCCAGGAGTAAATTTTGTAAAAAAAAAATTCTATTTTTCCGTATTTTACTTATAAATGGACTTAGTTTTTCTGCCAGTTAACATTACATTCACTCTGTGGTTAAAGTTTTTAAAATTTTTACAACTTTCTTAAACTATCCTGGATTTGTACCACACTTGGACAGAAGCTTGTTTATGATCAAAAGCTAGTATCTAGAAGGAAATTTTGATAAAATTTTGTTCCATTTTTTCTGTATTTTACTTATAAATGGACTTAGTTTTTCTTCCAGTCAACATTACATACATTCTACAGTTTAAGTTTTTAAAACATTTATTAGATTCATAAATTATCCTGGATTTTTACCAAACTTGGACAGAAGCTACTTACAATCAAAACATAGTATAGAGGGGAATATTTTTATTAATTTTTTTCCTCATTTTTGTTGAGCCTGCGATTAACACCAAAAGTAGGCGAGACACTGGGTTCCGCGGAACCCTTACGAATTTTTTACTAAGTGGTTCACCTTAAACACATCCAATCACAAACCTTAACAATAATTTGCATTGCTGTCTCCAGAAACAACATAATTATGACTGTATCAACTTTGTCAATAGTCAAAAGGTTGACAAGTGACAAATGTAAAAATGCTTCCCACAGTATAGCATGCTCACATGAAGCTCAATTCCACATTTCAGAAAGCTTTGATTAGAAGTTACCGGAGAAAAATGCAATAAAAATTCATAAATGTGTAAAAATGGCTTCTGTGATGAAGAAAATAATTGATTCTGAAACTGTATCACACAATGTTGCATTCTATATGAATCTTGATACCAAATTATTTTCAGGAAGCTCTGAATTATACTACCTAAGAAAAATGTGACCAATTTATGTATGAGACAGACAGATCAGAGTAAACCAATATATACCACTCCATCAGAGCAGGAGTATCATTAATCATGTCCATCTTGTATGGAAAATTAAAAAAAATGTATGACATCTTGGACAATGGTCAAGTCACCTTCTTGAACTTTTATTACCTTGTCGTCCTGAACATGCATGAAATATTTGCCACGGGACATTAAGTAACAATCAATCCATATAAAGACAACTCTATATCAGTCCTTGATTCTAATCCTTTCCATCAATTGTATCTGTTTATCTTTATGACTAATAAATATGAACTCTTTATAACATTATCAGAATCTATTTAATAACACATTAATAAAGTTGTCTGATCTCATTCACACATAAGTCTAATATTTGTTTCTCCTTAATGGTACTTGGAGTGTCTTTCGTTGGCTGAAAGAAATAAAAATATGATTAACACAAAATCCTCTTGATTGTATTATTTAGATATTTATAATTATTGTATTTATCAGTGATGAATGTACCATGAAATAAAATATGAAAATCATTAGAATTTAACTGAAAATACTTTTCAAAAATGTCATGTTATCTAGTAATTTCTGAAAATTTATTCCACACACAAACTAACTGGAATCAGTTAAAATAGGATTTTTTTGGTTTGTGCTTTTGAAGTGTAAATCTTTTTTTATAATTATTTACAATATTTGATGTTGTTTTGCTATTTGGATTTTGATTGCATTTGATGCAATCTTTACCCCAAAAATCTATGGAGTACAAATTAATGTTTGACTATGGTAAAATAAGTGAGTTGTGTGAGTGCTTCCATCTTGACATAATTCCTGTTTTTCTTGTGCACTATTACATGTACGTCAGGAAAATGGGATCAAATTCAGATATATCTCAATGTAATCAAATTTGCCATTTGTCAAAATGTTTGTTTTTAATTTCTGTGTAAGAATTTGTTATGTGATTGTGTACATTTATACGTTCAATATACATACAATATTTAGGATACTGCATGATGTAGAAGTAGGTCATTCCCACAGCTCCATATAACCAGATAAAATACATTGAGGCTGCTGACGTCTTATATTTTTGCATAACAGTCCACATTCCTGTGAAAAAATTAGAAATAATTATCTATAGTTTAAACCACAGTCATATGCATGGTAGTCAACTATATTATAGATAAGCACATTTAAGATTGGTACCATAAATAGAGAAATGAAATCCAAGTACAAAATATACAGTTTGACTTCTATAAATTTTACTAGTACATTAGTATATCAAATATAAAACTACATTCTGACAATAGAACTGCTTCTTCAAATGCTCAGATTAAAGGTCCCTTTTTAACTGTTCCATATAGCAACAATCAATCATACTGGTTGCAACATAGAATTATAAATGTAGGTAGAGGTGACCCATTTTTCGAAAGAGCTTTGATAAAATCCAAGATAAGTGCACTGACAAATATCATTTCTTCATGACTTAAAAGTTTCCTAAAGCCTTGAACATTAAGGCATATTAACATAACAAATCACAAACATAACTACACCTAAATATCTATAATGTTGTGTGCAAAAAGAAAACAACAGTTATTCAAGACTTGACTGTACAAAAAAGTGTTAAAAACTTTTGGACTTATTAAAGTTTCAAAGTCAAATGTACTTACACCCAAATGAATTGTTTTGTCAAATCATCCCCTCACAAGATTTACCTTAATATCTAACAGGCTGTTGTTGACAGAAAAGTATGTGACTGAATGAGATTTGTTTAGGTTACAGCAAAAGGAAGAAAGAAAGTGTTTAACCGTTACAAACAAATAAAACCTCCCTTCCAGTTGACTCTCATCCTATCAATACATAAATCAGTGCTTTTTAGCAATGAATGGTAAATATAGTATTCATTTTGCAGTAGTGGGAACTAAAAGTCAAACTTGTCTTGACTAGTATGGTTTTACACACACACACAGATGATGTCATCATTTTGTAACTTGAATACATGTATCTGAGTATATATATTTCATTGACACATGATTGATAAGTTTCTTGAAATGTTCATGGATAGGATGTATAGAATGTTGTGCTCAATGCACTGTTTTTTTGGGGTGATAAAGTCTGGAAATTTGATGTGTGTTAAGCCAGGCCCAAAAGGATTTTGACTGCATCATGAATGCTATCTCAATAAACAAGATATGGTATGATTGCCAATTGAATAACATATAGATTAGAGGATAAAGATTTGAACAATTACAGGTCAACCTATTTCCTTAGCAAAACCTGCATACTTATAGTAAGCTGTGAAACAATTCAAAACTATTGAACAATCTGATGTATACTGAATTAAAAAACTAAAACTGCATACAGCAACGAGCCAAAACCACTTGACCTTATTATATAAGGTTACATTTAACTTACTTCTACTAAGGACCATGGAAAATGGTCGAACACCTAACTGTCTACGACCAAACCATTTTGGAAGCTCTCCTAATTTACAGTCCCAGAAAGAAACATCAGCTGCAAAGTAAACAAGATTTTTTATTAACTGAACACAGAACACATTTGTATTTCACATTTTCTCCTAAATTTTATTCTCTCAAGGACTCATTTCACACTGTCTTGACTGTATCATTTACAGGAACAATATCATTATTTTCATGCTTATGGAACATTATGTATTGAAACAAAATCTATTGGCTTTCAAATGCTGTAGTGGCAGTCATATGTTCATAAACATATATATCTTTATATATACATGTATACAAAACATGTATATTTGGTTTCTATAATCTAAATTAGAGTTTGTTAAATTTTACAGTGTTCGGTTTGGAAATTTATTTGATCCTTCACTGAAAGTAATGGATCATAAGAAATAATCTAAAAAAAGATGTAGTCCATAGATATAAGGATTTTAAATATTACTGTCAAAATTCTTGTCATATTGTTAATTTGTTTTTAATTCTTTTTTTTTCTTAACCTTTAGCATGTTTAGTGATAACAGGAAAACATAGAGAGAACAAAAAAGAGGTGCCCATTTGTCTTGGTGGCGAAATGTCCTGATGTTGAAATGATCCAAAAGGTGCAGAATTGTCTTTGCAACAGGGTGCAGAAATGTCTTGGTGCCAAAGAATCATGTTACCATTTGAGGGATAGTTACTTATTTGGGAAACTACTCCACAATTGGCGGGTCGTTGCCAACCTGTCAAAATTGAGAGAAAAATTCTCCCTCAAGTCCAGACATAAAAAAATGGCTTCTTCGTTATGACCTTGTAGGAAGGCGTCACAGTAAAACATTAAATTAACCTTTCAAGACGTCATATATTTCGGACTACGTATACGGAAGCAAGTTGACTCGTACCATTGTAAACTCGTACCACTGGGAAGTCGTACCGATCAGAACTCGTACCACTGCAAACTTGTACCATTAAAAATATATTCAAAAATACGAATGTTTTATGATTTTTTTTTTGGTAAACTTAATAAAAAAAGTTGAATTACCAATTGAGATTGTCATGTTTAAAAATCGATTTGTATATCCAAACTCTAGACGTGTACGTGCTTTTTTCAAACAAGTCAGCAGAAGTTCAGAAAATGACATATTCTCTCCACAGTAAGTCAAAAGTCGAACCCACCTTTGTTTCTATGGTAAAACGCAATACAAATATGAAACAGACTATAGCTTAAAAACTAGTTAAACAATAATTCATTTGTCACCAAAAAATACGGTTTCACATCAAATATCAAGTAAAATTACTGTTTTTGACACTTTTTGAGCACTATGATAAAGAAATGTCGACGCTGTATAGATTGAAATAAACAATTAATTTCCACATACATTTGTAGGTGACAATGATAGCCTTTTTCGAGATACAGACTTTAGAAAGTTGATTTTTTTAACAAAACCTTGCTAGAATTAAAGAAAAGTTATTTGGACAGTATTTTTTGGTCCAAAAAATATAGGTTCGCGTTGCTTTTCTTAGCGTAATTTGTACTTATCTCCCATGCCTATCAATTTTGCACTTAAAAATATGTCTCTCATCCTAGCGTTTAAAAGACATCTCAGTTCCTTTAGGGCTAAGGAAAATAATTTATTTGGCCTTTGGTATAATGCAAAATGCACAAAGTCTCTAATAACAAAATTAGGGGGGGGGGGGGGGGGGGGGGGCGGTGCCCGCTCCAGTCATGCTTCAGTGATTCCATATATAATCAACCAAATTTAGCTACAAATTGGTCATTGTAATTTCAAATTATATACAATTTACAGACTTAAGAGGTATTGAGTGAAATTAAAGTATATATTCATCATTAAACACCATTTGAATGCATTTAAATAAGTTGGTACAAGTTTACAATGGTATGAATTTACCGTGGTACGAGTTAGCAGTGGTACGAGTTTGCATTGGTACGAGTTTTTTTTTAGTGGTACGAGATAACTATAATTCATGTATACCTGTAGACTGCATTGTACTAGCACATTAAAAATCTGACTCAGTGTGCCCGTCTAGTACAATGCAGGGTTAACATTCATACCACATAAGCATGTTCTCATCTTGAATGTGCATTTAATTTGCTGCTGTATGTTAAACCAAGGATTTGTATAGTGAGATCTCACTATACAAATCCTTGGTTAAACAGCTATTCATCATCATCATCAAACTGACAAAATTTGAAAAAGGGGGAGCCATAGAAACAACCTGTAAACTACAGTTACCTGATCGGTTACCATTAATTTGTACATTGGTTTTACCTTTTCCATAATACCGTGATGGGTAATATGGTCCATGCACCCTCGGGTTGAATTCTTTTGGGTATGTTCCAGCTCCAAAATATTGAAAAAGTTTAGGCAATGCTTGTGTAAATCCTGTGCCCTTGCCGAATTTTTTCTGTATGTTTTCCCAACTGGTCTCTCCAGGAACCTGTCTTTCACGTTTAGATGTAACTTCTACTAATTTTTTTGGCAATTCCTCAATTTCTTGTCTAATACCCATGATGGACACTACAGATTAATAAGGTCCAACACTTGGTAGACTGTCCTTGCCCGGTGCCCTCAGATTTATTCACTGGTACCGAAAAACAATAAAATGAAAAAAGGAACCAGTCATAAACGCATCCGCATAAATTTCACGGCCTTTTTAAATTATTGTGCTCTTATAAAATGAATTTCATCGTTCTTTAATTATTCACAATCGTTAGTTGAACTTCAGTTTTTCATTGAGAATAGAAAATTTAGATCATATTTTGATTATAACGAGAACTATTTTTACACGTAACAATATCCGTTTTGTTGCGGATAGGTCAGCCAGAGAAATACTGTTAGAAAAGAAAAAGCATTACTAGTAATGTTGCAGCTTTATTGGTGAAAATGAAAGAGAAAGAAATGGTTAATAGAATATTTTTAGAATATGAGGCTGTTGCAGGCACCACGATTATCGAAATACCCTTTCATAGTACCGAAAATTACACTCTTTGAGTCTTTCAAATCTAATGCCAATGGCAATGCAAATAATTTGCTGTTAATGTTATCGTTTCAAGTCAGTAAATGACTAAAATGTTGAATATGGGACAACTCGTTCCAGAGACAACTGCCTTGAACTGGGACCCAGTCAAATCAGATGACTAATAACTGAATAAGACCACTCTTACCGTCTGTAAAGTCAACTCGGACACTGTCCCTAATGCAGTGTCTTCCCTAGAAAATTTTTCATGCATGGTGGGTCCATGGTGAATTTGCAACGCGGCACGCGACACTTCTTTTTCAGAATTAGTTACACTACATAATTTATATGTTTAAAGCCATATACCAATCTAATTGTTTTATTATAGGTACAGCAATTGGATCTCCTGTAGTTTGTGATCGCAATACTGGTAGACCAGTATTGTCCACAATACTGGTATAAAAAATTTGTACCAGAATTGTAACTTTTTTTTTTAAAAACAGCAATACTGGTACATTACTGATATACCAGTATTGTAGTTGTATTGTTCACTATACTTTAAGGTGTATAATGAAAAATGAATTTTAAGCAAAATTAGATATTGAAGATCAAAGGGAGATTAAATGAACTCAAAAAGATTATAGAGGATAATTGTGAAATCAATTAACAACCAGTTAAAAGTAATTACTAGACTTGTACAAATAAACAAAAATTATTGTAATTAACTCATCTTATTCAAACAATTGTTAATTATTTAAATAATTGCTAATAATTTTATCATATTTCTATATTTTATTTAATTCAATTGAGATAAAATAAAATAAAAGCTTTATTATCTGAGTTATTATTTAATAAATTCAAGCAAATTATTACACTATAACACTGTAAATTCAGCATTTACATGTATGCCATTGTATATTTTTTACAGATATTTTAATACATGTATACTAAGATTCTAAGCATTTGTTTGTCTTTATTTTCTTATCAACCTTTCACAATAAACATGATAAAAGATATCAATATCCATTAAACATAAAAAGTTGCTAAATAGGGGAACCTGATTATAATCAAATTACATGTAACTAGTTTGTCTACATGAGTGTTAAGGGTAGTTAAAGCAGTTGATTCAGAACCATGGGCAATACAATTTGTAGCAGAAATATCTACTGGTACAAATACTCAAATACTAATACTAGACAAGCACTCCTACAGTAAGAGAGCCGTACAGGTGCTATCTAAACAAGCTTGTAATCTAGTAAGCATAAAAGAAAGTCCACAGACTGAATACATAAATATCAATATAGGAAGTGGGGGTTGCAGAAATGCCATCTGATTTAAAACTTTCTTTGATTACAATCACAGTGTACCATCAATGACAATGGCATCATCCGTTAAACTTAAACATACAATCATTCCATATAAAATTGTCATGTCATATGTTAATATCATTATGCATATATATGTGGCACCTTTAATAAAAGATTAATTACCTAATTCTGTATTGTTTATATTAAAAAAAACATAATACTGGTACAATACTGGTACAAAATTTTTATACCAGTATTGTGGACAATACTAGTATACCAGTATTGCGATCACCAACTACAGGAGATCCCAGCAATTCATATATAAAGTCATGGAACTTTAAAGTATTTATTACAGATGAGAGGAATTAATGAAAGACTTTATAAACAATAATAAAAATAATCCAGTCTGCAATAGCTATTTACAAATTAATGCCATGTACACATTATTTTGTTGATATCTTCCTCTGTTTCAACGTTCCAAAGGTCATCACACATTTTTCAAAATCAAAATCTTCCTCCTTTGGTCCTTCAATTGATATATGCATTAAGCAATTCAGCACTTTTTGGCATAGTCTTTTTCTCAAAGGTGTTTTAACTCTGTTTGAGCATGAAAAACACCTTTCACAATCAGCTGTTGAAACTGGCAAAAGAAGACCAATTGCTGCATACTTAGACAGACAAGGATACAAAGTTCCAAGACTGGCAACTTTGTTCATTGTCTGCCTAAATGTCATGTCTTTACATTCTTTCACTAACAGTGTCCTCAGTTTGCTGATAGAATGGTTTCAGAATCTACAGCAAGTTGTTAAATAAAACTTTGAATGTCATTATTGCTTCACAGAGATTTTACAGGAAACAATAAAACAAAGTTTATTTTTTGCGTTAATTACAGAAGTCGTCAATGAAGAATACCTGACATACGGACATACGGATGACATTGTATGGAAGCTAAGCTGACATTTTATTTCATGACAATTTGTAACTATTTTTTTAAATACATCCCTGTCGGATTTATTAACAACGCTTCATAATTGTAAAAATCCTATCTTGCCGAAGTGAAAGAAATTAAGCCCCACTTGTGTAAAAAAAACGGCAAATGAATCCGCTACACTTAAGCTTCATGTGACCCATTGAAATAAAAATAGAACAACACAAGTTTGTTAAAACAATATTTCCGTAAATAACTACATATGTTTTGAAAGTTTTTCTATCAAATCTTTTAAATATTTCATAAGACACGTCTTTTTCTCGGCCCGGTGGCGGTAATGTGTATTCTTTGATATAATCAATCAACCGCGACTAATCTAAAAATAACTGATTGTTGTGACCAATCAAAAAATAATTCATCGATGTAAATATAGCTGATGAAAAAACTGCGAAGAAACTTTATTAAAACAAAAGTTTTGTCCATTCTCGGTGAAATTACGTTAGTTTTATTTTAAATACCAGAGACTATACCAAATTTTAGATTTCTACTTTTTAATGATCACAGTATAAAAATAACGATGTCAAACACCCGTTTTAAAGGTGAAATTTATACTGGAAAAGGTTTAACTTTTTATTAAGCACAGAAAGATATGCATTTGAGATTAATCTGACTATTTATTTATCAGCTAACTGGCAACTTCTATTATGTAAACGAAGTCTCGATATATAACCAACTAATCAAGAAGGTTGTAAAATCCCGGCACGCGCGACGTGATGCATCAAATTATCAGTCGGATGAGTTTAAAACACATGTGGAGTGTTGTCACTTGTCAATTGTCTTTCAAAATATTGATAATAAATATTTTACACAGTTATAATTTTCACACATAGCGGGATGCATTGCGGCAATGATGAAAGCATGGCGGTCGAAATTTATGCGTAGCGGTACCGCAATGCTTGAATAGCCTAGGGAAAACACTGTAATGGCAATGCATGTAATGTCAACTCAGAAAAAGAGAGTTTGGACTATTATATTTCACATAATATGGATATAGGCAAAACCTATGTCATGTGTATGTTGTGATCGAATATTTGTTTTTTTCCCCCAATACACCTTATCGCAATTTTCCGACATTACAGGACATCACAAAAGTTCCTGTAAAATTTTGACATCACTATAGGAAATGTCTGATCTACAAAGAAAAAAGTGATTTTTGTAGGACATCAGTAGTTCAAGTGTAGCAGATTCTCGGGTCAAGTGTCACCGATTCCCAAATAGCGATAATGTCTCTAATACATTGTAGCTTACCAAATGCTAAGCCAAATGATGGCTTGAGGCAGGTGCTTCCTGATGAGTTCCTGCAGCTTATTTGCTTGATAAAATCAACTTGGACCAACTATAATGTCAACTCAAGTCCAACAATGTATAAAAAGAGAGTGGCCTATTTAAATGATGGCAGTGGCTATTTTGCCGGCTCTGATTAAAATATTTTTATCAAAGCCCGGCAAAATGCATATTTCTATAGCAATGACCATTTTGCTGGCACCAGCAATTTGGTGAATTTGTTAATTTGCCGGTTCTTTGTAAAGAGTGAATTTTAATATTTACTTTTGAAAAGTACTACAAAAATGCGCATTGTCAACATAAAAGAATCTAATTATTTCTCATATGATAGTTAAATAAGTTAACAGTAACAGTATTTGAGATACACATAATCATTTAAAAACATTTATCAGTCAAAGTGAAAATAGGAATTTGTAAAAAGAAGTAAAAGTAAAAGCATTGAGCATCCATTTGTAGCAATGAAATCATATCAAAACATGTAGTTTAAATTACTTCTAAAATCAGTCACAGTCTAATGCTACATGTATGCACATGATGCATAAGAATGCAAAATAGCCATTACCTTAAATGATTAAATGATACATTTCAATTAAAATTATCCTTTACATGTACATATGGTGCTGCATTTGCCAAAAATTATCCAAGTAATTTGTTTATTGTGAATCCAAATTTCTACTTCATCATGTTGGTTTTTCATTTCAATTAAAATTTTCACTAATTTAATATTCCAGGTTAGTTAATACAAAATCAAGTTAATGCCAACTTTTCAAATCTCCATGGGGGATTATAAGCGCAAGAGGACCTAATCATGCTAATGCTACTCTTATATTGTCATAAGTTTTTTATGCCCCCGCCATAGCTGAGGGGGCATTAAGTTTTACCCTTGTCTGTCTGTACGTCCATCTGTACATCATGTACATACGTCCCATAATTGGTTTCCATTCTCTAACTTTTAGTTTGCCTCAACCAAATGTTATGAAACTTATACACAATGCTTATTACCATAAAACACAGATCAAGTTTGAATTTTTGGTGGCATCACTTTAGCCGTTCTAGAGTTATGCCCCTTTACAAATGGAAAAATTGCTAAATTTTTTGTTTCCATTCTCTAACTTCAGTTTGCCTCAACCAAATGTTATGAAACTTATACACAATGCTTATTACCACAAAACACAGATCAAGATTGAAATTTGGTGGCGTCACTTTTGCTGTTCTATCTAGAGTTATGCCGCTTTACAAATGGAAAAATTGCTAAATTTTTTGTTTCCGTTCTCTAACTTCAGTTTGCCTCAACCAAATATTATGAAACTGATACACAATGCTTATAACCACAAAACACAGATCAAGTTTGAATATTGGTGGTGTCACTTTTGCCGTTCTAGAGTTATGCCCCTCTACAAATGGAAAAATTGCTGAATATTGTTTCCATTTTTAACCGGATTTGAGAAGGAAATATCCAATATTAAAATGGTGATGTACGGCGGGCGGCTGGGCAGATCTTCGGGCGGCTGCCAAACAGTGTCAGCACAATAACATGAAAACACTTTTACAATTTTTTTTCAAATTTAAATATGTTGTTTCCTGGGACTTAATGAAGGTCTAGATCAATTTTCAAGATTTTAGTATATCTCCTTTGTGAGTTATCGCCATTTTTAATATCCAAAAGTAGAATTTTTAAATATTTTACTCTTGTTATCATTTTATGACTTGTCTTATCTCAGAATAAAAATTGGAGTGACAGATTTATTTGAAAATTATCTATTTCCTAAGTGGTGATGATTATAAGCTATATTATTAGACATTTTGAAGATTATTACATTATTAATTATTAATTAGATCTGGGTTATATCTTAGCATATGATAATCATTGGAGTGACAGATTTTTTTGAAAAATTTCTGTTTCCTGATAAGATCTGTAGGACTGTATATATATAAAGTTTGAAATTTACTAGTAGGACTGTATAAATGAAGTTTGAAATTTACTGTACGTTATTATACATTTTGTAGATAATTAAGTCTCCCTAAACCATATATATTCTTTCCCCCACCCCCCTTCAATTTGAGAATGTGCTTTTATCTTGTAAACGGTCGATTTTGTGTCACAAACCTATGATGTGTCAAATATTCAATCACAATCCAAATTCAGAGCTGTTTTAAGTTTAAATGTAGTGTCCATACTTGCTCAACTATTCAGGGTTTGACCTCTGCAGGAAAATCCGGTTTGCTGTCTCTCTGACAGCCTCTTGTCTTACTTTAGTTTGCCTCAACCAAATGTTATGAAACTTATACACAATTCTTATTACCACAAAACACAGATCAAATTCGAATTTTGGTGGCGTCACTTTTGCTGTTCTAGAGTTATGCCTCTCTACAAATGGAAAAATTGCTGAATTTTTTCGTTTCTGTTCTCTTACTTAGTTTGCCTCAAATGTTATGAAACGTATAGACAATGCTTATTACCACAAAACTCAGATCAATTACAAATTTGGGTAGCGTCACTTTTACAGTTCTTGAGTTATATCCCTTTATAACATTATATGGAAGTGGGGGCATCATCTGTGTCCCATGGACACATTCCCAATTTATTTTTTATCTACTACTGTATTGTTTGAATGAGTATATATGTGCTTAAATACTCTTTTAACTCATTTCAATGTCTGTTTTTCTACATAAGGAAATGCCTGTACTAAGTCAGAAATATGACAGATGTTTTCCATTCAACATGTTCAATTGATGTGTTTGAGCTTTTGATTTTGCCATTTTATAAGGGACTTTCGGATTTGAATTTTCCTCAGTATTTTTGTTATTTTACTCTTTTTTTTGAGGTGTTCAGTTTTTTCAATAAAGAAATTTTTAGAATCAAGATCAACACCTCTCTTGGGGAAAATCACCTATAAATTGTGACAGTTGGCAGGTCTGCTGGTTTTATGTATTTATTGGTTGAATTTTTTTTTCATAAAATTTGTTTGATATTTTAATCTCATTCATTGTCATTACACTATTTTTATATTTTACCTAAAGTCCGTCAATAAGTCAAATCAGACTGTCTTTAAACTGATGCGGATCCAGGATTTTGAAAGGGAGGGGGACCCCTGGCAAGATATTATTAGTAGAACTTGTAAAAAGTCTATGCATTGACCATACAGTACTACCTGTGACATACTCTGAAAAGTGGTGGCCATGAAATTTATGTCTGTATCTCCATAAGGGGGTGGCTGAGCATGCTGAGATGTCTTTGGGCCGAGGTTGTCTAGCACCCCGCAAAACACATAAAGAAGTCCAAATGAATTAAGAATAACCATTTGACACATATCTATTGAAAATTGTATTTTTTACTTTTTATGACTCCGCGACAAAATGTCTGAGGGGCATATTAATTTACCCCTGTCTGTTCGTCCGTCCGGATTAGGATGCATTGTTTGACCGGCTATCTCCTCCCACAGTTTTGGAGGTACAACTTTAATATTTTATAGGATGTTCATACACATAATGAAGGTGTACATGGCCACAGGATTTTGATTTCTTTCAAATATTCTGAAAATGACAGGTAGTTGGATTTTATGTCTCAGAGAATTAAAAACTTTCTAAAATTTTGATATGCATTTTTTTCCTTTTCTACAGAATTAAAGTACCAAATTAAACTAAGTTGGGGGAAAATGTTTGAGATACTCCTCAATCTTAATGCCTTTTGTTACAAATTAATTAGTCAGTGTGCCCCTTGTGTAATTATTATAGTGAATTCAAGGCAGTTCATAAAAATGTACAAATATTAATACCAGCTTCAGATCCTGTTTCAGGATTTTGAAAAAGGAGGGATACACCAACTTGTGGCTTGTGACAAAGGCAATGTAGGGAGTGGGACTTGTGAAAAGTCTATGCATTGATCATATATATGTAGCTGCAAAAACTCCATAAGGGGGGGCTTGTCCCTCAGCACCCTTAAAGATGCCTCTGAACAATGCAGAATACACATATTTTCTTCAAACTTTTAAGGTATGCCATAAAAACAAAAGCAGTTGTGCATATGTAAAAGAATAAATTAATAAATGCAAAAACTTTTTTTTTTGGTTGAAATTTTCAACTGATATTACATGTATGATATGTAGATGTTATAATTATGTAAATGACAATATTTTATTAATTCAGCATATAGATCTGTATTGTTAATTGCAGAAAACATTGTACAACAGAGGCACTTCAACACTGAACAGATTTGTACCTAATACAAAAACGTTGATATTTTTATGAAATTGACTTAAACATGTTAAATATAATATTGTTTTTATACTGCAGCTAAAATTTGATACAATTTTCTTTTAATAATATGAAATTTTTTACTTATTATCCATCTCAAATTGTGAAGAAAAGTGATGTGATGTGAAATCGACATTGCAAATTTGTAATTGATCACTGAATACTTTTAAATATTCATGCTAGTATTTCATATTAACCAGTAAAACACAGGTTTTTCCCAAGTGATAGGTCAACTATATTTACATTTTATTGTCAGAATCTACAGCCAGGGGTACTACTTGTACAAGTAATCTTTATTTACTTGTAGAAGTAAATAATGATATACTTATATAAGTAAATTATAATGTTTGAATAATCTCCCCTTAATTTTCTCAAAAATTTACTTGTTTACATGTAAGTAATTTTTTTTTACAATCCTGAAAAATTCTCAAGTTTTGAGATGTAAAAACATGCCTTATTGGCACTCATACCACATCTTCTTATATCTCTTTAACAATTTTTCTCAGGTAAGCTCATAATTTTTTATTAGAGTTCAATGTTTCATCTCATTAATTCAACAAAGAAACTAATTGCGCAAAGATCTTAAGTATTTGCTCAAGGCCTTCAAAAATTGCCCCTTGGGGGCTTGTAAATGAGCAGTGTTTTGAAGATAACAGACAAATGAGATTTTCATTGTCCATGAAATTACACTTAAATGATTAGTAAAGACATCTGCAAAGGAGAGACAATTAAAAATTCTATTTGAGCAAAGAAGTCCTAAGAAATTCAAGAAAAGAAGATAGGATGACTTTTTTACTTGTAAAAGTAAAAAAATCTGAATGTCTAGTCTAAGGGACATAACTAAGCCAAAAAATAATTTACCTATACAAGTAAATAAAATACACTTGTATAAGTATCCTACAAATTTACTTATATAAGTATATTAATATTTACTTCTTCAAGTAAATAAAAATTACTTGTACAAGTAGTACCCCTGACTGATCTACAGGAACAGATAACTGTTCAGATCAGCAAGGACAATTTAGGAATTTATTTCATCTGGCCTGAAAAAATATTGTTTATCGTACAATTGTTCAATAATATTTGGAATGTTTTATTAATTTTATTAATTGTTTTTCAGGTATCTTGAGAAGTTGAGCACATTGAGACTAGACATGCTATATGATGAAAGAACTAATCAGCTGATGCATATATATTCATAAAAACCTTTCCCATACATGTACCTTGATGGAGTATAAAATTCAACTTACAGAATAAAATCATAGATAACAGAGGTTATTAACAAATAAACAGATGTTGAATAAAGGATATATGGTAAATAAATTGTGGAGTTGAATAAAAGATGTCCGACAGATTATCAGTGGTGTATCTCCCAAGTATATCTGTTGTTCAGATTCTGTCGTATCTAACATGGGAAGATAAGATAGCAGTCTCATCAGCGTTTCCAGTATGGGATATTATACTGTCATCAGCATCAGCTTGGCCGATTGTCGTATATGAAAATGAATTGATTGAAAACGCTTACTTCATCCCTGAAAGGAGGTCACGCTTCATGTCTTGTATAAAGCAGTATGGCCAGTATATAAAGAACATCACAATTGAATTTGCATTTGAAGTAGGACATGGTGGTCTAAACATATTCCAAGCGATATCCAAATATTGTGTTAATTTGCGAGGTTTTTTACTGGTACAGGAATGGGAAGTCGGGAGTATTGGTATAGATCTTGATAGTTGTGCTATAGAATCAGTTTGTCAAATACTAGAAAAATGTACAAAGTTGCAATCTGTAGGAGTAAATTATTGTGACAATGAATATCATGTGGAACAGGACATAGGACTCCTAGATGTTATAGTTAACAAGAATTTAGCCCATAAGATTACTCAACTGGAAATTTCCTGCATGCTTTTTTATGAGGATTTTGATCAGCGGGAATTTCCTGTGCTTACAAAATTTCCTAATCTTAAAAAATTGCGAACAAGACGTGAGATAATGACATCAAGCTTACTATTAGAATTAGTTAATAATTCATTACAAGAACTGACACTCGTGCAAGAAGAAGAATTGCCTTTCCCTTTACAAAATGATTTAAATGAGGATTTTTGGAAACTTGTATTAAAAACTTGTCCTAATTTTAAATTGGATCTTGTCTTACGTTACCTTATGGTTATTAAAGAAAATTTTCCTCGTTCTATGCCTCTAAGACGTCTTACTTTAGATGATTTAGCTAATATAGTGACAAAAGGTGTTTTAGATCATATAATCGATTGTTATCACAACACACTTACAACATTAAAATACACCAATTCTTTATTGGAAAATAATGAAGCTGGCGATAAAAGACTTCCATTTGCCCTCGTTGATATGATTAGAAGATGTCCAAAGTTTAAGTGTTTACAGTATGGATTTCCTCTATCAAGTACATCAGTGCTTCTTATAGCTCGTATTAGAAAGTTGAAGACTTTAATTCTTCATGGTGTTGAAATATCTTATGAATATGATTGGCCAAAAAATTCTGACTGGCCACCAGAGTTTATTCATTGGTTGAAGGAATGTGGTTCTAGTCAAGGTAAGCTAGAAGATACAGTGTCAGGACTACAAGACAGGAAATGGAGATTAACATATGATCCTTTTACATTAGATGATAGACTGAATGCTTTATTTATATAATACATGTATACATGTATGATTGTATTTGTGAGTAGATCAGAAACGTCTTTTAAGTGATATTTCAAAGAATACAGGTTTTTACTTTTATACCCTTTTGGTCATTAAAGTATCAGGTTACACTATATCATGCTATGAAGCTTATAATGCTCACCTAGAATATTTACCCTGATCCTAATATCAATTATTTTTGAAAGGTTTATATATATTTATAAGAACTATATTATTGTACATGTATGCACATGTATTGTGTTAAGATTCTTGCATCTTTTTCATGTTAAGACGTTCAGTTTAATATAAGGGTAAAATTTATGATTGAAAGGTTTTACATTATATTATTATGTATAAACATATACATGTATGAAGGATGATGATCGGGGAGATTAACAGAATCAGTCTTGAATATCTGATAAAGTAATTTGATAATGCCAAAATCCTATTGAATAGAATGATAAAGTGTTATTGCTGGATAAATAAAATGTGATACATATTGTATTCATTAATGATTCACATCTGTGATAAAAATGTTTTATTTCATGCAGTTTTTCTGTTATTTTGTCCAAATTCAATATCCCATATATACATGCACCACAACATCATCCTTCCCCCACTACCGACTTCCCCCACTTCAGATCTCACACTATTACTTAAACTTGAATAACCCAGTATACCATGTATACCAGAAACACAGATTTCTAACTAGAATATTTCTGATGTCTATGATGAATCATTATACAAACAACTCTTGGTTACAAGCATTTGTCAACATTGGTTTCAAAGGAGCATCTTTTCAGCTCCAAGTTATTAAACAGCTTGGGTTTGTCAGATTTGAACCTTCTGTTTATAAAAAAATGAGATGTGGTAGGCTGGCTAATAAAACAACTATCCACCATAGACCAAAGGATGTGAACAACTACATGTACTGCCTTCAATAATAAGCAAACCCATATCTTATAGTACCTGTAATATATGTAATATATAAAAACAAACCGGGATGAAAAAATGAGATAACAAATGTAAACTGCCTAATTTATGTGAAAATCAATAAGTAAAAAACAATAATGGCAGACTGCAACCTCTGGATAAAATGCTCCTGGCTTCAGACAAGCACATTAAGAATGTGGTGGTTTTAAATATATGTTTAATGACCAAGTTATGGTACTATATTGAGAAAAATCTAGGAGTTTGGTACTGAAAAAGATGTAGGGGCCAAAATGAAAGGATGTAGTCTGAAATCTGGAATAAATTTAAAGCATAGCATGCCCTAGATAAATAAAATTTATTCACAACTATTTTTATGCCCCCGCCGTACTGGAGGGGGCATTAAGTTTTACCCTTGTCCGTCTGTACGTACGTCCCGAAATTGGTTTCCGTTCTCTAACTTGAGTTTGCCTCAACCAAATGTTATGAAACTTATACACAATGCTTATTACCACAAAACACAGATCAAGTTTGAATTTTGGTGGCGTCACTTTAACCGATCTAGAGTTATGCCTCTTTATAAAAGGAAATATTGCAAAATTTTTAGTTTCCGTTCTCTAACTTAAGTTTGCCTCAACAAAATGTTATGAAACTTATACACAATGCTTATTACCACAAAACACAGATCAAGTTTGAATTTTGGTGGTGTCACTTTAACCGATCTAGAGTTATGCCCCTTTATAAAAGGAAAAATTGCAAAATTTTTATTTTCTTCTAAATATCAAGTTTATATAATATATTTTTAAAATTGGAGTTATCTTCCTTTGACCATGATTATAGTTGAATCAACTACAATCAACGCTTTATACAATGCAATGTTTAATTTTGACTACCACTGATAAAACACAGATCAAGTTGAATTTGGATAGTGTCACTTTTACCATTATTGAGTTATGCCCCTTTATAAATAGAAAGATTGCAAAATTTTTTAGTTTCCATTCTGTAACTGAAGTTTTCCCCAGCCAAACATTGTGAAACCTATACACAATATTCATTCCAACAAAACTCAGTAAAGATCAAGTACATTTTTTTTGTTTCAGTTCTCTAACTTGAGTTTGCCTCAACCAAATGTTATGAAACTTATACACAATGCTAATTACTACATAATACAGATTAAGTACGAAATTAGGTGGCAACACTTTTACCATTCTAGAGTTATGTCCCATTATAAACATAAAAATTGCTGAATTTTTTAGTTTGTCTCAACCAAATGTTAAAAAACTTATACACAACCGTTCTAGAGTTATGCATCATTACAAATAGAAAAATTGCTGAATTTTTAGTTTCTGTTCTCTACTTCAGTTAGCCTCAACCAAATGTTATGAGACTTACACACAATGCTTATTACCACAAAACTCAGATCAAGTTCAAATTTGGGTAGTGTCACTTTTACCGTTCTTCAGTTATGTCCCTTTATAACTATATGATATGCAAGCGGGGGCATCATCTGTGTCCACATGTGGACACTATCCACATTTATTTTATTCAGGAAAATTTGCAGCTTTAAAGTTCATGTGGACCCTATGGCTGAAAAGTCTGTGTTTACTCCTAGTACAGACAAACCTTTGCCTCTGGAATAGTTTTTATATATTTTGCGGTTGTATATTGGTATGACGTTGGTGTCATTGTCGTCCAGCGTCATCGGCGTCGTCGTCCGAAGACACATTGGTTTTCGCACTCTAACTTTAGTTTAAGTGAATGGATCTCTATGAAATTTGACCATAAGGTTCAATACCACAAAAGGAAGGTTGGGATTGATTTTGGGGGTTATGGTACCAACAGTTAAGGAATTAGGGGCCAAAAATAAGCATTTTTGTAACTTCCAGACAAAACTTGTGTGTTAGTGTATGAATCTCTCTGACATTGTACCACAAGGTTCAATATCACAAAGGGAATGCTGGGATTGATTTTGGGGGTAATTGCCACAAAATTTTAGGAATTAGGGGCCAAAAAAGGGGCAAAAAACAAGCATTTTTCTAGTTTCATGACAATAACTTGTGTGTAAGTCTATGGATCTTTCTGAAATTGTACTACAAGGTTCCGTATCACAAAGGGAAAGCTGGAATTGAGTTTGGGGGTAATTGCCTGAAATGTTAAGGAATAAGGAGCCAAAAAGGGGCCAAAAATAAGCATTTTTCTAGTTTCCAGACAATAACTTGTGTTCAAGTGTATGGATCTCTCTGAAATTGTACTGCAAGGTACCATACCACAAAAGGAAGGCTGGGATTGATTTTGGGGGTAATTGCCTCAAAATTTTAGGAATTATGGGGCCAAAAAGGGGCAAAAAACAAGCATTTTTCTAGTTTCAGGACAATTACTTGTTTGTAAGTGTATGGATCTTTATGAAATTGTACTACAAAGTTCCATATCACAAAGGGAAAGCTGGGATTGAGTTTGGGGTAATTGTCCTAAATGTTTAGGAATTTGGGGCCAAAAAGGGGCCAAAAAACAAGCATTTTTCTAGTTTCCAGACAATAACTAATGTGTTCAAGTGTATGGATCTCTCTGAAATTGTACTGCACGGTACCATACCACAAAGGGAAGGCTGGGATTGAGTTTGGGGGTAATTGCCTCAAAATTTTAGGAATTATGGGGCAAAAAAGGGGCAAAAAACAAGCATTTTTCTAGTTTCAGGACAATAACTTGTGTGTAAGTGTATGGATCTTTATGAAATTGTACTACAAAGTTCCATATCACAAAGGGAAAGCTGGGTTTGAGTTTGGGGGTAATTGCCCTAAATGTTTAGGAATTTGGGGCCAAAAAACAAGCATTTTTCTAGTTTCCAGACAATAACTTGTGTTCAAGTGTATGGATCTCTCTGAAATTGTACTGCAAGGTACCATACCACAAAGGGAAGGCTGGGATTGAGTTTGGGGGTGATGAATCATAAAGAGGTTCAAAAAATGGGGGGGGGGGGGGGGGTTTTCCTTTTTTTTTTCTTTAAAATTTTCAGTTTTAAGTTGGTTATTTCTGATTTATATATAAAAGCAAATAATGATGATATGGTTTGAAAAGGTAAATTAGAATTTTTTAAGTTCTTAGACCACATTCATTCTGTATCAGAAACCTATGCTGTGTCAAATATTTAATCACAATCCAAATTCAGTGCTATATCAAGCTTGAATGTTGTGTCCATACTTGCCCCAACTGTTCAGGGTTTGACCTCTGCTGTCGTATCAAGCTGCGCCCAGCGGAGCATTTTATTAGGCATAGCATGCCCTAGATAAATTACATTTAAATGCATTTTATATTTTAGAAAATTAAAAACTTAACTGGATTTTACTGTGCACTTTTTTCCGTTCCTACAGAAAGTGCCAAAATAAACAAAGTTGGGAAAGGGGTTTGAGAACTTCCCCACAGGTAATAATTGAAGTGAACTGTATTGACTGACAAGGACAATAGAGGGACAATAGATATTTTACAATAACATGTAATTTGGACAAAGTCCCTGAGTGGACCATATCAAGTGAGAAAGTGTTTGTTAATTTTATCATCTACAGGGACGGACGAAAAAAAGTGCACAGTAAAATCCAGTTAAGTTTGGATTTTCTTAAACATAAAATGCATTTGAATTTATTTATCTAGGGCATGCTATGCCTAAAAACTATTCCAGATGCACAGGTTTTGTCTGTACTAAGAGTAAATTTTGAGTTGTAAACACAGACTTTTCAGCCATAGGGTCCACATGAACCTTAAAGCTCCAAATTTTCCTGAATAAAAAAATTGTCACGAATAAATTTAACAGAAACTATTAGATTTGCCACCAAAAACAAATGCTAAAAATAACATAAAACTAAGAAATATGATACAAAACTACCACTGAAAAGGTTCTAGTTCTAGACAATGTTCTATACCATGTAGAATGAGATTACTCTGATGTCTCAGAGCCTTGCTTAGGACAAAGTCCTAAAAAGGCTATACAACATCAAGAAAAACAATTTTATTAAACATTTTACACTAGTTGTAGAAAGCAGTGCAGGGCATTTTAATCAATCTGTTCAAGATAATTTTTTGACAAAGGGAGATACCCCAATTTAAGATATTGCCTGATTATATATACATCTTTGGTTATTGCGAAAGAAATGATACTTTTCCACAGATTCACTTGAAAGTTACCTGTCGATTTAAACTTTTGAAAGTTCTTTTGTCCCATCTAATAAATACAATAGCTATTGTTCTCTGTGGAGTTTATTCAATAAGGCCTTTAAATTTCTTCTAAGAGAATTGATTAATTTACCTGAACAAAAAATTTAACTTTCAATGATGAAAATACATGAACATTTACCAATACTAAATAAGGACACACAAAACTGCATGTGATGTTTTTATTCAATATCAAATAATTTTAGTAGGCTACTAGATTGTATAAGGGAAATGTTAGCCTCTGTGGAAAAGTATCATTTCTTTCGCAATAACCACAGATGTATAACTAACATATTGTTCAGAGTCAGAGCAGACCAATCTTAATTCTTATTCCTAAATGCAGCATGCTTGGAGGAAAATCAGATAATGTCAATTTCAAGTCTTTGATTTGACCTGGATTTTAGGCAGTCAAGGCGAGAATGTTACAACTTGCCACGAGACCACCTAAAGGTATACTAATCCAGAAGTGGCCATATGCCTATTTATATAGCTTTAGATACCTGAATACTTAATATCTTGTTTACTGATGCATTATGTTCTGTGTGGCATATTTCGATTGTTCTTTTAATTGACCAGTGACTGCTTAAAAACTAGTTTCTTTAACACATGATTTGCTAAGGGATCAATGTTAAGTTTTGTGGTTACGTATGTTTTTTATGGATACAATAAGCAATAGATCAACTATATTTGGTGTATGGAATGATTGAAAGGTGTACATATATAAATAAGATGTATGATTGCCAATGAGACAACTCTCCACCAGAGACCAAATGACATAGAAGTTTACTAACTATAGGTCACTGTAAGGCCTTCAACAATGAGCAAAACCCATACCGCATAGTCAGCTATAAAAGTCCCTGAAATCACAAATGTAGAACATTTCAAACGAGAAAACTAACCACCTGATTTATGTACAAAACAAATATGAAATACAGCTGCAGGGTTCATACTAACCCGAATAATTCAGTCCCTCCCCGTGATCGACTCTCCCACTCGCGAGGGCCTGAATTCTTTATACGAAAAAAAACGCGTCACCAATCCAGGATTTTGATTGGTGCCCTCTGGGTGAGAGAGCCAATCAGCTAATAGCTCAATGTTCTCGAGATAGGTAAATCCCGAGCTAATTCCGAATGATTATTCGACAATTTTTTATTGACAAGGCCTTCAGGCGTTAATGTAGCCATCGTAGAGCAGTGGAATATAACGACTTAATTATTCGGGTTAGGTTCATACCTGGACATAATTTTCATGGTTCACTGGTTTATGTTAAGTTTTTGTGGTTGGGTCCATTTCTCAGATACTATAAACAAAAGGGCAACTATATTTGGTGAATAGAAGGATTGTGAGGTGTACATTGTGAATTTGGTCTCTGGTGGAGAGTTGTCTCAATCATCTTATTTTTATGTTTGATAGGACTCACCTGAATTGGACCTTATTTTCATATTTCATGGTACATGAGTCAACATTAAGTTTTTGTCGAGACTGCGACTTTTGTCGCAGAAAGCTCGACACAGGGATAGTGATCCCGCAGCGGCATCGGCGTTAGCTAATTTTAGAAGCTAGAAGACCTGGATGCTTCATACTTTGTATATAGATGCCTTATGTTACGAAGTTTCCGTCTGTCATATGTATATTGTCCTTGACCTCATTTTCATGGTTCAGTGACTACCTGAAAAAAAAGTCAACATTTTTTGTAATGTTAATTTCTTTCTTATTATGAGTAATAGGATAACTATATTAAGGATGTGCATACCTTGCAAGGTCCTCATGCCCGTCAAACAGTTTTCATTTGACCTCGACCTCATTTCATGGATCAGTGAACAAGGTTAAGTTTTTATGGTCAAGTCCATATATCAGATACTATAAGCAGTAGGTCTACTATATTTGGTATATGGAATGATTGTAAGATGTACATGTCCAACTGGTAGGTGTCATCTGACCTTGACCTCATTTTCATGGTTTAGTGGTCAAAGTTAAGTTTTTGAGTTTTGGTCTTTTTTTCTAATACTATAGGCAATAGGTCAACTATAAATGGTGTATGGAAATATTTTATGATGTACATGTCAGTCTCACAGGTTTTATTTGACCTTGACCTAATTTTCACGGTTCATTTCTCAGTGTTAAGTTTTTGTGTTTTGGTCTGTTTTTCTTCAACTATAAGCAATAGATCAACTATATATGATGTATGGAAGGATTGTAAGGTGTATATGTCTGTCTGGCAGGTATCATCTGACCTTGACCTCATTTTCATGGTTTATTGGTCAATGTTAAGCTTTCATGGTTAAGTTTGTTTCTTAGATACTATAAGCAATAGGTCAGCTATATTTAATGCCTAAATTGATTGTAAGGTGTACATGTCTGTCTGGCATGGTTCATCTGACCTTGACCTCATTTTTATGGTTCATTGGTTAATGTTAAGTTTTCTTGTTTAAGACTGTTTCTTAGAAACAATAAGCAATAGGTCAACTATGTTTGGTTTATTGAATGATTGTAAGGTGTACATGTATTTTCTTGTTTGGTTTATCTGACCTTGACCTCATTTTCTTGGATCATGTTAAGTTTATGTGTTACTTGTAGTAAAGCTTTGTATTAAGGACTATCAACATAAAATCAATGGTTAGTAATAGTCAGGGGGCTTACTTAAATGAGTGATTTTCTAAATCACTGATTCAAGTAACATTATGTCCATAAAGGTTTGAAGTAAGAGTTGTCTTTCTTTAATAATCACCTATTTAAGTAGTACAAATTAATCACTAGACTAAGTGATTTAATTTTATTGTAGCTTTAAATATAGAATACTAATGATCCAGGGACTAATTATGTTGCTAAAATTATCAGAACCAACATCTGTGTTGATAGGTTGACCGGGTCATGTCAGGTGATGACCTTGTACTAAATCTAGGATAATGACATAAAAATCACTTGTTTAAGTATCATACCTCAATTTCCTTCCAAAAAATCCCTTCTTTAAGTATCATTATTTTAATAACCCCCACTAATTTCAACACCCCCGAACAGTGAAATTTTGATCGCAAACAGTAGAATTTTATTACATAATCTATAAGATGAAACCTTGAATTTTACAGGAAAAATACTCCCACTGCTGGGAAAAATCTGTTAAGAAAGTATCAGTTCATTATGTAAAGCCATTTTTATAGCATTTTTTCAATTAAAATAGAATTTGCTGCTAAATGATTGCATCAAAGGCATAAACCTTGCTGCTTAAAAGAAGCAAAAAGTTCATGTTTTTCAATTTTACTAATGAAAAGATATTATCTAAACCTATGTGTTTAAAATTTTGGTAAAACTACAAAATCACAATTTGTGACAAAACTTCGAATTTGCTACTTAATAAGTGATTTAAAAATCACTTATTTCAATAAGTCCCCTGACTGGTAAAGAAGGCGAGACATTTCTGCGTGTACACTCTTGTTGTGATTTGGTCTGTTTCTCACTTTCTATAAGCAATACATCAACTATGTTTGGTGTATGGACTGATTGTTAGGTGTTCCTGTGTGTCATGGTTTTTATAGTTCATAGCCCATAAGTCAACGATAAGTTTTTGTGGTAAGGTCTATTTCTCAGATACTATAAGCTATAGCTCGACTATTATATATGGAATGATTGTATGCCAAGATTATTGATTACTATATTTGTTTTTAATTCATTGTTGTATAAATCATTCATGCATTTTAAGTTTTAGTCTTGTGTTTTTGGCAGAAGTTTGTGACAAGGTTCAAAAACTACTGTGTAAAGTTTTAATAAGTGTTAACCGCAAACTAGGGTTGATACTTATTCATTTTTGATTCGGGGAAAATCAATAAAAACTACTTCATAAACATCCAGAACATGTAACATAAAAACGGCAGTGGGATCTTAACGCTCTTGTGTTACGGCAGTAGGATCTTAAAGCTCTTGTGTTATGGCAGTGGGATCTTAACGCTCTTGTGTTAGGGCAGTGGGATCTTAACGCTCTTGTGTTACGGCAGTGGGATCTTAACGCTCTTGTGTTACGGCAGTGGGATCTTAACGCTATTGTGTTACGGCAGTGGGATCTTAACGCTCTTGTGTTGTATTTAACAAGTGCATAAGCTCTTCAAAGGTCTCAAAAATCACCAAAATTTTACATGCCTTCTTAACCTCTTAAGATTCATTTTTATGGAAAAAAACTTATAAGAACAAAATCAATGAGGGCTGAGGCAAAGGTGCAATATCCACCAAAAGACAGGGAAAGATTTTAGTTTATGACTCAAAAGATATTGTTGAGAAACAAATCTTTTCCTAAACTTTTGGTTTACTTATAGAATATGTCACTATGACCTTTGACCTACTCACAAAAAAATTAATGGGGTCCCCTTATATCGAAGTGGCATTCTCCAGGTAAGATTAGTGATGGCTGGCCAAAGGATTTGAAAGACTGACATATTGACCCCCAAAATCAAAAGGAGTCTTCCAATTCTGATTATGATGTATCAATCCAAGTTTGGTAAGGATATTCTTAATGGGTGAAAAGATTGAAAAGTTGACATCGGACATTGAAATTTTAACACTTGTGTCTTTGCTTAAGAGCAATGTATAAAAGGTGATAGCAGTGAAAGCATTTATAAATATAACAAATAAGGAAATATTTTTTTATTTAATTGTTTAATTCGTCCAGTCATAATTCCAATACACAACAAATTTTGATAGTTTTATCCATATCCTTTCATTATATTCCATATTTCCATTCCCTGTTAACATACTGTCTGTGTCCATGACAATTTAATTCCTGGAATTATTGCTAACATTCTGTTCCCTTTACAAGAATTTGTTTTCTGTAGCATCCTCCAGCTTTCATGAATGATGTACCGGTATACACATTCATTGTACATGCTTTACTTACTAATATTTCATTGTTTGACATCTTCTGAAATATGACAATAAAAAAATTCATTTAAATATTTATCAAAACTGCTTTTCACATATTCAATATATAGATAAAAGTAACTCTACTTTCCATGTACTTGTAATTTAAATAAATCAATAAATGTCAGAATAATATTTTTTACACATATTTATCTAATTTCATGACATTTTCAAATCAATCTCAAAATTATCTGCAGTTTCTGATGACCTATCACCTAGTTTTGACATTTAATTGTCAATACTTCATAATTTAATAAAATCTTAAACTTTTACATCACAATAAAGCTATCTGTATATTTTCAAATGATCTTTTTTTACTTGTCATCGTGCCTATGTTAGGTTGCTGTCTGGCATCTTTGTGTTTTGTTTTATAGCATGTTTAGTGTTTTATCATAAATCATGCCTTTGGTTTTCTCATTTGAATTATTTCACATTTTGTCATGCAGGAATAACTTACTATATGGTATGGGCTTTGGTCATTGTTGAAGGCCATTCAGTGTCCCTATAACTGTTTACAATCACCTCATTTGGACTCTGGTGTATATTTGTTTCATTAGCAATCCTAGTGACTTTATCATACCACATTATTTATATTGCTATCTCACTGACTAGAACTAAATATCTCTCTTATAAGTATCTAACAATTTATCAGTTTCAACTTTCTAAAAATGTGTAAATATTCTACACAAATAATAGACTATGCCAAAGAAATAAATACACTTTTCAAAAAGTGTAAATTTTCTATATTAACATTAACAAATTCCTAACCTTTAACCTACAACTTTGATACTTGTGCTCACATATAGAAAAACATGAAGTTTAGTATTCATACATGAGTAACTGTTTAAAATGCATATTGGTAAACTACACAAGGGGAGATAATAAGTAAAATGATATACAGCAACATTTTCCATATTTACCAAAACCTATGCTTGTAGTAATAGTAAGAAGTAAAATCTTTATAAAGATATGGTTTCCATGAAACATAGCTTATAATTCAGTAAATTTAAATCAGATTTGTTGCAGTTATTCATTGCATGTGAAGATAACATTTTAAAAATAACTGTAAAAATCATTAGTTTTATATTTTAAAATAACTACAATCAAAAGTTTTTATTTGTCATTTGGCATACCCTTATTCTGTTTTTTATTTGCTGATGGGACATCTGTTATAGGCTGTATATTGTCAAGCCAAGCTTCTGGATTATCTAACCAAAGTTTGTAGTCTTTTCTCAGGAGAAATCTTTTAACTGTATCACATTCCAGGCAGGTAACAACAAGGTGTTTTTCCTTTTTACCTTTAAAGAAAAAAAAATTCCAATGAGAGCCAGATATATACCATGTCAAGAAATTCACTATGAAATAAAGGAACCAGTTAAAAAGAAATCTGACAGGCTACTTCATTAAAGTTTATCATTGTGTATTGTAATTATTTGGTGGAAAAGTAAAAAGATACTAAGGGACAATAAATAAACAGCTGCGCCATGAGCGCATGATACGCCAGTCACTTTTTCAATAAATATAAACCAGTCACCAAAGTTTCATGAAAACTGCTCAAAGCATTTTTGAGTAATTGTCTGAAAAACTGGAAAACCCCCCTTTTTTAATGAATAAAACCCCATAACTCATAACATAAAATCTAAAATTTATAAAAATCGAAAGGGAGCTCACATCAAAAGACATAAACAATTCACCAAAGTTTCATAAAACTGTTCTAAGCATATTTTGAGTTCTTGTCCGAAAACTGGAAAATCCCCCTTTTTTAATGAATAAAACCCCATTTCTCGGAAACATAAAATCTAAAACTTATAAAAATCGAAAGGGAGCTCACATCAATAGATATAAACAATTCACCAAAGTTTCATGCAAATTGGTTAAAGGGTTTTTGAGTTATTGTCCGACATGTTGACGACAGACGGACGTACAGACGGTACGACAGAAGGGCGGACAACTGTATAGCATAATACGTCCCGTAAATGGGCATATAAAAACCATGAGAACCAACTGAAAACATCATTGACAAAAGAAACGTGTGACTAATTTTAGCCTGTAAAGACTATGTGACAACCAAGTTATATATGTTGATAAAATACCAGATAAGAGTTTGTGATTGTGACAAGAACTAATGGAACATACATATGATTATTTGTGACATAGATATTCTGTAGCCATCAACTAACTTTTACTTACTTTTTGTCCTCACAATGGCTGTTACTCCTGGTATCAATAAAACACAACACTTCTTACACATTGTTCTCTTTATGTCAACATGTCTATAAAATTAAATATGTTGCTAATGTTTTTTTTTTAACCCAAATGCAAGTCTGGCAACCAAATCAAGAAAAGGTTAAGCAAAGGTGAAAAGAAAAATTTGTAAATTTACATTAAACTAAATTCAGTATGTCTGCCATGACATGAAGTTATTTACAGATATAGCAGGTAGTAAATAAAGGGAAGTAACTATAAACCAGAACCCAACTTTTAAAGATCCACCATAATGATTATGGAAATTGCAAGTTAAAATTAACATCCGTAGTTGGATATTCTTTATCATAACCATGTTTTGAGAATTTTCCAACATGGCTGAAAAGATGCGGCCATAAATAGGCTGCTACTAAATAAGACCATATTTTGATTTGTAGATATCTTTTTAGTTATTTTTGTTGTTGGGTTTCTGTATAGAGTGCAGCATTTTTTCTGGTTCGTTTGTACAAATAAGTAGTTGATTTAGAAATAATCGAATTGTCAAGATTCACTGATGTTCAATCAAAGTAGAAAACCTTTTTACCATACATGCATTATGTTGAATGTTGTTTTAATTTTTTAGTTTCAGTAAAAGTTTTGTACAGGTACAACTTTGCATGTATAACTTACAATCTAAAGACAGACTTCTTTGCTAAGTAGAACTTACAATCTAAAGACAGATTTCTTTGCTAAACAGAACTTACAATCTAAGAACTTACTTCTTTGCTAAACAGAACTTACAATCTAAGAACTTACTTCTTTGCTAAACAGAACTTACAATCTAAGAACTTACTTCTTTGCTAAACAGAACTTACAATCTAAGAACTTACTTCTTTGCTAAACAGAACTTACAATCTAAGAACTAACTTCTTTGCTAACAGAACTTACAATCTAAGAACTAACTTCTTTGCTAACAGAACTTACAATCTAAGAACTGACTTCTTTGCTATGCTTCTCATTGTTGTAAGATAAAATCGGCAAAGGTTGAGATCTCTAGGGTCAGACTTGATACATTGATTGGCAGCCTGAAATAAAAAGTAAACTCCACAATTTTTGACGGGATGTATTATGGTATACAAATGTCCGGTGTCCGTCCGTCTTTCCGTCTGTCAGTCTGTCTGTCCGGCGTAAACATGTCGCACCGTAACTTGAGAATGACTTATCCAAATTTCATGAAACTTAACATAGTTGTTTCTTATGATGGTCAAACGATCTGTATACTTTTTGGTGAAAAAAAGATTAAAACTTTTTGAGTTACGGGACTTAGTAACTAAAACAGGTGTGTGTTTTTTTTCACATGTCGCGCTGTATCTTAAAAACAATTATTATTATTATAATGATTATTGCTTAAAACTTTACACACTTCTTAGTTATATTAATCTTAAGATCTGTATATTTTTTGGTGATGATTCAAAATTTTATTTTAGCGATATTGAGTATTTTGTTAAAAAAGGGGGAGGGGTTTTTCACATGTCGCGCCGTATCTTAAAAACAGTTTATGATTATTGCTTAAAACTTTACACACTTCTTAGTTATATTAACCTTAAGATCTGTATTATTTTTGAGTTATTGAGTATTTTGTAAAAAAAGGGGGAGGGGTTTTTCACATGTCGCGCTGTATCTCAAAAACGATTTATGATTATTGCTTAAAATTTTACACACTTCTTAGTTATATTAATCTAAAGATCTGTATACTTTTTGGTTTTGATTCAAAATTTTATTTTTGAGATATTGATTTTTTTTTTTTAAAAGGGGGGTTTCACATGTTGCGCCGTATCTCAAAAACTATTTATGATTATTGCTTAAAATTTTACACACTTCTTAGTTATATTAATCTAAAGATCTGTATACTTTTTGGTTTTGATTCAAAATTTTATTTTAGAGATATTGAGTTTTTTGTAAAAAAAAAAGGGGGTATTCGCATGTCACGCCGTATGTCAGAAACTATTTATGCTTATTGCATAAAAATTCACACACAAGACGATGGGCGTATCATGCGCTCATGGCACAGCTGTTTATTGAAGTCTTGTGTTATATTTTCTTATTTCTCATTCATGCTATGGAGATAATTATTTAGGTCATTATCAGTTGTCCCTCTTAAAATATTTCAAAAGAACAATATATTATTGTTCTTCTTCAGAGCTATATATAAATAAAGATGGTTGGCAGATTAAAGTTAGGGTCCTGGCAGTTTTAGGGGTTATTTTTAAGGCTTGTTTTTGTGTTTTTTTGTGTATTTGCCTAGTCTTTCAAATACAATTTGTATTTTGGAAAAGAAATCCTGATAATCATAAGGTAGTTCAGAAAATGTGTTGTGTACAAGTTAGAGATGGTATATGAAGTATATATAAGTAAACAAATAGCCAACTAAAAATGGTATAGCCTTTAAAAGAATGTTTTAAAAGTGCTACAGTTTAAGAGTTATAGTAATACTATAACTTATAGTTACATGTACCTGATATAAGTATTGCATTCTTTGAAACTGTTCTTTTTGTGGAATTCCAGCACCTTTGTTCTTCCCCATCTTCCTGAAATTTAAACCAATGAATTTTTCAAATTAAGAAATTTTTATTTTGGATAATCTTTTTCATTATAAAACAATTTAATAAAACAGGTTTATCAGCTGAATGTATTGCTCACCAGGCTAATAAAACAGGTTTATCAGTAGAATGTATTGCTCACCAGGCTCAGTAGAATGTATTGCTCACCTGACTAAAATGCTTACTATCTTCAACCTATATTTTTTTAAATTCCACAAAAAAAAAATAGTAAATGTTAAAAATGATTTCTGTTAACTTTTATATTTCTATTGACTGGTGTGATAAATAACATGACTAATGTCATTTAGTTTTCAATGATGTCCTACTTAAATGTCTAGAGTGATGGCCATACACTACATAGTGTATGTTAGGAAGGTCTTAACTACAGATCTGACAATGTTTCCTGTACCTCTAACGTTGATGAACATAATAAGATAAACACCCTATACATGGCATACAATGCGTTCAATTTAAAAACTTTGCAGTTAAAGCTTTATTTATTTATCACAGGAACAGTGCGTTCAATTATTGCTGATCTTCCATTTGACAGAACTTTGTTTTAAGAATGTGTTAGATCTCCAAGACCAACAATGACAACTTCCTATAGTGTTTATACAGATATGTTAAATAACTTATTTACACCTACCTATATTAGCTGAACACCACCTCAAAACAAGACTAAATATATTGCATAGTTATTCAGCCCATATTTAATATTATCCAAAATACTATTACCAAAGACAAAACCACCCAAATACTTACAGAAATGATATACTAACCACAAAGGAAACATAAATGTTTTGTTTTATTAGCTACCCACCATTGATCATTCAGTAGAACTTGCAACCAATAGCTACAGTACAGTCGACCATGGTCCAAACATCTTGAGAGCATATGTAAGGCATAATAGTGTCCTGTGAAAAAGTGTCCACCTGGACAGTTTTTCACAGAATTTAAGTATTAAATAATGTCCATTGCCATGACATTTTGTCTCTAAAGTGGACATAATCTTACAGCAACAGTTATGAAATAGTGTCCTCCCACAGGACAATACTTCATTGCAGTTGTTATTAAATTATGTCCTCCAAAGGAAGGTCATCAAAATGTTTTATTATACTTGAGTTTTAATTAATCAAGAAATGTGTTATAGAAATAGATGAATTTAAACACAAAAAATGAATGGCAGTGAATACTAACAAATTAACAGCTATAGTTCAAAGAAAACTGAAAACCCAGAAAAGTTCAATGAAAATGTAAGCCAAACACTTTGAAGAAAATGTCAAAATTATTAAATCAAATTGGAGGAGTTATATTATATTTACAGCGTCAAGAAGGCCAAAGAAATTATAAACAAGCTTGTGGTTCATTGTGATAAGCTGGACACTGTATTGTTTATGTGTCATGATAAAAGTGGCTGTCTTCTTGGTGTCAATAAGACAGTTTCCAAAACTGCATCAAAATATTATTTTGTCTCTTGAGTGAGCAGAAATTTATAGCAACAGTTATGAAATAGTGTCCTACTACAGGACAATATTTCATAACCGCAGATATTAAATTATATCCTCAAAGGGAAGTAATATAAAGGTCATTAAAATGTTTTATTATACATGAATTTTAATTAATTGAGAAAGGTGTATCACATTAACTGTTCAAGGACCAAATTTAATGGCAAAAAGTGTCCAGTGATAACATGGACACTTTTTCACAGCTTAGGACATTTTTTCATAGGTAAATTGTGTCCAGGACACATTAAAATGATTAAATATTGTCCATGGACAGTATTTACTATGAAAAATGTCCAGCAGACATTATTTCATGGGGGACCTTATTAAATCCTACACATACCTTAAACAAGGTGTTGTTGTCAACTGATTTAAACCAGATACTAAATTTTGTGAATGTTGATGATTTTAATCACTTGTAACCAGAGAGCATAATTCTTATTAGAAAATCACATTGTCTCCCCCTGTACTCAAACCTGGGACCTCTGTGTTATTAGTTAGCGCTCTAAACAACAGAACTAAAGAAGTAATTCCCTTCCTCAAATGCTTACGGCTGTAGAAGTATCTAAATATTCAAGGGAAGCAATCCTGTCACACACTTTTTAATATCTACATGACTGTCATACATGTGCACATATTGTTAAAATAGACCACTTTAGAGTTCGTTGCATTATGTCAAAAACTTTGGTTTTAGTGAACATCATTCGGGCGTTTAGGGGCATCGTCACTTCCTTCCTATGTTGAGTCAGCTGTTGAAAAATATATGATGTTAAATTGCACGAATCATTCAGGAAATAAAATTCTTATAATTGATAATCAGCACTGCTGTCATTAGGGAATCGTGATTAAGTACCTACAGACGTGACAGAACAAACATTATTTCTAGATTGGCCTGCATAATGATGACCACGAAGATGTTTGATGAGCTTTTATAGTGCAGGAATACCGGCAATCCCCTCTATCTGGTAAATGACGTCATAAAGGTGCATAATTGACGAACTTTTCAGATGAAGGACATAACTCAAAAGTGGTCTATTATATGCTTAGCTACGGAACCGTAACTCTAATGATCATTATAACATTTTTTGATTTGTGCAGACCAATTAGATCTATGGTCCTCAAATTGTAAAAACATTATATCACAAGGACCTCAGAGCTACAGTTCCGCAGCTATTATATGCTACTCTTCGGCATTTACTACGACGTCGTAGTAAGGTGTCACAGCAAAAAATTAAAGTAGGCCGTCAAGACGTCATAATTATTTGGACTAAAGAATAAAGAAGATTTATAAAAACAAATAAAGTAATTATTCAGGGGAAACATACTGTGTACCGTAATCCAAAAGTGTTAGCCTAAAAGCTATGTTTTTTTTTATTGAAATTTTGTTATGATATTCTTTTATAGATAGGCATGATAGGCATGTCAGTTTCATAAACCTCAAGAATATTGTTACTAACACCTTGTCCTTTTCAACTGTGTTGCTTTATTTTAGCACTATCTTCAAGGTTTGACTAATACCAACATATGTTGTTCTGCTATAGATTTTTTTGTAATATTTTAAAAGCATATATAAAATATTTGGTTGTTATAGATGTTTTGTTCGAAACTTCTAATATGTGGTTATCTGTATGGTTATTTCAAAATAAAATATTGTTATGTAAAGTTGGAATCTTTCTGGTAGCGGGATGAACCTTCACAGGGACAACATGAAACCACTCAACAGTAGAATGAAATCGTCTCGTTATTAAAACTGTTGTAATATATTATAAAACAACAAAATGTAGCTTTTGGATATATCGTAAACTTAAAGATGACTTCAATGTAAAGATCGATATGAATATAATGAAAGTAGGATGGAGTGTTGGCAAGAAGAAGTTATTTCAACTGCAAATGTCAACAAAGTCATGCATGGCACATCTAGAGGTTACACAACGTGTAAGGTCTTCGTGGAGTATAAAAGTATGTCTAATATTATTTTCATAAAATTGTTGCTTCAATAACATTAACCACATTTGTGAGTTATTCGTTTTTGAGCTTTTAAACACATGACCTGCAGTCATTCATTGTCATTAGCATGATTAGTGGGTTGATCCCAGTTTATAAACATAGTTTACAAACCTGCTCGTGCATTTTTCATTGTTATTCAACGCAAAATAATTATCTAAGAGACCTGGGACGATCTCATTTCACAAAGGTTTTCTATTGTCTACTTACTGGCACTTTTTACAATAAGGCAGAGCGTTCGATTGAGGTAAAACGTATGCCGTAATAGAATACAGTTGAACCATGGTCGAAGTCGTAAGTTAAGCTATTAGCCCTCCTTCCCTTTTTTTCTTCAACGGTAGACGAATGTCAAATACAAAACGTCATGAATTTACAATCAATAACGGCCACTATAAGTAAATGAGATATATGAACTTTTTTGTAAATAAGTTCCTATTGCAGCCAACATCTCCCGGTTCGAGACAAGTTAGTATTTCCACTTACATACCGTTTGATTATTGACCGGGGATATTAAAGCAACCAAAAGCACGTTGAATCAAAAAAATTCTAAAATTGTAAATTATGGTATTTTGCTGAGTGTTTTCCCGATCCTATTTCGGACCCCCTGATTTTAAGAAGGCGTATCTAATTAGTCATGCCCGATTAACTTTTAGTAAATTGAACCTCAACTTAAAGAATTACACCAGGTAAATAAGTTCGAGGTACAATAAGTCAGGCCTCGACAATAACTTTATTTTCAACTTGTCCAGTAGGACAAGTACATACCAAAACTTACTTGTCCGAATGAAATTGTAACTTGTCCAAAAAAAATCTTTATAATAACCTTTTTTGCATTTTAAGTTGATTCAAGGAACAAAATGAATTAAAACAATAGAACAGAATTTGATTTATATCTTTTGAAATACTTTTCAAAAATATGACTCGAGAACAACTGAGTCTAGTCATGTCACAGGACTTAGGTTCTAGTTTTCATTAATGCCAAAGTAGACTCTGCACATGAGGCACCGTCTGATAGGCTTGTCAATGTACACTCATTGGATTTGTATCCTGGTTCTTTAAGTTTAAAAAAGTTTATTCAAATGCAATCAATAAAAAAAAAGATGAGGTATGATTGCCAATGTGACAACTCTCTGCAAGAGACCAAATGACACAGAAATTGACAACTATAGGTCACCGTATTGCAAGTATTGTTTTTTTTCTACATATGATCAAATATAATTCATGAATTTTATGGTTAATAATTTCTTCATTTTTATTTAAAAAATATTTTTGTTAAAAAAAATACCGGTAAGGTATTCATTACAATGCAACAGAACAAGGTAGGAAAACGAGGTACTGATTTGTCTTGGTCCTGAAATGTCTCCTGGGTTGCCAAACTGTCTATTAATCATGTCTATTAAATATGTCTCCTACGGTGCCAAACTGTCTATAAAACTTAGAGAGGAATCGTTTTGTTTCTAAGGTGGTGACAACTGTCTTGTAAAGTTACCTTATCTACAAAGCGCATCGCTTATTCGGATCAGTAAGACTGGTTTCCGAGAATAGTATACCTTTTACCTGTTAAAAAGTACCTGACAAAGAACCTGTTTTTAAATTATCGATTGCAAGTAAACATGTCAAATTAATACTTGTTGTTATCTTCTTTTCTTGTTTTTTGTTTATGATTACTTTTTCATCAAAGTTGGATTAAATTTATTTTCTGCAGAATAATTTTACTTGTCCCGTCGGACAAGCTTGATATAGCTTTTACTTGTCCGACCTTTTTTTCCTCTGGTACCGGACAATCGGACAAGCGTTATTGTCGAGCCCTGGCTAATCTTTCTTGTTGTTAACACATTTCAATCATTCAACTCGTGCGTAGATTGTATTTCCCTCTAATGTTTTTAACGTATGAATAGCGTGAAATTTCCACTACACCAGTCATCGGAAATACATTCCTATTTCGATCAGACAAAGCTGCGCATTTATATATCCGATAGGCCAAGCGAACGCACCCAAGACAAGGATATACTGTGGGACGGGAGAGGTCCAGACATGTCAATATCTCTATACCCAAGTGAATCATTTTGTTTTGAATAAAAGGATATAAAGGTATACATTAATGCGACAGCAACACAAGACACAGACAAATCAAAACATTAAGATTCAACATTCAGTTTTTATAGAAAGATGCGTATACAGAATAAAAAGCTCAAAACCGCCCCATGACTAAATAATAGTTATACGGAGTTAATTCAATAATATTTACCGTCAAATATTATGTATCCCAAAAGGCACATTTGATTTAGTATTATCTACCGTCAAAGGTATCCCAACAATCACAAGAAGTGTTTGGTCGAAAAATTTCAACTGCCTAATTTTAATTTTGATCGGTGAACATTTAAGAAGTTGTACTATAAACCAGTAGAAGAAAAACACTGTATAATATACATGTAACGGTAAATTAATTATGATAATGGATGACGACCAGCAGCAAATAAAATGAATATTCAGGACGATAACATGTAAATATGATATGAGTATTAACCCCGCTTTTTACTAGACTGACACGCTGAGTCGTTTTTTTTAACGTGTAATTTTACAAGATATTAGTTCGCAGTAAGAAAAGTCACCCGACCCGGACACATTTCCGACTCTGAGCTCTTACTCTATGATGCCAGGTGTTTAGCGTTGAAATAGCAAATACCAATTTTAACGTCTTGTTTGGCCCGGTCGGGATTCGAACAAACGACCTTCCGCTCTCGAGGCCAACACCCTCACACGATACCAACCAGGAGAGAATATCATACCCAAAAAAAATCAAGTAAAATAAACAAAACAGTTTCACAGAATTCTCACAGTAACTAAAGCGAGCTAAAAGTATCTAACCTAAATTGGATGCGTGAAATGATATTTCAAACTACACGTAAACATCGATGATCGACTTCAGAGAAGATTTCATGGATCAACGCTCTCTGTAAATTAAAAACTCTTGCACCAATTATTTGAGTGGTCCGAATGTGGCCAGCTGTTGCAAGTCTAAATTTTTGTCCTTATTCAATATACCCTCATTTTCCAGTGGCATTTTAAATATTCACGTCCAACCTCACTGTTGACCTCCTATTGCACGACTTACCCATTGTATTTTTAAAAATCTATTTGTTATAGTGATGAACATGCATGAAATATTTGCCACTGGACGTAAAGCAAACAAAAATCAATCAACTTCATAAATTGTTCCATATATGTACTTAGCACACAAAGACAAGATCTTGTAAAATGCTATAATGTACAATTTCCATTTAAATTTTTATGGGTTTTTGGGTTTTTTTATGCCCCCGCCGTAGCGGTGGGGGCATTAAGTTTTACCCTTGTCCGTCTGTACGTACGTACGTACGTCCGTCTGTACGTCCCGAAATTGGTTTCCGTTCTCTAACTTGAGATTGCCTTAACCAAATGTTATGAAACTTATACACAATGCTTATTACCACAAAACACAGATCAAGTTTGAATTATGGTGGCGTCACTTTAACCGTTCTAGAGTTATGCGCCTTTATAAATGGAAAAATTGCAAAATTTTTAGTTTCCGTTCTCTAACTTAAGTTTGCCTCAACCATATGTTATGAAACTTATACACAATGCTTATTTCTACAAAACACAGAACAAGTTTGAATTTTGGTGGCGTCACTTTAACGGATCTAGAGTTATGCCCCTTTATAAAAGGAAAAATTGCAAAATTTTTAGTTTCCGTTCTCTAACTTAAGTTTGCCTCAACCAAATGTTATGAAACTTATACACAATGCTCATCACCACAAAACACAGATCAAGTTTGAATTTTGGTCGCGTCACTTTAACTGTTCTAGAGTTATGTCCCTTTATAAACGGAAAAATTGCAAAATTTTTATTTTCTTCTAAATATCAAGTTATTTTTTAAATTGGAGTTATCTTCCTTTGTCCATGATTATAGTTGAATCAACTGCAATCAATGCTTTATACAATGCAATGTTTAATTTTGTCTTCCATTGATAAAACACAGATCAAGTTAAATTTGGGTAGTGTCACTTTAACCATTATTGAGTTATGCCCCTTTATAAATCAAAAGATTGCAAAATTTTGGGTTTCCATTCTGTAACTTAAGTTTGCCCCAGCCAAACATTATGAAACCTATACACAATATTCATTTCCACAAAACTAAGATCAAGTACAAATTTTTTGTTTCCGTTTTCTAACTTTAGTTTGCCTCAACCAAATGTTATGAAACTTATACACAATGCTTATTACTACATATAATACAGATTAAGTACGAAATTAGGTGGCGACACTTTTACCATTTATGAGTTATGTCCCTTTATAAACATAAAAATTGCTGAAGTTTTTAGTTTGTCTCAACCAAATGTTATAAAACTTATACACAACTGTTCTAGAGTTATGCGTGTTTACAAATAGAAAAATTGCTGAATTTTTAGTTTCTGTTCTCTTCTTAAGTTAGCCTCAACCAAATGTTATGAGACTTACACACAATGCTTATTACCACAAAACTCAGGTCAAGTTCAAATTTGGGTAGCGTCAATTTTACCGTTCTTCAGTTATGTCCCTTTATAACTATATGATATGCAAGCGGGGGCATCATCTGTGTCCACATGTGGACACTATCCACATTTATTTTTCTTCAATTTATTACATTACTGACTGCCTATAAAAAAGTTTTAAATACTTTTTACTATGCTTCTTATCTAATGTTTTAATACGATTTATAACATATGATTTCTTTGTCAGGCAAGGATAAAACTAAGAAAGGTAAAGTTTTTTCATGTGTTTTTGCTTCATTTAGACAAGAAAAGGGAATAACGGACGACTAGCATAAAAGAGTTTGTTTTCATATAATTCATTGAACTTGCGAAAATATCTCAACTCAACACGTTTTGATCTGACCAGTGAAACCTTGTTGATGCTATATATGTTACAATTAGGTTTTTTAATACGATTTTATTCAATGAAGTTTGCATGCATAGTTTTTATTTAAAAAAAAAAACAAAAAAAAGAGATCTATTAATTAATTGGACTGAACAGACAACACTAATTATTTTGCATTCGCATGTAACGTAGTGTTGGCAAATTACAGAATCAAAAACAAAATGAACATTTACCGGTTGAATATTGTGAAGGGCCTTATACGTCTAGGTCTGTTCGATTAGAAATTCTGAAACAAGCAGTTCAAAAAGTTAATTGTCGGAAGAATTTACTTACTGTTTACTAAGATCTGGTCTTTACGAATCTATTTCATGATTACTGACAGATTAAAAACATCAAATATATATATAACAAGACGTTGTTGTGCAGAATTTTCATTGGTCAGTTATAAATGAGGTCTGTATAGGGTTTTGATTGCCTCATTTATTAAATAAGAAATCGTTATTTCGAAAAGTTGGATTCAAAAATATGAATTTACCCCCTAAGTTTGTAAAACTATCATTTGGTGTAATTTTAATGCTAACAAATTTATAATAAATAAATAATTAAATGATGTACTGCCATTTAATCGGTCCGTTTACATTGCAATTTGGTAACTGTTAATTGTACATATCAGTCTGAGTACTGTTTAACTATCAATTAAGTTGAACATCTTTAGACTCGTCCAATTCAGGGGAATTAGGTTTCTGCAAGTGCTTTTTGTGTATTTTTCTTATGTTTTTGACGGTTTGTAAGTCAGTAAAAGTTCAATGATTAAGTTTATATTGACATTAAAAGACCTCCTCACAAGAAGGGCTGTTCAAATCCCCTCGCCTTCGGGCTCATGGATCTGAACATCCCTTTTTGTTCGGAGGTCTTTTAATATCAATATTAACTTATCATTGAACTTTTACTATTACTAAAAGTTGCCTTAATTTTCTAAATATTAACTAAAGGGATATCCGATAAACTGACATGGCTTATGAACACAGAAGATGAAATCATTATCACTGCTATTGGTATTTTAGGTTCATCATAACAAACGGACAAATATGGCTGTATTTACATGCCAAAAACTACTCTTAGTACAGACTTACCTGTCCAGTTGGAAAAGTTTTAATGCCTGGCATCCACTAGATATATAAAAGTTAAATGCATTTTGTGTTTCAGAAAGATAAAATCTCTTTTGGATTTTGATGGCCATTTTTTTCCTTCATGCAGAAGGTGTAAAAATTAACTAAGTTGTAATACAACTTTGAGATGCTCCCTCTCAGGTAAAAACTGTATTGAATTGTATTGATTGTCCTTGATTGACATGGACAACAGGTATCTACACAACTATAGGTGAGTTAAAGGGTTTAACTGAGTGGATAGTATCAAAGTAATTCAGATGTTTGTTTATTTTTGTCGAGCCTTCGACTTTTGTCGAAAAAGCGAGACATAGCGATCCTACATTCCGTCGCTGTCGGCATCGTCGTCGGCGGCGTCCACAAATATTCACTCTGTGGTTAAAGTTTTTGAAATTTTAATAACTTTCTTAAACTATCCTGGATTTCTACCAAACTTGGACAGAAGCTTGTTTATGATCATAAGATAATATTCAAAAGTAAATTTTGTAAAAAAAAAATTCCATTTTTTCCGTATTTTACTTATAAATGGACTTAGTTTTTCTGCCAAGAAACATAACATTCACTCTGTGGTTAAAGTTTTTGAAATTTTAATAACTTTCTTAAACTATCCTGGATTTCTACCAAACTTGGAAAGAAGCTTGTTTATGATCAAAAGATAGTATCCAGAAGTAAATTTTGTAAAAAAAAAATTCCCATTTTTTCCGTATTTTACTTATAAATGGACTTAGTTTTTCTGCCAAGAAACATTACATTCACTCTGTGGTTAAAGTTTTTGAAATTTTAATAACTTTCTTAAACTATCCTGGATTTCTACCAAACTTGGAAAGAAGCTTGTTTATGATCAAAAGATAGTATCCAGAAGTAAATTTTGTAAAAAAAAAATTCCCATTTTTTCCGTATTTTACTTATAAATGGACTTAGTTTTTCTGCCAAGAAACATTACATTCACTCTGTGGTTAAAGTTTTTGAAATTTTAATAACTTTCTTAAACTATCCTGGATTTCTACCAAACTTGGAAAGAAGCTTGTTTATGATCAAAAGATAGTATCCAGAAGTAAATTTTGTAAAAAAGTAAAAAATAAATTCCATTTTTTCCGTATTTTACTTATAAATGGACTTAGTTTTTCTTCCAGTTAACATTACATACAGTCTGCACTTTAAGTTTTTAAAACATTTATTAGATTCATAAACTATCCTGGATTTTTACCAAACTTGGACAGAAGCTACTTACAATCAAATGATAGTATAGAGAGGAATATTTTTATTAATTTTTTTCCTCATTTTTGTTGAGCCTGCGATTAACAGCAAAAGTAGGCGAGACACTGGGTTCCTCGGAACCCTTACAAATTTTTATACCTTCTGCAGAAAGGAAAAAAAATGCCCATCAAAAACCAAAAAAGATTATATCTTTCTGAAACACAAAATGCATTTAAATTTTATATAGCTAGTGGATGCCAGGCCTTAAAACTTTTCCAACTGGACAGGTAAGTCTGTACTCAGATTAGTTTTTGATGTGTAAATACAGCCATATTTGTCTGTTTGTTATGATGAACCTTAAAAATAGTTAATATAGTGTGGCTTTCCTGTCTGCTGACAGACACAATTAAGGGGGCTGTGTGAGATACTATATTTTGTATTTTAAATCACACAGCTCCTTGAAGAACAGTCCGTTGACGTCTGTTGCAGTAGGAAAACCTATTACTTAAATTAAAGATTGAGCAACATTATGAACCCTTACAAATACTGGAGTGAACTCGGATGCTCTGGAAGAGATGCAGGTCCCGCTACAGCATGTACAGTAGCACTTGGCACTTATCTTCTTACTCATTGCAAGCAAAAATATTGTAATAAATTGCATTCTGTAATGTCACAATCAAGGAATTGCTTTTACCATAAGTGGAACATATCCTTGGTCGTGAAGTAAAATATATTCCTGGTCATCTCCTTGATATTCCTTAACCATGTTAACAGTCAAAACCTGATGACATCTGTTAAACTTTTATCTTTTCCATTATGAACCAACCTTACACATAGTTTCAAAACTTTCTTTTACAGCTTTTCTATAAAAGCATGCAAAGCAAACCTTTGATCAACTTGCTTGCTATGTTTGTTTGGATGTTTGTAAACAAAAGGTAGGTAGTCTGTTTCAGTCTGTTTACTATATAATGGAATTTGATTGGACAATAAACATTAACTTCATTGCATGTCAATTTTTATTGTCCAATCAAATCCCAGTATGTATAAAACAGCCTGAAACTCCGCCTATCTATTGTTGGCAAACATCCAAGCAAACATAGCAAGCAAGTTGATCAAAGGTTTGCTTTGCATGCTTTTATAGAAGAGCTGTAAGATGCAACCATCTATCAAAAGTGATTTGTTAATTCTTTTATCCCTATTGTTTATGCTAAACAAAATGTATTTGTATATTCATGATATTGCCATGATCACATGATTTATTTTTTTCATTATAGTTGGCTCAAAGGACTGCTTCATCCAAAGCACAGAATGTATTAAAAGAATCAAACCATGTTGAAGAAGAGAGAGTAAAACCAGATATGACCACTGTCCATCAATCTATCCTAAATCAGGGATTATCGTTACATCATAAACATTCTAGTACACTTGTTCATCTTAATGAAAACTTACTGGATATCAATGGTCTACAGTTACAGGATACTGTTATAGATAATCCAAAATGGCTGACTCCAGAAAAACTTAAACATATACAAAATGAATTGAAACGAGACAGAAAGGCAGAAAGCCCAGCAAGTAATATAGAATCACTTGTAGATTGGACGTGGCATGAACAGAAAATTGATTATTCTAAACTCTTACACCATTATTTAATGTTATCAAAGATCAGATTGACAGGTAATGTAATGTAACCAGTAGTCCCTTAAAGCTTAATGACATATATATATATAAAGTATGAATGTAATTTTGAAATTATAAAAATTTTAGGAATATAACTGTCTGAGCCAAGTCCTTATTAATAATAAGAACTTAATGCTTGAAAATGCTTGCACATTCAATTGGTACATATATTTGTTGGTACATTATGGACTTTGAAAATTTTTTAAAGCTCAAGTTTTTCACATATGTACCTTATGTACAAATGTTTATATGAAGACAGTGTTAAGATAAATGTCTTGTCCATGTGTAATTTGTGGTTTCAGGTCTGGTTGTATTTACACAGATGGCTGGTTTTGCATGTTTTGTTCATGTGTAATTTGTGGTTTCAGGTCTGGTTGTATTTACACAGATGGCTGGTTTTGCATGTTTTGTCCAAGTGTAATTTGTGGTTTCAGGTATAGTTGTATTTACACAGATGGCTGGTTTTGCATGTTTTGTCCATGTGTAATTTGTGGTTTCAGGTCTAGATGTATTTACACTGATGGCTGGTTTTGCATGTTTTGTTCATGTGCAATTTGTGATTTCAGGTCTGGTTGTATTTACACAGATGGCTGGTTTTGCATGTTTTGTTCATGTGTAATTTGTGGTTTCAGGTCTAGTTGTATTTACACAGATGGCTGGTTTTGCATGTTTTGTTCATGTGTAATTTGTGGTTTCAGGTCTAGTTGTATTTACACAGATGGCTGGTTTTGCATGTTTTGTCCATGTGTAATTTGTGGTTTCAGGTCTAGTTGTATTTACACAGATGGCTGGTTTTGCATGTTTTGTCCATGTGTAATTTGTGGTTTCAGGTCTAGTTGTATTTACACAGATGGCTGGTTTTGCATGTTTTGTCCATGTGTAATTTGTGGTTTCAGGTCTAGTTGTATTTACACAGATGGCTGGTTTTGCATGTTTTGTCCATGTGTAATTTGTGGTTTCAGGTCTAGTTGTATTTACACAGATGGCTGGTTTTGCATGTTTTGTTCATGTGTAATTTGTGGTTTCAGGTCTGGTTGTATTTACACAGATGGCTGGTTTTGCATGTTTTGTTCATGTGTAATTTGTGGTTTCAGGTCTGGTTGTATTTACACAGATGGCTGGTTTTGCATGTTTTGTTCATGTGTAATTTGTGGTTTCAGGTCTGGTTGTATTTACACAGATGGCTGGTTTTGCATGTTTTGTTCATGTGTAATTTGTCGTTTCAGGTCTAGTTGTATTTACACAGATGGCTGGTTTTGTATGTTTTGTTCATGTGTAATTTGTGGTTTCAGGTCTGGTTGTATTTACACAGATGGCTGGTTTTGCATGTTTTGTTCATGTGTAATTTGTAGTTTCAGGTCTGGTTGTATTTACACAGATGGCTGGTTTTGCATGTTTTGTTCATGTGTAATTTGTGGTTTCAGGTCTGGTTGTATTTACACAGATGGCTGGTTTTGCATGTTTTGTTCATGTGTAATTTGTGGTTTCAGGTTTGGTTGTATTTACACAGATGGCTGGTTTTGCATGTTTTGTCCATGTGTAATTTGTGGTTTCAGGTCTAGTTGTATTTACACAGATGGCTGGTTTTGCATGTTTTGTTCATGTGTAATTTGTGGTTTCAGGTTTAGTTGTATTATAATCATATGAAGATGTGGTATGATTGCCAACTCTTCTTCAGAGACCAAATGACATAGAAGTTATAAATACATATATATTTAGTTCATGTGTAATTTGTTGTTTCAGGATTGGTTGTATTAACACAGATGGCCGGTTTTGCTATAGCACCAGGTGCATTTGACCTGTGGACTTTTATGTTTGCCACTGTGGGTACATCTCTTACCTCAGCCTCAGCAAATGCCACTAATCAGGTACAGTCTATAGTCTTTGAGGATTGACAACAAATGCCACTTAGATTAATCAAAAAAAAAGAAACTGTTGATCTTAATTAAAATATGTTTTTAAAATAATGTCACATTTATTTACTTATAAAAGTTCAATATTAAGTTTTAAAATTGAAAAGAAAATATATTAAAAAACTATTAACATTTTTACTGATAATTTCTAATGAAAATATTCAAAAAAGATAGATTTTTTTTTTTTTTTAAATATTCAACAAAAGAACGTTTTTATTTTATTTTTATTGTGACATTTTTTTCCTGTTTCCCTTATTGCATATAAACTTGACACACCATTTTTGCCTGTACGACATACTGTATGCAAGTTTTCTATGAGTTTTTTCCCTACAATCATATTTTAACATCCCAGTCAAATCAAAACAGTTTCATTCATAACACTGTAGTTGAAACTGACAATAGGACACTATTTTTTTATCATGTTAATAATTGACAAATTATGCTATTTTTAACTTAACCAACTATAGACATGATAGATGTACATATACTTATTATTTCTATTTAATTTAATTTTATTAATTGTAAATATCGCAGTAATTAAATGCACAAATTCTGTCAAAACTCTAAAACAAAATTTACCTGAGACAGATTCCATGTAAGCCTAATTTAATGCAATTACCATGGCCAGTACCCTTAACTGGTAATTTAATTGTAAGTAATACCTTGTGTATTAATCAAACCACAGGTGGTATAATGAGATAGTGGGCCATCATGGTGGACATCAATTTTATGTTCATTATTAGAGTATGTTTGAGGTCATACTGTATGCAAGTTTAAAGCAATTGTGTTGGTGTATTTGTGTGGAGGATTTGAATTGTATAAGTTCAAAGCAGTGTTGTTTGTGTATTTGTGTGGTTAAGTGATTGCTACAATGACCTTTTGCTATAGCAATTACAGATTTCATAAGGTCACAGATAATTATAGATTATTTCTAACAATTGAAGTATTATATATGTTTATATTTGTAGTTTTTGGAAGTCCCATATGACTCGCAGATGAACAGAACAAAAAATCGAGTAATTGTACGAGGATTTTTAACGTGAGTTTTATTTTAGGAGTAAGGGCTGTACCATTTAACATAAACAAACATGTTCCCCAGGGAAGGCAATTTCTAAATGAGGTAACCGCCAAAAGTGGTAAATTTAGAATTTCGCAAACATTTTCAGTACATTTGGCACCCATCCATAGTTGTGATTGCAAAATGCCTTCCTTGGGTCCCATGTATGTTTTAATGGAACAGCCTTAACCAGATATAACATTATTATTAGTTGTATAATGAAATATAGAGTTTTGATATGTGACTTTGTGTGTTAACATTCAGCTTTGATATATATATTTATCATATACAAGTACTTAGCATTAATATGATAGATTTTGCATATGTGTAATGAACGGAAGTACACAAGCCATAATTTCCCACCCGGGGTGATAACCCATATCAGGGGCGTCTCGTGCAAAAAACCCATAACAGTGCCTCTCGTGCAAGTTACTTCCGGTATTTCCGGTATCGTATGTTTACTTTTCCATTGTGGCGTCAGATATTTTTAATTATGACGTCAAAATTTTACGGGAACTTTTGGGATGTCCAGTAATGGCGGACAAATAGCGATAAGGTTTATTGGATCCAGTGGTAATCTGTTTGTTCAGAACCAGCTGTTATTGAAAAAAAGATGTTAACATGGCTAAATCTGATGATATAAATTTTTAAAATGATGCTAGTTTACAATTAGTACTTGCTAACAAATGCCATTGACAATTATGAATCATCTCATATAGTACAACATGTAGTAATAATGATCATAAAACTGTAAATACTTCCTCCATGCTTCCAGCTTCCAAATTTTTATACGACCGCAAAAAAATTTTTGTGGTCGTATATTGGTATGACGTTGGCGTCGTCGTCGTTGTCCGGCGTCGTCGTCGTCCGAAGACTCATTAGTTTTCGCACTCTAACTTTAGTTTAAGTGAATGGATCTCTATGAAATTTTACCATAAGGTTCAATACAACAAAAGGAAGGTGGGGATTGATTTTGGGGATTATGGTACCAACAGTTAAGGAATTAGGGGCCAAAAAGGGGCCAAAAATAAGCATTTTCTAGTTTCCAGACAATAACTGTGGAACGGTGTATGGATCTCTCTGAAATTATACTACAAGTTTCCATACGACAAAGGGATGGTTAGGATTTGCTTTGAGGGGTTATGGCTCAAACCGTTTAAGAATTAGGGGCAAAAAAGGGGGAAAAACAAGGTTGTCCTGGTTAATGGACAAATACTTTAGTACAAAACATAATTTAAAGCAGTGTAAGGGAGATAAATCAAATACATCATTGAAATTATCTCCCTTACACTGCTTTTAAATTATGTATAAAGTAATGGTTAATGAACAATTAAGATAATTTAAAACAGTGTAAGGGAGGTAATCCAAATACAACGTTTTGGTTACTTCCCTTACACTGCTTTTAAATTATGTTTAAAGAAATGCATATTTATAAAGGAAGACCAGTAAAAATATCTGCAAATGTTGCATCTTTTTTTTTTACAAAAAAATCCATATGAAAGATTTGACACTATATTTTAAATTCTATTATAAAATAGATTAAGTTAGCACTATGGTAAATTTAACTGGGTAATTATGGTTTGGGGAAAAAAATGGGGGGGGGGGGGGTAAAAAGAAATTGTGGGGGGTCAATTTTTTCTCATTTCAGATTTCAGAAATTAAAAAGAATTATTCTTCAAATATTATTTTTTTTTCAAATTTCAAATATTGAAAAATTTCAAGAAGTAATCTTTAATTGCACAGTATGGCGCATTAGATTTGTAAAATCTTTGACCACATTTATTTATTTGTTATGCCGAATCTAACGATGTATTTAGATTTTTAATTTTGGATCCAGTTTTCAAATTGGTCTACATTAAGGTCCAAAGGGTCCAAAATTAAAATTTGTTTGATTTCAACAAAAATTGAATATATGGGGTTCTTTGATATGCTGAATCGAAACATGTATTTAGATTTTTGATTTTTGGCCCAGTTTTCAAGTTGGTCCAAATTGGGGTCCAAAATTAAACTTTGTTTGATTTCAACAAAAATTGAATATATGGGGTTCTTTGATATGCTGAATCTAACCATGTATTTAGATTTTTTATTTGTGGACCCCGCTATCAAATTGGTTCATATTGAGGTCAAAAGGGTCCAAAATTAAACTTTGTTTGATTTCATCAAAAATTGAATTATTGGGGTTCTTTGATATGCCAAATCTAACCGTGTATTTTGATTTTTAATTTTGGGTCCCTTTTTTTAAATTGGTCTACATTAAGGTCCAAAGGGTCCAAAATTAAACTTTGTTTGATTTCAACAAAAATTGAATATATGGGGTTCTTTGATATGCTGAATCTGACCTTGTATTTAGATTTTTTATTTGTGGGCCCGCTATCAAATTGGTTCATATTGAGGTCAAAAGGGTCCAAAATCAAACTTTGTTTGATTTCATCAAAAATTGAATTATTGGGGTTCTTTGATATGCCAAATCTAACCGTATTTTAAGATTTTTAATTTTGGGTCCCGTTTTTTAAATTGGTCTACATTAAGGTCCAAAGGGTCCAAAATTAAACTTAGTTTGATTTTAACAAAAAATGAATTCTTGGGGTACTTTGATATGCTGAATCTAAACATGTGTTTAGATTTTTGATTATGGGACCAGTTTTCAAGTTTGTCCAAGTTGGGGTCCAAAATTAAACTTTGTTTGATTTCAACAAAAATTGAATATATGGGGTTCTTTGATATGCTGAATCTAACCATGTATTTTGATTTTGGACATTGGACCATAATAGGTAAATTAAAAAAATTGAAGTTCTTAGACCACATTCTTTCTGTGTCAGAAACCTATGCTGTGTCAAATATTTAATCACAATCCAAATTCAGAGCTGTATCAAGCTTGAATGTTGTGTCCATACTTGCCCCAACTGTTCAGGGTTCGACCTCTGCGGTCGTATCAAGCTGCGCCCAGCGAAGCATTTTATTAATGTTTCAAAATGCCTCTATAGGAAATGGTACCATAATATATATGGAGGTAGTGATGCTATTGTTGGACAATGATAGTGTATTTGTTGGATTCATGATTTAACTTCTTTAAAAAGTTTTTGACTGTTTTAGTTATTTCATTTGTTTATTTGCCCTACATAAAACAATTGTCGGAAGTATATGATAAAGAGATTAATACATGGCCTTTTCCACATCGGTCCGGGTATCATCCCTCGACCCATATCAGCACCTCGAATACGTCTCGGGCTGATATGGGGGTCTCTGGATGATACCCGGGACGATATGGAAAAGGCCATGTATTAATCTCTATATATAGCATGTATAGTTGAAAATTTATATGCCTGTATGAATCAAAAAGTTGTATATATGTCAATTATGTCAATGAGACAGCAACATATGGTCATCAACATTAGAAAAGTGTCTACATACACATGATACACCACCATACACATGATACACCACCATACACTTGATACACCACCATACACTTGATACACCACCATACACATGATACACCACCATACACATGATACAACACCATACACATGATACACCACCATACACTTGATACATACACATGATACACCACCATACACATGATACACCACCATACACATGATACACCACCATACACATGATACACCACCATACACATGATACACCACCTTACACTTGATACACCACCTTACACTTGATACACCACCATACACATGATACACCACCATACATGATACACCACCATACACATGATACACCACCATACACATGATACACCACCATACACTTGATACACCACATCAATCTATAAATTGTGTCCAGACAAGTCAAAGTAGCTAGTGAATAAAGATAACAAGAGACTTTTGAAAGATCTGCCATAAACATGTACACTAAAGTAAAAATATTAAGACATAACTTACTAAACTTGTTTGAAAATATATAGGTCAATTTCTGAACTAGGGAATTTGTTATTCCAGCAGGTTCTTTGAGCAGGAAACAGTCTTTTGAATTTTGTGTCCCATGGAACAGTTATCTTTAGACCACACTACTTGTTTCCTGCCCCCTTCAGTCTGATTATATTTCACAATACATGTACTTTAATACATGTTCAAATATCATGATTCAGTCATCTCCTTTTATTAGCTCACCTGACCTGAAAGGTCAAGTGAGCTTTTCTCATCACTTTGCGTCCGTCGTCCGTCGTCCTGCGTCCGTCGTCCATCGTCCGTAAACTTTTACAAAAATCTTCTCCTCTGAAACTACTGGGCCAAATGCACCCAAACTTAAACACAATCATCATTCAAGTATCTAGTTTAAAAAATGTGTCCGATGACCCCGCCAACCTACCAAGATGGTCGCCATTGCTAAAAATAGAACATAGGGGTAAAATGCAGTTTTTGGCTTATAACTCAAAAACCAAAGCATTAAGAGCAAATCTGACATGGGGTAAAATTGTTCATCAGGTCAAGATCTATCTGCCCTGAAATTTTCAGATGAATCGGACAACCCGTTATTGGGTTGCTGCCCCTGAATTGGTAATTTTAAGGAAATTTTGGTGTTTTTGGTTATTATCTTGAATATTATTATAGATAGAGATAAACTGTAAACAGCAATAATGTTCAGCAAAGTAAGATTTACAAATAAGTCAATATAACCGAAATGGTCAGTTGACCCCTTTAGGAGTAATTGCCCTTTATAGTCAATTTTTAACCATTTTTCGTAAATCTTAGTAATCTTTTACAAAAATCTTCTTCTCTGAAACAACTGGGCCAAATTAAACCAAACTTGGCCACAATCATTATTGGGGTATCTAGTTTAAAAAATGTGTGGCGTGACCCGGCCAACCAACCAAGATGGCCGCCACAGCTAAAAATAAAACATAGGGGTAAAATGCAGTTTTTGGCTTATAACTCAAAAACCAAAGCATTTAGAGCAAATCTGACATGAAGTAAAATTGTTTATCAGGTCAAGATCTATCTGCCCTGAAATTTTCAGATGAATCGAACAACCTGTTGTTGGGTTGCTGCCCCTGAATTGGTAATTTTAAGGAAATTTTGCTGTTTTTGGTTATTATCTTGAATATTATTATAGATAGAGATAAACTGTAAACAGCAATAATGTTCAGCAAAGTAAGATTAACAAATAAGTCAACATGACTGAAATGGTCAGTTGACCCCTTTAGGAGTTATTGCCCTTTATAGTCAATTTTTAACAATTTTTCGTAAATCTTAGTAATCTTTTACAAAAATCTTCTCCTCTGAAACTACGTGGCCAAATTAAACCAAACTTGGCCACAATCATCATTTGCTTATCTAGTTTTAAAAATGTGTGGCGTGACCTGGTCAACCAACCAAGATGGCCGCCACGGCTAAAAATAGAACATGGGGGTAAAATTCAGTTTTTGGCTTTTAACTCAAAAACCAAAGCATTTAAAGCAAATCTGACATGAAGTAAAATTGTTTATCAGGTCAAGATCTATCTGCCCTGAAATTTTCAGATGAATCGGACAACCCGTTGTTGGGTTGCTGCCCCTGAATTGGTAATTTTAAGGTAATTTTGCTGTTTTTGGTTATTATCTTGAATATTATTATAGATAGAGATAAACTGTAAAAAACAATAAATGTCGGCAAAGTAAGATCTACAAATAAGTCAACATGACCGAAATTGTCAGTTGACCCCTTTAGGAATTATTGCCCTTTATAGTCAATTTTTAACCATTTTTTCGTAAATCTTAGTAATCTTTTACAAAAATCTTCTCCTCTGAAACTACTGGGCCAAGTTAATTATAGATAGAGATAATTGTAAGCAGGAAAAATGTTCAGTAAATTAAGATGTACAAACACATCACCATCACCAAAACACAATTTTGTCATGAATCCATCTGCGTCCTTTGTTTAATATTCACATAGACCAAGGTGAGCGACACAGGCTCTTTAGAGCCTCTAGTTCATATTGACAATGATTTTCACATTAAACCTGTATTCACCTAATATGCTGAGGAAAGAGTTTGTCAGTTAATCATACTCTTTATGCTCTACCAACTTGTTAGAGTTCAAAGTTCATGTCTGATTTAAAGGAAAATATAAAACTTTCTAAGTGTTCAAGGAGAGCAAGCTTCATTGAGTAAGAGTTTGTTGATAATTTAGATTTGAGTTAAGGTATCACACATTGAATGATTTATTGAACTATTCCCCATGTCCATGTGTGTTTATGTGCTTGAATCCTTAGAGATGTGTTAATGAATTGTATTACTACATGTACTAGATGAGAGCATTTATTTTGTAATTGTTATATTTCTTGTTTCAAAGTTACGCCAAAAAAAAAATATGTTTGATGTCTTTAATACTCAAGTGTCCCTCCCATTTAATCAATAGATAACAAAAGGTACATAGAAGCTCATGCATTATGATTTAATTCATTGGATGATGAGACATACTTAAGTTTCATTTAAAAATAATATTATTTTACTTTTGAGTGTATGTTTAATGAAGTTATATTTTTTTTTTAACACATGAACTTTTTTAATTATTTTCAGACCAGCACATGCTTTGTCATTTGCTGCAGTTTGTGGAAGTCTTGGAGTTGTGACATTATTTTTTGGAGCTAATCCTCTGACAGCAGGCCTTGGAGCCTTCAACTGGATCTTATACACTGTGGTTTACACTCCAATGAAAAGAATGAGTATAACTAACACATGGTTTGGGTCCATTGTAGGAGCTATACCCCCCATGATGGGCTGGGCTGCTGCCACAGGTGCACTGGAACCAGGTAATATCAAAATCTTAATTGGGCCTTGTAAGGAGCTTTACCTTTTACGATGGGTTGAGCTGCTGCCAGAATTGGACTTACCCAAGTTTAATCAGTCCATGAGTTTTTGACAAGATGGCATCTGTAGGAGTATTACTTTTTTATGCTAAGTTCACTTGCTGTAGAGTTGAACAAAATAAAATCAACACACATGTTAAGTCTGCGAAAATTAGGCATTAACATATGAACTTCTGTTCGGTGTGAGTCAAGGCTCTGTGTTGAAGACCGTACTTTGACCTATAATGGTTTACTTTTATAAATTTTGACTTGGGTGGAGAGTTGTCTCATTGGCACTCATACCACATCTTCTTATATCTATTATCATCAGTGTGTATTAAAATAATCAATGTCTGTATATAAAATGGCTACTTTCAAGAAAGTTTTTGTGGAACAATTGACAAGTGACTGTCATATTCGTGGCTTACTTAAACTTCAGCCACATTGCAAATAAAAGCAATGGGTTAAATAAAGTTTTATGGTAATATACAGAAACAAAGAGATGTGGTAAAAATTGCCAATGAAACAACTATCAACCAAAGTTCAAATGATGAAAATATAAGCAAGTATAGGTCACTGTACAGCATTTCAGTTCTAATTTCCTATGATTTTTTAAAGGCAGTGCTTTAATGCCTTTCTAGTTGCCGTGTTAATATTTCTTTCCGCGATATCCAACTTATCTACGTGGGGGGTCATTTAGCTCCAAGTAGATCCGGAAAATGTTGATTCTCTCCTCTTCTTATTGTGGTATAAAATGTTTTTTGTCTCATTTCATTTACATTGGGAAATAGAGAAACGATTATTGTGTTTTGTTAGTTTTAAAAACTTTTGATATATTTGTATTTTACATTATAAGCAGTCAACCGATTGACAAATTAGAATTATTTGAATTCCGTGTGGAAAGAGGTCGGGTTAAATTCGAGTGTTATCTGCAATCTAGATGTTTATAAATCATTTCAGTCGTTGATATAATAATTAAAGGTCGACTGAACATGAATTATATTATACAATTTAAAGCGCATTTCTGTTTATGCACGCGAACCCGTCTTACGTTATTGTTATTTCGCAGTTATATAAAGTAGCAAATTATCGTTCCTGAATAGGTGGCGCCGTGGTAGCCGATCCTGTATTTCAACTTCCGGTTTCTGCACTGTGCAACTATTACAGTTGCATTTTTAATTAACGATGCCAAGTACTTGTTGTTATGTACCTGGATGTCATTTAAGAGGAGGACATGCATTTCCAAATGACTTAAAAAGAAGGAAAAGTTGGATCAACACCATGGCCCATACGTAGATTGGACGAGAACACGATGAAATCGTGGAGTCCATCTCAATCAGCTGTTGTTTGCAAGGCACATTTTACTGAAAAAGACTACGTGCAGGAAACTATTCATGGTAAAACTCTATTTTCTTTTTAAAATATATAGTTATATATGTAATCGCCATGCGAATAAACGAAAGTCAGTTTACAACCGCAATTATCGTTTTAGAATAAAAGGGGGTGGTTAATTCAAGACGTCATAATTTTTTGGATTACGATTCAATGTGATCTGTTTGAGATTTTTTGGTGCTTGCTACAATTATAATGATTTCTTACAAGAGGTATATCATACTGAGAATTATTTTAGCAGTAATTATGCTTATGTAGTAATGACAGGAATGCATAAGCTATGCCTCATAGACTTTCTAGAAAAATATCAATGACAATGTTAACAGGAACAAAACAATGACATGCTCTCATCTATATTATAGTTATTTAGGTACAAACAATGTATGTTTGTTGCATACGTCTCTCATTGTTTGTCCTTTGGATTTACATAACATACATTTTGATGTACATTGAATCAGGCTAACATAGTTTTATCCAGATTGTAATGAATAAATCTAGTTAATATTTTGCCAGGTTACGAGTACAAAGGAATTATAGTTATCTCGTACCATTGTAACTCGTACCAATGTCAACTCGTACCACTAAACAAAAACTCGTTCCAATGCAAACTCGTACCACTGCTAACTCGTACCACGGTAAATTCATACCATTGTAAACTCGTACCAACTTATTTAAATGCATTCAAATGGTGTTTAATGATGAATATATACTTTAATTTCACTTGATACCTCTGTAAAATGTATATAATTTGAAATTGCAATAACCAATTTGTAGCTAATTTTCCTTGTCTAATTGGATAGAGAAAACCGTGGCAGATTGGCCTTGTTGTCTCCCTTGAATAGACTCTTTTTTAAACTTTTACTGACAACTATTTGATTTAATTTTTAATCATTCCAAATCAGTAACATTGAATAGATTTGGGTATTTTTCTATTGTTTCTAAAAGGAATTTTCTTTAATGAAAGAATTTATTGATTGTGTTTTAAAGGTTTAAAATTGTTTATGACCGACAGTTAGAAAGTATGAAATTTATTTTTATACAATATTCAGCACATTTCAGCAGAATATGACCATGCTTATATGATTATACAAGTTGATTAGTTAAAGATAAAAAAAAACAAGTTGATTAGTTAATAATCAACCAATAATCACACAATCAAAGGAATTTAATATATTTATTAGCATGGTAATTAAGAAATTACATTTGTATTTTTGTCTAAGTTTTCATTAAAATCTGGTATAAATTTCAAAGATATTTTAATTTTTTGTATAAAGCTTAAAAAAAAATAATCATAAAACATTCGTATTTTTGTCTAAGTTTTCATTAAAATCTAGTATAAAATTCAAGTAATTCAACTTTTTTTATTTAGTTTACCAAAAAAAAAATCATAAAACTTTCGTATTTTTGAATATATTTTTAATGGTACGAGTTTGCAGTGGTACAAGTTCTGATTTGTACGACTTCCCAGTGGTACGAGTTTACGTTGGTACGAGTTTACGTGGTATGAGTTTACAATGGTACGAGTTAACTTGCTTCTGTACAAAGTATGCATTGCTAATGGAAGTTCATTTATTTATCAAAAAACTAATGTTTTATAACCTTTTTCAGGGCACAAACCCACAATACAGAGACTTGTCTACTGCCAATCCCAGCCTATTTTCCTGGACCAAGCAAGAGACTGAATCGTCCGCAAAAAGAAAAATCAGGGCAGTTTCCTGTGAAAACAAAAGAACTAAACTTGATGAATATTGTAGTAGAAATCTAGAGGAAAGTTTTGATTGTAAAGTTGGTTTTCCTGAAGAAGTAATTCATACTGCAGACAGGATTTATGACTGTCCACCACCAACTGCCGAGCTAATGTTGAGCTTCACAGATGGAATTACGCAAACACCATCAATGCCTATATTTTCAGCAGAGAATTTTGAAATGAAGACACATGACACAGCCATGCATTTTTATACCGGTTTAGAGTTGTATACTAAATTTTTATTTGTTTTGACCACACTTGGTCAAACCGCACATTGTTTGAGATACATATATTTTCAAATTGCTAGGGTGTCATTTGAAAATCAGTTTTTTTATGACTTTGATGAAATTGATGTATTATACAACCAACTTTGAACTGTCTAGATTCTAGATTGAAACTAATGTTAAGAATATTGTGTAAACATGGATTGTTTTTATGTCTAAACAGTGGCGTGAGGCTAACACTTGGCCATTTAGTGGTTTAGTCAGGTATTTTTCGCCATCCAACTTAGAATTAAAGTTTCCTACAACTTGGATTATTATTGACAGCACAGAATATCCCGTGATAAAACCTAAAGCTCCTAGAGCTCAGGCAACCTTTTCATCATATAAAAACAGAAACACTGAAAATACTTGTATGTTCGACACCTGGTGGTTTAGTCAACTATGTCTCTAATGCATATGTTGGTTGTACCAGTGACTGTGAAATAGTTGAAAGATGTAGAATAGTTCAATTATGTGATCCAGGTGACAGTGTGATGGCAGACAAAGGTTTAAATGTGCAAGATTTGTTTGCTCACTTTTTTCAAAAAAAGAAACAGAATTAGTTCCAAAACTCTTATATGGGATAGAAAAGTCTCCAATTAACACGTGCACATAGAGCTAATTATTGGACTTGGCAAAACATACAAAATTCTAATAAATCCTATGAATGGAACTGAAACAAAACTTTCATCTGAAATAACATTTAGTTGTTTTATGTTGTGTAATTTTAGAACTTGTATTGTGCCAAAGGATGCATAAATAAAAGTGACACAATGAAGTTTGTTCTGATATATATATATAAATATTATTTACAATTACATGCACATGTAAATTGTAATGCATATAAAAATAAGGAGATGTGGTATGATATTCAGTGAGTTTATCGAACCAAAGTGCATAAGAAATGGGTTAAGCAGTTACAGGTGTTATTGTCACCATACAATCTCCAACAATTAGAAAAACTTGTACCGTGTAAAAAATTTCAGAGATCTTACAACTAAGTTTTGTTGTCTCACCTTGACCATGTTGACTTTGGTGAATTGTTTATATCTGTTGATGTAAATATAAAAAAGAAGATGTGGTATGATTGCCAATGAGACAACTCCCCACAAGAGACCAAATGACACAGAAATTAACAGCTATAGGTCACAGTACGGCCTTCAACAATGAGCAAAGCACATACCGCACAGTGAGCTATAAAAGGCCCCGAAATGACAATGTAAAACAATTCAAACAAGAAAACTAACGGCCTAATTTATGTACAAAAAATGAACGAATAACAAATATGCAACACATAAACAACGACAACCACTGAATTACAGGCTCCTGACTTGGGACAGGCACATACATGTACATACAGAATGTGGCGGGGTTAAACATGTTTGCGGGATCCCAACCCACCCCCTAACCTGGGACAGTGGTGTAACAGTACAATATAAGAGCGAACTATAAAAATCAGTTGAAAGAGGCTTAACTCATCAGATGGATAAATACAAATACAAGTGGACGTGGCCGGGTAGTTGTACATCCAAACAACAAAAAGACACTAAGTACAGATCTGAGAGTACTCGCATTTACTGACAGCTAGTTCAAAGCCACAAACAACTGATAAAAAAATCTTGCATCTAAGACTAAATTATCAATCCGTAAGCTCCCTTTAGAATTTTATAAATTTTAGATTTTACATTTCTGAGTTATGGGGTTTTATTCATTAAAAAGGGGAGGATTTTCCAGTTTTTGGACAACAACTCAAAAATGCTTTAAGCAGTTCGCATGAAACTTTGGTGAATTATTTATAGCTATTGATGTAATCTCCCTATTGATTTTCATAAATTTCAAATATGACATTGAGAAGAAATTGAACTTTATTTGTTTATAGTCTGGCAACAGATTTATTAAGTATTGCGCAACAGCACTGTATTGCACAACAGCAAGAAATCTTTAATTGAATATAAATTCAATTCATATAACGGATTTCAAGTTCTTTGACTACATTTATTCAGAAACTATAATATGTCAAATATTTAATTACAATCCAAATTCAGACCTGTATCAAGCTTGAATATTGTGTCCATTTTTGCCCCAACTGTTCAGGGTTGGACCTCTGTGGGTGTATCCAGCTGCGCTCAGCGAATCAGTTTATTACTTAATTAAGAACTCCTTTTTGTTGAGCCTGCGACTTTTGTCGCAGAAAGCTCGACATAGGGATAGTGATCTGGCGGCGGCGTTAGCTAACTTCTTAAAAGATTTATATTTTAGAAGGTGGAAGGTCTGGATGCTTCATACTTTGTATATGGATGCCTCATGTTACGAAGTTTCCGTCAGTCACATGTCCAATGTCCTTGACCTCATTTTCATGGTTCAGTGACTACTTGAAAAAAAAGTTAAGATTTTTTGTAATGTTGAATTCTCTCTTATTATAAGTAATAGGATAACTATATTTGGTATGTGCATACCTTGCAAGGTCCTCATACCCGTCAGACAGTTTTCACTTGACCTCGACCTCATTTCATGGATCAGTGAACAAGGTTAAGTTTTGGTGGTCAAGTCCATATCTCAGATACTATAAGCAATAGGTCTAGTATATTCGGTGTTTGGAAGGACTGTAAGGTGTACATGTCCAACTGGCAGGTGTCATCTGATCTTGACCTCATTTTCATGGTTCAGTGGTTATAGTTAAGTTTTTGTGTTTTGGTCTGTTTTTCTTATACTGTATGCAATAGGTCTACTATATTTGGTGTATGGAATGATTGTAAGGTGTACATGTCTAGCTGGCAGGTGTCATCTGACCTTGACCTCATTTTCACGTTTCAGTGGTCAAAGTTAAGTTTTTGAGTTTTGTCTTTTTTTCTAATACTATATGCAATAGTTAAACTATATTTGGTGTATGGAAATATTTTATGATCTACATGTCAGTCACGCAGGTTTTTTTTTACCTTGACCTCATTTTCAAGGTTCATTGCTCAGTTTTAAGTTTTTGTGTTTTGGTCTGTTTTTCTTAAACTATAAGCAATAGGTCAACTATATTTGTTGTATGGAAGAATTGTTAGCTGTACATGCCTGCCTAGCATGGTTCATCTGACCTTGACCTCATTTTCTTGGTTCATTGGTCAATGTTTAGTTTACTTGGTTAATGTAAAGTTATGTGACAGTTGTAATAAAGCTTTATATTTAGGACTATCAACATAATATCAAATGATTAGTAAAGAAGGCGAGACATTTCAGCGTGTGCACTCTTGTTTCATTCATAAATTACTTTATACTTGGAAATATAATTTTGCTTGGAGTTATAGTTTCTAAAAAAAGTATTGTCATTGAAAGAGTTGACATGTTGCAATGTACATTTATTCTACATAGTTCTATGGTACCAAATCAAAAGTTTATATTAAAGAAAGAAGTCAAAGGTTTCCCATCATAGTTTAGTTACATACATTTTTTTTGTACCTGAGGTCGTTGAATATAGATCATTATATAAATAAGGAGATGTGTTATGATTGCCAATGAAACAACTATCATCCATACATTGTACTTACCAGTAACAAACCACATTTGCAAAGTTGAATAAAATACAGTTGATAACATGATTTACTTATTACTTAAAAGAAAATGCCAAACTATTTTAAAAAGTATTTGACTATAAACATAGATAAAAAAGGTACAAACTGGACATAATGCACTAGTTCATAAACAAGTGAGAACAATCGCCTTCATATAGTGCTCAGAATATGACATTCATAAAACTTGTTCAATATCATTAGAGAACTCTAAATCTTAAATACTGAAAGCCACCTCTGATAAGTACAATGTACTATGCAAGATAATGATATAACTGGACTAAAAATACACACAACCTGTAATTAACTGCCTTTACAGCGCTTTCGCGCTTTGATTTATGACTGGTATTGGTACATTATTTAAAACCAAATAGACCAACCTCAGCATGAGTCTTTGCGAGAGCTCGTGTTTGTCCAAAAACATGGCAAACTCACTCGTATATTTTAAATGTCCCTGATCAGATCTAGACCAGAAATTACTGTATATTTATAAGGGTTCTTGTACATGCAGAAAATCTTGCATTCTCCCTTACAAGCTTTGTATTTAACATCCCTTATCAGATTAAACTTGAATATGTACATGATTTGTAAATCCAAAAAATCTAAGCTGGCCAGACTAATAAGAGTATTAATGAGAGTACACAGCCACAACACAAAATCTTTTTATAAATATACGTGTAAGTTGAAATGGTTATAGACATGAATAAAAATGTTAATCAAACCCAGCATGTAAAAAAAAAAAGAAATGTAAAATCTATTTTTATAAATTTTGATGAAAGCTCTCAAAAAAATATCTTTTTGTAAAGATTTACCCGGTAACTTAGATATATTATATTTTTCAGGGGCATGGTTACTAGGAGCCATATTGTTTGCCTGGCAGTTTCCACATTTTAATGCTTTAAGTTGGAATCTTCGTCCAGATTATTCCCGTGGTGGTTACCGAATGATGTCTGTGATTAACCCTGACCTCTGTAAGAGGGTAGCGATGAGGTATTCATTTGGAATGATTGGACTATGTCTTTTAGCACCAGTTTTAGATATAACAACATGGACGTTTGCATTTGATTCATTACCTTTGAATGGGTATTTCGCTTATCTCGGATGGCGATTCTATCGTGATGGTGACAGTAACTCATCAAGGAAACTTTTTAGATTTAGTTTAATTCATATTCCAGTTCTTTTGATTCTGATGCTTATAAGTAAGAAACATAAAGACGATTCTGAACCAAGCAGTGATATCAAACATTTAACAACAAAGTTGACAGAATATATAAAAACAATTTCCAAATATACTAATAATTTATAGTATTAGTAATGTTTTTGTGAAGTGTTTTTAAAATGTCAGCCGATTACAGTGTAGTGATAATGTGATAGTTTAAGGATTACTAGTGAAAGAGTATGATACAGGGAAAATCTTCTTATAGGTTTGTGCATCCTCTATTTCTCAGGACTTGTGTTCCCCATTTCCAATCAAACAATCAAATCATTTTAAGGTGTAAGAAAATGAGTTTTTATATATCTGTGCAAAATTAAACTTTCATGTGTAACATTAAAACTAGAAGAGTATGATACAGTATTATTACAGTAAACTTCCTTTTTTATACGACCGCAAAAATTAAAAAATTTTTGGTCGTATATTGGTATGACGTTGGCGTCGTCGTCGTCGTTGTCGTCGTCTGGCGTCGTCCGGCGTCATCCGAAGACACATTGGTTTTCGCACTCTAACTTTAGTTTGAGTGAATGGATCTCCGTGAAATTTTACCATAAGGTTCAATACCACAAAAGAAAGGTTGGGATTGGTTTTGGGGGTTATGGTACCAACAGTTAAGGAATTAAGGGCCAAAAAGGGGCCAAAAATAAGCATTTTTGTAACTTCCAGACATAACTTGTGTGTTAGTGTATGGATCTCTCTGACATTGTACCACAAGGTTCCATATCACAAAGGGAATGCTGGGATTGATTTTGGGGGTAATTGCCTCAAAATTTTAGGAATTAGGGGCCAAAAAAGGGGCAAAACACAAGCATTTTTCTAGTTTCATGATAATAACTTGTGTGTAAGTGTATGGATCTTTCTGAAATTGAACTACAAGGTTCCATATCACAAAGGGAAAGCTGGAATTGAGTTTGGGGGTAATTGCCCAAAACGTTAAGGAATAAGGGGCCAAAAATAGCATTTTTCTAGTTTCCAGACAATTACTTGTGTTCAAGTGTATGGATCTCTCTGAAATTGTACTGCAAGGTACCATACCAAAAAGGGAAGGCTGGGATTGATATTGGGGGTAATTGCCTCAAAATTTTAGGAATTAGGGGCCAAAAAGGGGAAAAAAACAAGCATTTTTCTAGTTTCAGGACAATAACTTGTGTGTAAGTGTATGGATCTCTCTGAAATTGTACTGCAAGGTTCCATACCACAAAGGGAAGGCTGGGATTGAGTTTGGGGGTGATGAATCATAAGGGGTTTCAAAAAATTTGGGGGGGGGGATTTTTTTTTTTTCCTTTTTTTTCTTTTTTTCCTTTTTTTTTTCTTTTAAAATTTTCCATTTTAAGTTGGTTATTTCTGATTTATATTTAAAAGCAAATAATAATGATATGGTAGGAGATACACACCAAACAGGATGTTTAAATTATTATATAATAAGTATTGTGCAATAGCAAGAAATTTTCAATTGCACAGTATTGCACAATAGCAAGAAATCTTCCATTGCACAGTATTGCGCAATAGCAAGAAATCTTCAATTGCACAGTATTGCGCAATAGCAAGAAATATCCAATAGCACAATATTGCGCAATAGCAAGAAATTGTCAATTGTACAGTATTGCGCAATAGCAAGAAATAATCAATTGCACAGTATTGTGCAAAAGAAGATACTTCGTATAAATTGCTTATTTCTTGACCAATTTCAATGGGGTTTTATTCTTGAATTCTTGGGGTTCTTTAATGTGCTGAATCTAACCGTGTATTAAGTTTTTGGATTTTGGGCCCCGTTTTTAAATTGGTCCACATTGAGGTCCAAAGGGTCAAAAATTAAACTTTGTTTGATTTCATCAAAAATTGAATTATTGGGGTTCTTTGATATGCCGTATCTAACCGTGTATTTAGATTCTTAATTTTTGGTTCCGTTTTCAAATTGGTCTACATTAAGGTCCAAAGGGTCCAAAATTAAACTAAGTTTGATTTTAACAAAAATTGAATTCTTAGGGTTCTTTGATATGCTGAATCTAAACATGTATTTAGATTTTTGATTATGGGCCCAGTTTTCAAGTTGGTCCAAATCGGGGTCCAAAATTAAACTTTGTTTGATTTCAACAAAAATTGAATATATGGGGTTCTTTGATATGCTGAATCTAACCATATATTTAGATTTAGATTTTTGAGCTCCGTTATCAACTTTGTCCACATTGAGGTCAAAAGGGTCCTAAATTAAACTTTGTTTGATTTCATCAAAAAGTGAATTCTTGGGGTTCTTTGATATGCTGAATCTAACCATGTATTTAGATTTTGGATATTGGACCATAATAGGTGAATGTCCAATTTAAAATTTTTAAGTTCTTAGACCACATTCATTCTGTGTCAGTAACCTATGCTGTGTCAAATATTTAATCACAATCCAAATTCAGAGCTGTATCAAGCTTGAATGTTGTGTCCATACTTGCCCCAACTGTTCAGGGTTCGACCTCTGCGGTCGTATCAAGCTGCGCCCTGCGGAGCATTTTATCTATTTTTTTTTCAATGACTTTTTGTATTAATCATGTGTTAAAACCAAAACATAAAAAACCATAAAACAGGTATGCAATTATAATAATTCATTCCAATGACTTAAATGTTTGCAGAGAGCAGACTTATTACCAAAAGCTGTGGCTAATGACATGATTACCTCCCCTGTACGTCTAATGACATGATAACCTCCCCTGTTTTAAGTATTTTAAAATTTCATGTTATCCTATTTAACTATTAAAAATTTGTTGCAATTGTAGATCAATTTCATTGAAATATACGTTTGTGTGATTTGTAAGAATTAAATTATAACTCTGTTATAAACTGGAATATTTAAGGTTGAAGTTACATGTATGTTGTGATGATTGTACATTGTACGTGTTCCATGGACATCATGATTGTACATTGTACGTGTTCCATGGACATGATGAAACTTGTATTAATTACATAATTGACTTATCTAGGATACTTTGTGTTCTTTATTCTTATAAATACTGTTTATTTTTATATTTATCTTTGTCAATTTTTTAAACATTTCAAAATATCATTAAATTAAAGAAATTGTTTGCACTTTCATACATTATGATCAAACAGTGTTGAGACACTTGTCACAGTTGTGAATTGTTAAAACAATAAAAACAGCTTCTATCTTCTAATGACAAAATTATAATTGATAAAAGATTGATATCTGGTTCTTGTATACATTTACTTGATTCTTTTTAATGATAGTTTTAATTAGATCAAGGGCAGGAATCAACTTATGTTATAAAAATTTAAAACTCAGCATGATTTTTTCCATTATTCAAAAGTGAAAAATGGAGTAAGATTGAAATATTCAGATTTTGATCAATTTGTATTTATTTTTAACTTAATAAATACAGGCTGACAGGTATTTAAGAAATATATACAGTGATAAGAAATTCCGGTGTGTATTGAATTGATTTTATGAAACCATGGAATAAACTCTTAACTTCTCATTGTTGTTGTTCATTTTAAAGCTGACATAGGTTGAGATAGCTTTTTTTAACCTTGAGTATTTTTACCACTTTAGTAAAAGGTGTTCCCCCTCATTACCTTTGATTCCTATATTGAACTATCATGTCAACTGTTTGTCTGGCTGCATATACACAATATAAAATTGAGAATGGAAATGGGGAATGTGTCAAAGAGACAACAACCCGACCACAGAACAGACAACAGCAGAAGGCCACCAACAGGTCTTCAATGCAGCGAGAAATTCCCGCACCCGGAGGCGTCCTTCAGCTGGCCCCTAAACAAATATATATACTAGTTCAGTGATAATGAACGCCATACTAAACTCCAAATTGTACACAAGAAACTAAAATTAAATATAATACAAGACTAACAAAGGCTAGAGGCTCCTGACTTGGGACAGGCGCAAAAATGCGGCGGGGTTAAACATGTTTATGAGATCTCAACCCTCCCCCTATACCTCTAGCCAATGTAGAAAAGTAAACGCATAACAATACGCACATTAAAATTCAGTTCAAGAGAAGTCCGAGTCTGATGTCAGAAGATGTAACCAAAGAAAATAAACAAAATGACAATAATACATAAATAACAACAGACTACTAGCAGTTAACTGACATGCCAGCTCCAGACTTCAATTAAACTGAATGAAAGATTATGTCTTCATCATATGAATATCAGGCACAATCCTTCCCGTTAGGGGTTTAGTATCATACCATCATAACATATATGAGAAGAACATAACCCGTGTCATGCCAACAACTGGTTTTTAAATAAATGTGTTTAGTGCCGATGCAAAGACCCTATAAGTGAATCAATATTAACGCCAAAATATGCAATCTTTAATGACCTGACAACAGTATCGTAACTATATCCCTTCTTAATAAGTATACATGATATAGGACACCTGGTTAGTCTGGCTGTGTATTCACAATATACATGATATAGGACACTTGGTTTATTTGACTGCATATACACAATATACATGGTTTGTCAGGCTGCATATACATGGTAGAGTACACCTGGTTTGTCTGGCTGCATATACATGGTATAGGACACCTGGTTTGTCTGGCTGCATATACACAATATACATGATATAGGAAACCTGGTTTGTCTGGCTGCATAGACACATATACATGATATAGGAAACCTGGTTTGTCTGGCTGTATATACACCATATACATGATATAGGACACCTGGTTTGTCTGGCTGAATATACACAATATACATGATATAGGTCACCTGGTTTGCCAGGCTGCATATACATTTGATTGGGGAACTTTCCTTTTTGAATTTTCCTCGGAGTTCAGTATTTTTGTGATTTTACTTTTTATACACAATATACATGGTAAAGTACACCTGGTTTGTCTGGCTGCATATACATGATATAGGACACCTGTTTGTCTGGCTGCATAACAATATACATGATGTAGGACACCTGGTTTGTCTGGCTGAATATACACAATATACATTATATAGGACACCTGGTTTGCCAGGCTGCATATACACAATATACATGGTATAGGCCACCTGGTTTGTCTGGCTGTATACACACAATATACACGATATTGGACACCAGGTTTGTCTAGTTGCATATACACAATATACATGGTATAGGACACCTGGTTTGTCTGGCTGCATATACACAATATACATGGTTTGTCTGGCTGCATATACACAATATACTCGGTTTGTCTGGCTGCATATACATGGTATAGGAGACCTGGTTTGTCTGGCTGCATATACACAATATACATGATATAAGACACCTGGGTTGTCTGGCTGCATATACACAATATACATGATATAGGGCACCTGGTATTTTTCTGGCTGCATATACACAATATACATGATATAGGGCACCTGGTTTGTCTGTCACCATATACACA